CGCGAAGCGAGCACGAATGCCCCTATAACCCCGGGCATACTGCAGGCATTTCAGTGGCGACGTGGTATGGCAATACTCAAATTGTCCAAAACCTATTCTGAAAGTACAGAATGCAGGGCATTTATCTTTTCAGTATGTTGTACACGCTAAACATTTGTGGTAAGCTGCCATTACATCTGAAGACATCTCGTAACTGGCAAATCGCGTACGGCGATCTAAACCGTCTAATCTTGCACTACAACTGCGATGTCCTTTACTTAATATACACCAATTCGCAAAAAACTCCAAGGTAACGAATAGGCAGTTTTGCAATAATTTATGCGAGCAAGAGTGCTCACTAGTGTGGGCTTTGCGTACCGCAAGCATGAGCAATGCAAAAAAAGAAGAACTGCCATTTCAATTCAGTATGAACTCAGAAAATGAGCTTGAATTTGATATCTTCTTTGCTGATTTGGTGCCAATAGCAGTGCGAACAATCTCATTGATCGAAAAAACATCAATTAAAATCCACATGTGATTTTTTTACTGTCGCAAACAGTCGGAAGAATGCGACTCTCCATACAGTTCAAAAGTATACCGGTTGCAAAAGATGCATTACCGAGTTTTGCGAAAAAAAAACGCGGACGAAGTGAGCTTGTTACTCAGCAGTTGGCTCTGCAACAAAGTCGAATAATCTGAATACGGAGTACATTCGAATACGAATTCGAATAAACATTCGAATAAAACATTCGAATAAAATATATTCGAAACCCCGTTTTTTGATTATTCGAGTTTTCGAATAATATTCGAAACCCTGTTTTTTGATTATTCGAGTTTCGAATTTTATTCGAAACCCCGTTTTCTCAATTATTCGAGTTTCGAATTTTATTCGAAACCCCGTTTTCTCAATTATTCGAGTTTCGAATATTATTCGAAAATGGAAGAACTCCGAATATCGAATTTCGAATACGAATATATTCGAATGTTTTATTCGAATGATCGAATTTCTATTCGATTCGGACCCAAGTATAGTCCACAGGGACAGACTGCCTGCCGCGCACCATTGCGCGGCATTGTCGTCAACGTGTTAAAACTGACATTTCTTCGATTAAGGCTGAATAGAAGTATTTCTATTCTTCTCCTATTTCAAATATCATTCCATTTCATTTGCTCAGTCTTTGGAGAATCTATCCAATTATTCGTGTCCTTTTTCTATCACACATCATTTTCACTTTATTTACTCAATCTTTGCAAAATTTGCCTATGTTTCTGCCTGGCATTCTTCAAGATTCTTGAGTCTGACGTCAGTTTTTCGGCCTGATAGTTGAGCACTCACAGGCGAATCCAAAAAAGACTGATCACTTACTTCATTATATTGGCTTGAGCGTCTACCTATCTGCATTATGCATCTTTCTTCTGCTAACACTTCTCACGAAAGAGTGACCAATAGCGCAGTAGCTACGCGCGCTGCTCACCTCGTCCATTGCGGCTTGTGGCCGTATTCATCAACGAACCCCGAAGGTTAAACTAACCCTGGAGGGTTAGTTTAACCCTGGAAAGCGTTTAACCCGTATTCATGAAACACAGGGTAAGCTTAACCCTGAGGGTTAAATCTAACCTTGAGGGTTAATCTTACCCCGAAAGCGACTAATCCGTATTCATCAACGAACCGTGAGGGTTAAACTAACCCTGGAGGGTTAAACTTATGTGATTCCTCAGGGTTAATTTAACCTTAGCTCAGATCAAGGTTAACTCTACCCTAACACTTCATACAAACATTTACTAGCATCCAATTGTTTATGGAAAACGATCAACGAGTATTGTAGTAGTTAGCATTACTTGTTGCTATAGTATTTAGTTTCGACTTCGTTTTATGTTCATATTCGAAGTACATGAAACACTGACTTCGCGAGGAAAAGAATTCTAGCTTTAGTGACAAAGAATGCGACGAGGAAAAATGGTTGCGCATTTTATTCTGACAAGTGCCAAAACTGGAGAACCCCTTTACGATAACACGCATTGACTCCTAAAAGAGTAGCACAAGCCCGGTATAAAACGAACTGCGCAAAAGTAGAACTTACACTGCACTTGCACACATGAAAATAAACTCACGCTGCAAGATTGGATGCTGCACAAGTATGCTAGAGATGTATTATAAAAACTAGTGGTAGAAGCTTATTTGTTGACTATACTACTATAACAGTGAAAGAATAGAAGTATAAAGTGAATTTAGCCCGTACTTAGCATTCTGTGATGTGAGTTTGCACAGCGCACGCGTAACTGACGCCTTAACCCTCCAGGGTTAGTTTAACCCTCAGGGTTGATGAATACGGCCACAGGTTCGTTGATCGATACGGATAGATCGCGTTCCGTGGTAAACCCTAGCCTATGGTTGATGAATACGGCCAATGAACCCTGAGGGTTAAACTAATCCTGGAGGGTAAGCTTAACCCTCAGGGTTCGTTGATGAATACGGCCACTGGTGTTGCGAGCGTGCAACTTTTGCCCCGACCAACGCATCGTCATGCCCAAGTTGTGACTGCTTTGGGGCGGTGACGACGCGCCTTCTTTTCGTTGTGAGGACTTTGAGGGGATTACCACGCCCCAATATTTCAAATCATCGCAAGCTTACAGTTCTAATTGTACGAAGTAGGATTCAATGCCCATCCTGCAGAAAATCTCCTTCCATTTTGGAAGGAAGGGAAAGATTTTTTGAATTATGAACATGCTGTTGATTTAAAAAAATTAAAATAACCTACAGTGCTAAGAGATAAGATTAAATGCCTATCCCGCAAAAGCTCGAACCTTACGGGTCATTTTGAAATTTTGAAAAGAAGGCCTAGCACCGGTCACCTCCAAACAGAAATTCTCACAAAGCTGTCCAAATTTTCAAAATTTCGGTTAAAAGCTAATTTTCAAAAACTGAAGAACAGTCACTTGCAATAACAAACATGTAGGCTATTTTCTGAAATTAACTTAGTCGAGGAGGGAGGGGGGAGGGTTTAACTTGCATAACATTTTTGGAATCGTTTTTCAGTTAGCGCAAGTATCCTATTTATAAAATCAGTTTTTTACCAGCAAGTCCGTTCCTCAAATCTTCTTTCCTTCTTGACTCTTTCTTGGAAAGGTGAGCAAACTTTTTGTGTGATCGAATACTATTCGCAGATTGCTGAAGGTACTGACCATTGTTGAGTAAACATTTCTTGTAGAAATTGACTATTAACACATTCACGACAATACGAACCACCGGTGGGTCGTACGTGTTCTGCCGTTTCGGACAATACGACCCACCGGTGGGTCGTAAGATTCCAGAAGCTCTAACTCTGCCAGTATACGATGGAATTCTACGGGGTTCTGACACATGATTGGGGGCACCTTAGCGAGGCTCCAGCCAGAGTGGTCCGTGTTCGGGATACTGTACTGTAATGTTGGTAGCAGTGGCGTACCCAGGATTTCGGCTCGGGGGGGGGGGCACGACAAAAAATGAAGGTGCGTGGCGTTAGCCACGCACCTTCATTTTTGAAGGTGAAGAGTCTTTTGAAGGTCTAATGAAGGTGCGTGGCGTTAGCCACGCACTCCAAAAAAATTTTTTGGGTGCTTCTCAAAATTTTTGCGGGTCCCCAACCCCTAAAATCTGGAAAAAGGGGGCGTGGTTGACGCCACGCCCCCGAAAAATTTTTTTTTATGAAGCTAAAATGAATTTTTAAAAAATTTTAAGAATTATTTTAATTATTTACAAGTGCAGACAAGTCATTTGCACAATTTTATAACCCATATAAGTAATTTTCAAAAATTTTGCGACCCGTTCTCGGGGAGGGGGCGCTCCCCCCCCCCCCCCTCGGTACGCCACTGGTTGGTAGGTATACCTTAGAAAGAGGTAAGGCACAGACTTTAGCTCAAATTTTTCGCAGAGTGATGCTGTTTTTGAAAATTCAAGTTTACATGCACGAGAAATGCAGGGAAGGCACGACACTGATGTCAGCCCATCTTAAATTATCGATTTTATTGATTTTATTGATTTTTCGCATTGTTCATCCCAGGAAGCTCAAACCTTACATATATAGGTTTTTTAGCATGCTGATTACGAAAACTATAGTCTCAAGTCCTAATACCGCCGTCTTACATGAGTTTCTTAATTCTTAAGAAAATTCTACCGTACTGTTACAGTAGTCTCATTGTGGGAAAGTAGAAGTGGACAGTATAATCGTGATCAGCACGTGAAATAACCCCAAAACACAATTTTGCATGAAAATCCATGATGTTGGGTTTGTACAGAATGATTACCGTAACCTTACCGACACTGCCTAAAATTGAAATAAATCATATATATTTTGGTAATCAGCGCCTTTAATAACCCTTGTAGGGAAATGCTCGGAAACATGTTTTAAATTTCTTCCAAAAAGACTACCATTTCGGACAATACGACCCACGGATGGGTCGTAAGTTTGACAAGCGAAAAAGGCTCTGGTCCGAAACGGCAGTAATCGAAAAAGCGGCCTCGTCGTGAATGTGTTAACAAGAAACTACATGCGTTTTTCGTAACAGTTTCAAAATCTCTTCTTTAAAGGCAGCGTCCAGGCAAATTGGATCTATGTGTTTTACGTGGAAAGTAGGTAATGTGGCCCTAATTAAAGCACGGCCCAAGCGGTAGCGCAAATGACTCACTAACGTCTGAAATATACGCCTCCCTATTGAATCCCAGGATCGTATTATCGGACGACTTGCATCGTTTGGCAGGCTTTCGCGCGCGGACCACGCGAAACTGATGTGTCTCGCCATGATCCATGCAAAGTACGATTCTGGGGTTTTTGGAGGCGAATATTTCAGCCGTGAGAACACCATCTGAGCTGCCGGTTGAGCAGCGTCTCAGTTAGGGTCCCAAAATTACTGTCCACATGAGATCCCCATATTTCCAGATTTGCCTGAACGCCTCCTTTAATTTTTGCTAGTTACTCTTTTCCCGTATTCCTCACTTCTTCCAATCTCAGCTCTAACAACATCTTTAGGGCTTTCAATCTAAAATGTCGCACAGTGATCCTGAGAGCTACGAGCCCCGGTAAGGATTTTACCATAGTTCGATTGAAGTTAAATGTCGGATTTTAAGCAACTACCAGAAGCATTGCGTGCGCAATCGGAAGCATGGAAAGCGAACACTTGTTGAAGGCACTTTCATTACCAAAACCTTTTACGATCCATCGAACTCTCTCAGCAAGGTGGGGAAGCTGTTTGTATGAAGTACTCTCTAAAAATCATTTTATCAACACGTGCTCACTTAGTGCTTAATCACCTATTTTCCCCAATCCCTCGCGCTCACCCGGACTAATAGTAACTATTGAAATCACGTTCAAGTGCGATAGCGCACCAAAAAGCTATATAGAAAGCTGGTTTGAATCGCTAAAGAAATCATTCTAATCCATAAAAATCTTAACTTCTTCTCCTCCCCCCCCCCCTCCCCCCCTTCCCCCCCGCTTTAGCCTCTTCCTCTCCCTCATCTCGCCTCAACCCACCGTCGCTCCACAGTTCCTAATTTTCGACGCTATTTTCTCTCGCTCCACGCAAAGCTTCCGCACTTAATGCTGGGAATTATCTAATGTTGATTATATAATACCAAGCCATTCATCCTTCATCTTCCTTATTTCCCTCTCATCCCCTTCAAACCAATTTTTAAAACTATGGTGCGTGCCCCGTTGGTAGTACCCATTCAAACAATCAAAGGCTTTCAGCGGGCAGCCACAAAGCCACCGCCAAGTTCCACCAAAAGCGCCGCGGCTTTATCGCCTCACTGTCGCTTCCCGCTGAGAACCATGTCAGAACTGGCAGCGAGCGGGCTGCTGTAAAGCCTTCAGCGCGAAGCGAAAGCGGCGGTTATAGCAGCCCGCTCGCTGCCAGTTCTGACATGGTTCTCAGCGGGAAGCAACAGTGAGGCGATAAGACCACGGCGCTTTTGGTAGGTTTTGGCAGTAGCTTTGTGGCTGCCCGCTGAGAGCCCTTGATTGTCTGGGCATGGGAGCACTTCTGGGGATGCTTGTTATGTTCTCAGACAATCAAAGGCTATGGTGCGGCGATAAATAGCAGTTTCAGTGAGCGAGCGGCAATAATGCGAAAGTGGCAGTGAGCTGGCGACGATACTGCAAAAATGGCGGTGAGCGGGCAGCGACGGGCTACCAGCGGGCAGCTATAATCTTCCATGAGTCAGAAAAAAGCTGCAGAGCGCATTCATTGGGTTGTTTCATACTGTCGCACTGACTGCAGCAGTCTGCAGCTGACTGCATTGACCGCAACGCCCGCACAGATCGCTGCATGCTTTCATAAAAGAGAAAACAATTGCGATTATGTCAAAACACCGTGATTTACGCCTAGGAAGTTCAAGGTTCTAACTTGCTCTTCTCAATCAAATTTTGGCAATTGTTTTTTTGGTATGCTTATATTTGTTCTGATTCCTCCTGTTATTGCATACACAGTCGAGTAGATTTTCTGCTTAATATAGTGTGCTTGCACAGAAGGTGAAATGCGGTAAAATTTGCGCGTGAATAAATAGCCGCGCCGGCACTGCCGGGATTTTGCGCGCACAATTGGCCGGCGTCACAGTCAAAGCTCTTTGTTTACGCGCAAATTTTACCGCATTTCACCTTCTGTGCAAGCACACTATATTGAGCGGAAAATCTACTCGACTGCACTTGATTATTCTCGCTCGTATTGTCTTTTGGGTCTAGGCATATATTGTTGCCTTGTTTGGGCTACAAGTATTTATCCTCTCCACCTTCACGAAAGGATGTAGCGACCTGTGCGGTTCTTGCGGTCAGTGCGATCATGCAGCCAGCTGCAGTCAGCTGCGGTCTGCTGCAGTCTGCTGCGGTCAGTGCGGCAGTCTGAAACAACCCATTGCTACAAAAGCAGCCAGAAGGCGGCGACGAGGCAGCCACTCCGTTGGGCTGGCAGCAATTGGGAAACGTGGGGATGAGAAGGCAGGATTTCTGTGAGCGGGCCGCATAAATGCTAAGAGAAGGCAGTCCCAACTCGTAACGCTGTATTGTGGCGGCTGCCAAGTGGAAGTCATATCGTTGCTTTTCGAGAGCCTGTTGATCGCATTAGAAAAGTTAGATGTGCAGGCAAGCGAGACTGGCACTTTAAACTTGTTTCACTTTTAGTTTCATTGTTGCCTTATCTTCGTTATCAATACATATATTACAATGTTGCTCGCGCATTACTTTCTTTACTTGTCTTCCTAAGCTGCAATTGCTCTCTTTTGTTTTGTACTATCTCATTATTACAAAGCATTTCTGTCAATGTTTCCCTTCCTTATCCAGCCTTAAACTTTGTCTCGTATCTTCATTGCATATACAATCGCTACAACTATCACGCATCTCTCTTATGCTAAAAAGACAGTATGTAAGGAATACATTTTACACCGCGAATGTATGGCGCAACGAACTCGGACTCGTACTTTGACATAAAAAATTGTTATCTATCAAAAGCTCAATGACCACAGAAGTGTATTCAAACTGCTGGATTCAGCATCTGAATCTCAACGGTAACTTTGCACAGCTTTTATAGATACGAGAACGGCAAAAGTAATAAACTTGATTATTTCCTTGACTTTATGGTTCTAACAAGGGAAGTTCACTTCTTCGAAATGGCGATTCGGAAGGAGATCTATACCAGTGAGTAGAGCTCAAAAAGCTGATCTCAGATATACCTTCTATATCTGCGATGCGTCGTTCTGAAAAAAGTTATGAGCTTTTCTAAAACCAAATTTTCGTGCATTTTGAGTCGCAAAGTCATGATAATCGCTATACAAAAGTGTGCAAGCTTAAGCAAACCACCTGGTAAGTATTGTAGGTCTAATTCGACTTTATCCGAACGTTTTCGAGTGTTTTCCGACCATGTTGTTTATTCACAGGCCGTCATTTGCTTCCTTTATCACACTTCCGTTATATAAACAAAAAAGCCCATAACCTCCATCTAGAAGAACGCGTCGCCATACCTTCGATACATAGAGCCATGTACTCTGGTAACCTTCACTTTGAGCGTCATGATAGAACACAACCTTCACTTGGGGAGAAGTACAGAAGTCATCCGGGGCGAAGCCCCGGAAATTATGACATAACTAATGACATAACCATATAGGGATGAATTTAAATGAGGCAAATATAGCAGTGACATTCAAAAGAAGCTCAAAAAAAACCGAAGGATTGCGTTTTTATGGCCTTTTTTGTTGAGAAGAAGGTTTTTATTCAAAAATTTTATCAAAAACTAGGGCAAAATTTCTCAGTTAACCTTTCTCTGAACTGCGGTTGAATGTTGGAAGTTCATTAAAGCCGCTAAATTTCAATAAAAACGAAAACCTGCGCTCAAATCTTGCGCAAAGAGTCGCCATATGAATGCTGGTCTATCTCGTTATGGAGTGATTTTCAAGACCCGCGACGTTGTCAGTGCTCCTGGCCGTCTCATGAGGATCACAACGATATATAATCTTGCAGGGTTTCGTTGAGACCCTGCGAAGATCCACGACCAGAGCCAAATGTCCCGTCGGCTCTGGTCTGTCTCCGCTGCTCGTCTGCGTCTCCGCGCGCTGCGCGCTACCTCGCTACCCCAAATGCGGGGCGCGGGGCATTTGGCTCTGGTACCCTTTTCTTCGTTGTTCGGAGCCCAATTTCGATAATCTATATATCATATTAAAGCTCTTGATCTCTATTTTCACGCTGACAACGTCGCGGAACTTCTTTTTAGGATTTAAATGAGATATCCTCGAAAAACGGCGTTTTCGAAAACCTCTTGTTTTTTCTTCAGTTCAACTTTTTTCACTCGGTTTTTTTGTGCATTCGATATGTCTTGTTTCTATCTATGATGTAGACAACGTCGCCGAGCTTACTTCTTTGCTTATGCCGGTTTTTTGTGAAAAATACAAAAAAGTGCGTTTTTCTTTGCCTTGTTCTCTTTCTGTGCTTTTGCAACGAATTTTTTCCTGCTTGGACGATACTTGCTCAGAATGATGAGCGGAAGAATCCAGACAACGTCGCAGCGTACGAAACGACTATGCGGGGGTGAAAATTTAAAGGACGCATCAAAAATCAGATTGGCGTCGATGTGCAACACAACTTTACAGATATGTTTAACATGTTCAATTCAGTTGTTGACAAGTTCTTCTTCTTTCGGTCTCCCAACTAACGCCACAGCTAAACAGCGCTTTTTTTTTGACTGGAAAAGAACTTTGTTGTTGTTGCCACCCAATTTTACCGGCAATCCTGGAAATGAAACTCTGCGTAGGAAACCACCAAGTTAAGGTTTCAGATTTGGTGATGTGCTAACCTCTGCTTTATACGAATTTTCTAAGTTTTCTAATTCAATTTGTATCTCTAAATTTTCGTCTATTTTTCTGAAACAACCTTCACTTTTTATAGGGGGCAAGAACTCAAACAACTATCACTTTCTAGCCCTTGTCTCTTGACTATCGAAGGTATGCGCGTCGCAGATATTGAAGACATATTTGAGAACATCGTGCTACGTTCTATCTACTGGTAGTTTCCAAAAAAGGTTTCCGACGCGACGCGCCTTTCTAAATGGAGATTATGGGGGTTTTTTGTATACATAATGGAAGTCTGATCTAGGAAATAAGTGACGAACTGTGGATGAACAACCTGGTCGAAAACACTCGAAAGCGTTCGGATAAACTTAAACTAGATTCTGCTTACTAGGTGGTTTGCTTAAGCTTGCACACTTTTGTATAGCGATTATCATGATTTTGCGACTCAAAATGCACGAAAATTTGGTTTTAAAAAACCTCATAACTATTTTCAGAACGACGCATAGAACATCGCAGATATAGGAGATATATCTGAGATCAGCTTTTTGAGCTCTATCCACTGGTTTAGATCTCCTTCCGAATCGCCACTTCGAATAAGTGAACTTCCCTTGTAAGTGCTTTAACACACTCCATACTTTGAAGAAAGGACTCGAAAAACTACCAACTACCAGCGTGATAAATCAGGTACCAGTTGATAAATATAATGAACAGTGATCTTTTGACTGACAGAAGTAGGTCTCATGAGGAGTTTGATTGTTCTGAATTAAGATTTGTACAAATATATAAGTTTATCAATGTTTTGTCACATCGTCATACACTGTGAAGACAAACAGCTAACTAGCTAATCATATTTGAAGTCAATCTGTTGCCTTTCATTGCGTTTCCATATGTAATGGATTGAAATGAGATATATATAGTCAGTACTATAATCGTCGAATACCACTTGACAATGTCACCAAGATATCAACTGCCACGCGGGTCTTTAGAGCGGCGGAGTTGTGCACGAGGAGAATACCTTAAACTTGGGTAATTAAACCTTTATTAACAAATAAAAATTTCAAATAAACGATATTGCAAGCGAAATATAATACCAGTTTAACATGAGATTCTTATTTTGGCAAAACGTTAGTAGCAAAATACGGTTGATATGTTTTGGCCTAAATGAACTGAAAGTCAATGTGACTATGGCAATGATACTGAGTAAGAAACCTAGAAAGCAGGACTAACTGCATGAAGCAAACGACGAACTGTGATGCGCGATTCATCGTAAGGAGGAGATTACCAGCTTCGAATTTCTCGCTTTTTTTTCATGCAGTTGCAGTCTAAAGCGTGCAGAAAAAAGGCTAGCTGCTGCGCTTGAACACTTACATTGCAAGTCAGATATATAGAATTATAGAATATACGAATTATAAATTATCGGCCGAGTTTCTCGACACCATATGCCTTCTCAAAGTCCTTTGTAAGCGATTTTCTCACACCGTGTATAGCGGTTTTCTCACATCGTACGTCAGCCTAGATTGAGTCATGAGCCATGTGCCATCGGTATCAATTCGCTTTGGTGTTCACACAGAGGCCGTTTGCACCTGGCGCTTTGCCAGTCGTCATCAGCAGATTTCGGAGCCCATCAGATGGTTTTTTGGCTCTTTTATTTTCGCTTTTCTTGTCAGGATTTCCGCTGGAAAAGTAATGGGCCGGCCCTAATCCTACAGATGTATGCCGTTTTTGGAATAACACCAAGAAAAGTGAATTTTTTTTACCTAATATCTTGCTGCCACTGATTCTGACTGTTTCTCGTTCCCTTTTTCTTTGCCAGGCGTCACCAGCTGATGTCGCTTGGATGAAGGTAAAGTGTATCCTTACTTGATAATCAGCAAAAAGGGTTGAAGTGGTTTTAGCTTTCATAGAAAGTCCGAAAACAGACCAATTGTGAAAATTCACTCTCTTAGGTGTTATTGCAGAAACGGCATATACATCTGTCTAATCAGGGCCGTCCCATCACTTTTCCAGCGGAAATCCTGAAAAGAAAAACGAAAATAATAATTAACTAGCCAAAAAACGGTCTGATGGGCTGCGAAATCCGCTGACGACGATCTGAAGGCAAAGCGCCAGGTGTGATCCGTCGTGCATGGGCGATGCAAAACGTGTGCTCCAAACCAATGCGCGGAAAACACCAAAGCGAATTGATACCATGGTACACGACTTATGACTTAATCTAGGATGATGTATGATATGAGGGGAAAGCGCTAACACGATGTGAGGAAATCGCTTACAAAGGACTTTTGAAAACGCAGTGAGCAACAGATTGACTTCATATGACTATAGTGACTGTTTGTCCTCGCAGTGGTGACAATGTAACAAAACCTTAATAAACTTATATACTTGTGCGAACCTTAATTTGGCACAATCAAATCCCTCATTAATCAACTTCTGTCAGCCTTATCGCCTCACTGCCGCTTCCCGCTGAGAACCTTAGAAGCGAGCAGGCTACAAATATGGCACTGAGCGAGACGCTAAAACTGGCAGCGGGCGGACTGCTATCAAGTTTTCAGCAGGAGGCGAAAGTGGCAGGATAAGGGCACGGCGCTTTTGGTGGGTTTTGGCGGTGGCTTTGTGGCTGCCGGCTGAGAACCTTTGATTGTCGGAGTTGTAATGCACTCGATTTCTTTTACATTTAGAACGGTATATGGAAAAGAAATACGTGCTTCAGCGATTCGTCGGACACTCATGAAACTCCACTATATGAAGCCATCAAAAACGGTTTGTCTTCTTATGGTGTGATCAGAATGTCCGAAGTAAACTTCGCTCATGGCAACCCGGTTAAGGCGGGCCAAAGTTAAATTTGTGGCAGCACTTATCAGCGGTGCCTGCGAACTCACTGCGGGCGCTCCGTAAGCGCATGCTCTCGAAAAAAAAACGCTTTTGTGTGGGTTGGTCGAAGGCGGATCACTGCGTTGAACAAGAGGGCTAAAGTTTAAAGGCTCCTGACCTCGTTTTTATACGCCGTCGGGCAATGCGTCCACTATAAAAAGATGGGAAACGGAGGGATAAAACGAACTTACTGTAAATGATTGAAGTATTTTTTTAGTTCGTTAAAAATCAAAATTAGCCATGTAAATTTTTTAGGACATTGCGAGTCACGCCCCTTTTTTAAGATTTCAGGTGTTATGGGCCCGCAAACATTTTGAAGAGCACCCTAAAGACTTTTTTTCGGAGTGCATGGCTAGCGCCACGCACCTTCATTTGAAAAAAATTCTCCGAGCATTACGTCAGTTAACGTGTCTCGTAAGCTGCGGTAATCATGCGGTAATCATGATTCCTCTGATTCTCCGCTTTTGTACACTATCTTCGTATGTTCGCAGACTGACCGCGACTTAAACCAGACGGTTCCCAGACAGATGAACTTGTTTTCTTGAAGTGAGGGTGGACGGGCGTAAGTTTAACTTGCCAGTTTTTTCTGAGGGGCAGCTCAGTTGGACAGAGACGGCTCTACAAGCTACGGCTCTAATTTGGCTTTACTACAAGCCAAAGTGTTCTTTTCTAGAGCAGTAGGAGGAGGATGCTTCATGATCAATTGGACGACCTGTGCCCTGACGTACCGTACTCGTTGAATAAGCGAGAGAGATGGAAGGTGAATTTATGCGTAAGTATCAAAGTTTCACTTCTAAGACTTTGGTTCAGCTCAGTATCAGAAGTTTTCTTGGTAATAGGCAACCCAACTCAAGCCAAACTTTAGAGACCTTGCTGGTGAGCAGAAGCGATGTTCCTTCAGATGGTAAGAAAAAAACGGCATTCAGTAGAAGGCAAGAAAATATGCGATATTTCAAATTACTTCCATACTTTCAGAATCCGAAGGCAATGAGAAAATTTGTAAAATAGAATTACTTCAGAACGACGATGTAGCAGTGCTGTCAAGCGGAGGAAAAACGATGCCAGTATGCTTGGAAGATCTGCACACTCAAATGTAAATTTCTTTTTTTTTTTCAGATGAGATACTACAGCAATCAGATCAGAACACTGCGACGCATGGATAAGAAAGAAGTCGAGCCCTCTAGAGTTCTTTATAACATTACCATCCCTTCTTCTTCAAAGACAAAATCGAAAAAGGTGTTCAGAAAATGTTCGTTTATTGTCATTTTGACAGCTTTCAAAAGCATCCTATTATATAATGCATGTCCTAATATAATTTCTTCTTCAGCACATCGGCGTCATGTGGCTGCTGCTGAATTTGATTGCTTTGACGAGAGCGAAGACTACAGTGACGATTCACCAGAGATATCGGATTGCGAACTCTATAAACCGTTACGGTCAGATAAGTGTTGCAAATACTGTGGACTAGCTATGGATTGATATCACAGTTTAGCGAAATCACTCTTGCCGATTATCTCAGTCCAAAAGAACACCAGCAGAACAGGGATCTGCATGACAAGTCTCAAATCAAAAGTGCAAGCAATTGTCGTGGAGATGGCATTGGAAAGGTTTGGTGGCTTATCTCCTTTTCATATATACAATACTTTACTTTTGAATACTTGGATAGCACGTCCTCACGTGGCGCGTGGATACAGCCAGAACTTTTCATCGTTCCTCTACCTCGTTTCTAACATTTAGGACTTTTTGATTTGTCGTCAGTGGTTGCTCTGCGTTCCAGCTGTAAAAGTCGAGTCCAATTTCTTGGTTGTCTCTGTACTGTACGAACACGCTTGCCCATGTCGTTGGTGGTCTTCGAGGATCTTTTGCTTCGCGAGGAATACACTCTGATGTTTTTACAAGGAAAGGATACTTGGTCGGAGTGGCGTTTCCATAGAAAATGTTTACTGCCTTATAGAGCATGGAACGCTGATTCCTAATCTGCTTTTGGTATCTGCAAAGCACTTCTGGGAGGGAAGTTATAGGATTTTTTTGACGCAAAAATTTCGAGACGCAGGTACAATGAAATCATTCAGGGCTGTAGTCTGTAACCTTGGAGGGGATCATGATTAGCAGTAGTGCACCTCGTGCAGTTTACCTTTAGTTTAATAAATTTGAGCTAGTCGTTACATTATTCAAGAAAAGACCTCAGCACTCGTCTTTACTTGACCAAGACGTTGAATTTTTGCCTCAAAAAACTCTCATAACTCCCACCCCAAAAGCGCTTTGCAGATACCGAAAGCAGATTTGGAATTAGCGTTCCATGCTCTGTTGGACAGTACACATCTCATATAGGAACTGCACTTCGACCTAGTATCCTTCCCTTGTTAGTGTCCGTCTGTTTTCTGTTATTCTCATGATTGATCGGCCCATCGATGCTTTATCCCAACGTTTCCGCTGGGTCACGATGGCAAGAAATTCTTCCCATATCCGCACTGCGAAGTTCGGCGGGATGTTGCTTGTGTCGGCTGACCTTCAGGAGACTGCGTTCAAGCTCCCTGTGGGTGGTACGTAGGGCTTTCGACATGGCCGTAGTGTCGGCAAAGGTCTCAACTGCGCAACAGAGCGCCTGGGGAACGGTTGAGACGAACAACTAGGTACGAAGCTTCGGTGAGTCAATTGTTTGGTCGTCCTCCAGAGATCGAAGGCAGCCCAGTCTGCTTTTCTTCTCCTGTTGAGTTCTTCCCTCAAGTCGTTCTTCATGTTCATCGAACGACCAAGATACACGTAAGAAGGCGTCTCCATGATAGGGTGCCTTCCAGTTGCATTTCTGCATCTTCGCAAAGGGCATTCTTCATGAGCTGAGTCTTCTTCCGAATTATCCTCTCCAATCCGATCTTCTTCCCTACTGCGTACAGTTCCTTAAGCATCGTCTCTGTTTCAGTGATTCTGCTCGAAAAGAGAACGATGTCGTCCGCAAAACGAAGGTTTGACAGGAATCTCCCATCAACTCGTATACCTCGCTTGTCCCAGTCCAGTGACTTCGGCACCCACTGCAAGGCCGCGGTGAACAGCTTCGGCGAAGTTGTGTCACCTTGTCGGACCCCCTTCTCAACTGGGATGGTCAGGGGCGATGGAACAGCTGCATCATCGTTGTACAGTCCTTATAACAGTCCACTAACGTTTCACGTAAGCTGGCTCCACTCCCTGATCAACTGACGCAGACATGATGGCATTGGTTTCAACGCTGTCAAAAGCTTTCCCGTAGTCGAGGGTAGGTCGAGACGCACGCTATACCCGCTGCAAACTTTTATAACTTTGTTTGGATGTGCCCGTGCAGCTGAATCCTTTGCAAATCGCTTGTTTTGGGCTTCACCTAGTGAATCCATTCATGTCGGAAAAAGTTGGAGTTTCGTCTTCTTTCGGTATGCTGTCAACAGTACATGATATTCCCAGAGGTCCCTTCGGCACTTCTCAAAATTTGATGTTTTGCAACTGGCATGCTATCAATCGCTCGAGGTAAGTTGGATTCGGATCCTGCTTCAAGGCTCTTTCATCCCCTGTTGTTCATCGTGATACGTTTCAATCTCCTCAAAAGTCACCGAGAAATCTTCGAGAGTAGAAGTCGTGAGTCCTCTTCGATGGGTCAGTCAAAATTTGACATGAGTTCGAGCTTGTGGTTGTCGTACACGACTTCTGCCCTTCTTGTGCTGTGCCAAACCTTTTTCCCAGCTTTCGACCGAATCGCACATTCGCAGCAAGGTCCACCTTAGATTGCTAAGAATGCTGTCGGTTCTCCGCCTGAATCGTTCCGTTGCGCGTTTCCTATGTCTACTGGCGAGATGCCTTTTTCATAAATTTAAAAATTCCAGTTGTGCAGCGGAGTGGTGCCCAACAAGATGATTTTCGGAGCCCATATCCAAACGTTTCAATCTTATGTTCCTTTTCAAGTGGCATCCGACTCTCGCGTCAAAGTCGCCCACAGATTTGTAGGGCTACGACCTCCTCCACTTCTTCAAAAAAGTCAGTTTTGTCAGTCAGTCAGTTCTGTTATATCAACTGCTGTTATTGGAGAATAGCAGTTGGTAATGCTGATGGTTTTCTGACGTGGAGAAGGTAGAGTACGATCCAGTCAAGGTAAGAGAGTTTTATACGACTCGACAGTAGGGATAATAGATAGAGGACAAAGCCACACTTTTAACGTTTTTTTAAGGAACTTTTTCAAAACGAATGATGAGGGTTCCATCAGTCAGCTGTCGCACGTCCTTCTTTTTGTCTTCATATCCTGAAGAGCGATGACTTGGTATTCGATGTGCTCTGTAGCGTCCAAAAGAGCGTGGAGGTCTTTGTGAAAACTGTCCTGAAAGGCGCAAAGAATGGGACAGTCTTTATGGCGTGTCGTCGCAGAAATGTGTTTTTGTTCGACCCAGATGGGGTTGTGAGCACCCTGACAACGCCGATACTCACCCACAGCCAGGCGGCGGGAGATTCGGCTGGGCCTCTTCCAAAGCTGGAAATTTCGAACTCTTTTACAGTCTTGGAGGCCTTATCAGAGTACACACCTGGCTATACATTGCAGTATGACTCCCCGTGTCACCCGCACGCCACTGAGGCGGCAGGCCATAGCAGGAAATATGTGGGTTTCAAATATCTATTTGTGAACAAGTCCTTGTCCGCGTACTTTTGAGGCAGCTCCAAACAGATCCTCAAAATGAAATTCTTTTTTTTTCGCATCCTGCATGTGTGTGCGAAACTATGCTTTAGAGCTTGTAAATTCCCTAAAATATTTCTCAATATTTCTTTGAAATTTATTTGTAAATATATTGCAAGGACCGAGTAAAGCAATGGCAATAACTTATTTATTTTTCAGCAACTGACGAATCCTCCCTCTTCACCAGACAAGAGCGTGGATGCTTCGCTTCTCGAGGTCGCCGGCACTCCTCATATTTTCGACGTGCTTGAAATCTTCACTGAACAGCAGATTGATCTGCGAGAGGTGAAAGCCCTGTTTTCATGAGTATCAATGACTGAGATTCTTGGTGCTTCAGGTTCTCAACTCTATCCCACAATGGCTTATAGTTAAGAGTTTTGGCCCACAACATTTATTTGTTAGTAGTCCGGCCGTATCAAAACCCGTATTTGTCCTATTTTTCGAAGTTGAAGAAGAGCGCAAGATTTTTAGGTGATGGTAAAACGACATCATTTTTGTTCAAAATGCTTAGGAAAAAGCTTTTAGGATTCGTATTAGCACAGACTCGAGTTACTCGCATGCAGCAAGCAGGAATCGTCTCCTGAACACTATTTTTAAAAGAAAAATAAACATTCCGTTGTTGTTCAGCAACATACATGTCTTCATTCTACAGACAGAAGTGGCGTAAGTTTCGGTCTTGGAATTGGTGTCGATCTGGAACTCTTTCTGTCACAGGAAGCCCGTAGAACCACGATTCGGCAGTCGGTTCAATTTGTATCCGGAGAATTTTGAGAGCGAAGTAAACTCTGGGATGATTTCACCTAAGGTCAGTCTGTCACTAGGCATTTAAATTTACTGCGCAGTCGCTCTGCGACGCGTGATATGCTCGCGCTCTTCATGAAAGAGCGATTGGGCCGGATGTCTTTTGCACTGAAAGAGCATCGCTTAAAAGTAGTAACGAATTTGGCCGGCAATTGTGTTGTCAAATTGGAAGTGAATCTAAAGTTGATTTGCAAAACCAGGGAAGCAGGAGAAGTTGCTGGGCCTTGGCGACGCGCGGTGGATTTTTTGTGTGACCCTTTGAAAAACATACGCATTGAGATCAAGGTATATTATCTTATTTGGGTAAGTGGCACTCTTTTTATATATAATTAAATGTTTTTAGAATCATGTTGACTTATTCCATGTTTTGAAGGTCACGCGTCAGGTAATGCATTAGCTAGGTACGTCGTTTATTACCGAGCGAGCACTAGGGATCGGGATTCCGTCTAGGTGCCTTGAGCCCACCGAGTTGCCATGCGTCTTCTTCTGTCCCTTTTCTTTTTTCAGTACTAGTAATCCTAGGAAACGCTGCACATGTATACTACCAAAACTACCACTTTTCCGTTGTAAGAGGGTCCGTAAAGGTCGGATCTGTCGCAATCCAAGGTGAAGAATGGTTATGACTTTTTTCATTGCGAAGCCTTTTCACAATAATTCTAGATATGAACTTCAAATACAAAAAATTCCCTCTTTCGAACTCTTGTTTTTTAAAAGCGGGGGCTAGTGCTTGAAGGAGTGAGAGTGGTCGCTAGTCAGCCCTGAAAAAACTTGAACACATAATACGAATATCAGATTTAGGTGCCGCAACAGGATTTAGGTGCCACATCAATTTAGTCTGTGTCGTTTCTAGGTGAGCAGGTTTGTCGCACAGGGACTTATATCTCATCCAGAACTGCTCAACTTTCGAATTTCGTCTATCTACAAAGACATTAAAGCAGTATGGTGCTCTATATTTTTTTTGTTTTTCGGCGTTTCTCATAACGGTCGCATCTAGGATCGCTCATCAGAATGCATCGCTTGCAAGTCTTCGAGCAAAACCGACCTCTTCCTTATTTCGAACGGTGTGATGTGTCGACAATGTGTTGCTGCCTTTATCATTCATCAGCTGCGCCATAATCATCACCCTATAGAAATCCCTGTAAGAAAACCTCAATTTGAAGAAAAGTGCTGACACCATCTGATTCAGATAATCACCACCGGGGGTATCTCTCCACTAGAGCGCCTGTATGCCATTTTCCCACTTCCGTTTATGACTTTTCTGCTCCAGGTCTGTGCCATACGAACGAATACTGTAGGAGAAGTGAGATTTGGAGAAAGTTTTGCTAAAGACTCTCTTTTCAGAAATCTTTCACTTCCGCAAATCCACGGCTCAAAATTGAGAAATGCCCTCACTGCTCAGTTACTCTCACAATACCTCCAGTATGTGGTGAGAAATCAACACAAATTTTTTTTATCAATTGTCTAAGTCGTCAATCTTAATGTGGCAACTCTATTCACTCCGGTAGCCCTACAGCCTGTGTCAATTATGTATTTCGTTTTCCATTGACACAATCCTCATGCTAGCTGCGCGCGCATCCATGCGCGTACGTCTTGTGCCTTCAATCTGTCCTATCGGGTCCGCATGCAAGGTCTTCTCGTAGTTCCTACAGTAAGCGTCTCCCAGCGGAACCAACTAATCTCTATAAATAAAAAACTCAAAAATTGTCTGTTTGGAGGGTATGTGCGTTATGAAAACGCGCACCGCTCAACCGATCGGGCTAAAAGTTTGCACATAGATGATTTCTTCAACCCCGGAGGCGGTTTTAGACTGCTTTTCGCTGGAATTAGCTGACAAGGGAACGATACTTGATGTCCGTGGCCTTTTGAGATGAAACGTATACCCTCACACTCGTTTTAGAACGCTGATTCCAAATCTGACTTCCTTTTCTGCTAATCGTTTCTCTAAAAGAAGTTATGAAGGATTTTCGCGTCAATGGTTGCCTAAGAGAAATGCGGCCGAGGATGCCTAACTTTCAAAAAGAAGCTTGATTAAGGGAATGCAAAACTGAAGAATACAAAAGGACTCGAACCTAATAAGCCTACATTAACTTGCGAAGCTATCGCACTAGCCACTACACCACATCTTAGCGACGGTTTTGGCATTCCGAACACGTCTCCTTTGACACAAAAATCCTTCATAACTTCTTTTAGAGAAACGATTAGCAGAAACGGAAGTCAGATTCGGAATTAGCGCTCCAAGATGAGTGTAATGGTATACATCTCATCTCAAAAGGCCACGGACACCAAGTATCGTTTCCTTGTGAGATCTACTATCGATTTATTGATCTGTTTGTTCGAATCTATGGAAATGGATGCTCATCATGTTTTGACCAAGCATTCTCCGAAATTCGTATAACGGTGGACAAGCACATTTTCATTTCGCGGTGAAGAGGATGCGGTGTTGCAAAGCGATGCAGCCAGGATGAAGGACAAGTCAACACAGGAGTCAGAGGAACGAGAGGCGCAGGTCTGGAGCGGGTGCATGAAAGAAGAAAGGAAGAACTTGCCGAAGGGTGAAGAAGAGTGGAAGATTGGAAATTCAGGAAGGGTGAGTTGGACGCTTTAGGAACGATTTTGGATCCTCGCGGCATCAGGTGTTCAGACCCACAGTCCGTGCGCGCCGCATACGCCAGCCAGTTACTAATAAAACTACGGTAACGAGATAGAAGCTCCAGATTTTGCCAAGTAGGAAACAGTATAGAAATTATTAGAGAAAAGGACCGTGGACTTGAGAGATGAGTGTATGGGTGGCACCGGGACATCCGCCCCAAGATGAGAAGACGCCGTTCGTCCTCAAAACTCTTTCTGAATGCTTTAGCGCTTCGGCTAGCTCCTACATGCGTGACTGTATATTTTAACACTATCAGACCTCAAGATCACTTCGAGCATGAATCGCTGTTCCCATAACACACAAACGGTAACATTAACATCCCACGGTAAATAGCGGACTGCTCTTACGCCTACGCAGTAAAGGAAATAGTTGACACAAATTGTACAAGGACTTTCTTTGTGAAAATGAATGGAAGACATAGATGACTAAAGAGCCTCAGCGGATCAACCTCGGCTCCACTGGGTCCTAGAAAGCTCCGCATCGTCAGTTCCTCCCCCTCCACCTCCTTCCCCTCCACTTGTTGAAATTCACACAGTTCCCACCATAGTGCAATATTGGGCAGCTCTGGCTGAGTGGGTGTCACACCCTTGTCACACACGGTGGAGCTACCCGCTCACTTTAGGTATCTTTGCATGCGTAAAGGCATATACGTAAAGACTACTGCCAATGAAGGCGCAAAACCTAGAGGCGCGAAAGCGATTTTTCGTTCGCAGAGCGCATTAGGTGCAGGGTTTATCACGATGGAGATACGCGAGCGCCGCCGTATTACAAAAAACGTTCAAATGCGTCTTTACAGAATATAACAGCTGCTCATGCTCCAACTGTGGATGCGTTTTCTGTTACCTTTGTAAATGGGAACCTCACTGGCCAATGGACTGCGAACAGTTCAAACAATGGAGCGCTAAATGGGACACACACTGTAATTTCAGAGCCTAGTTCAACTTCGGTTAGATTCATAATTCTTTAGATTTGTTTGAGAGCAACAATGTCTTCGAGGGCAAACAAGTGCGAATATGCTGCGAATGCGGGAGAGCCTTTCATGTATGTAGGTTTTTACAAGTGCAAGGTTATCGAAGGACTTTAGGTTGACAAGAACTTTTCGGGACCGATTCGTTGCCCCGCCCCTGATTGCTGGTGGTCGTATGATGAGAATGGTGTACACCATCACTATCATAAATATGTTCCTGCTTCTACACCAAAGGTCGTGGCGCATCTTGCCGCTTTAGGCGAGGTTATCAAGCCATGCCCTGAATGTGTAGGTCAAACAAAGTCATGGAAGTCGACAGACTAGTTGCCTATTTAGGGGAGACGACTCGAGCCGAGTACTGTTAAGGCCAGATCTATCATTGATAAGAATTTTTCTAGTGTAAGCGGAGCTCTGTGCAGTCGATTAATCTAATTCTAACTTTGTATTCAGTTATGCTCAAAAGCAAGAAAGCAACGATTTATAACGCACAAGCGGGGAGATTTTGAAAAATTCATCTCTGAAATCCTTCCAACGAAGAAAGAGCAACTTGCAGCAATTGACCTCAGAAAGACGGTAGCATTCTAACTTGCACATGAAGTACTTTCTCTCCCCCCCCCCCCCCTCTACAATCGCTCGCTTTAGGCCCTTTTCTTGGTAGGAAATTGCACAGCATTGCTTTACATCACTAAGCCTGATAACTGTTACGCTTTGAGAAAAGAAGTTGCAAATCTTCTGCGGAAGCTATTACTCATCCAGAGTCGCACTTCTGCCATAACCAAGTAAGTTTACTATTATCATGATTTTCTATAACATTTTTTCTTCAGGGGAGAATTTATCACGGAGATGAACAAGCTCAGAGAATCCACTGGTAGCCTGATTGAGTTGTTTCGCAAGTATATAAAGGTAGAGTAGATGGTAAACCTGTCATAATAAAGAAAAAGCATCCGACAGCATTTTGGATTCATTTTGTTTGCAAGAACATGTATTCGTGCTTTCCCACTGCATATCGCAAAGTAAGGATGTACAGGCTACTGCATAACAAAGGTGCAATACCTTTAGGCGCGAACGCGGCTTTATTAGCCTCAGAACGTATGAAGCGCAGGGTCAACGGTGAAGATATGCACGCGCTGAGTTCACGCCCGCTTAACTAATACTGCTTCTGCACCTTCGTCCTGTAGTAGGCTTCACAAGGTGCAACTGTTGTTGCGCCGCAGATCCGTCGCTGCAACTCCTTGTTGCGAGCGTGTTTTTGATATTGGAATTGATGGATTTTTTGCTTTTAAATTCATGCCCAGTCCAACCTTTGAGCAACAATTTTTATCTTGGAAGCGTTTCACAATGTAAACTGCATCACTATGCTACTGTAAACTTCTTTGCGTACCTTGATGTACCTTGAGTAAGAATTGACTTTAGATATGATCTCATACCAAATGCCATAATTAGAGACATTAGATTAAAGTTTTCGTCTCTTGCCTATAGAAAGCGTAAATTTGACCTTCTCATCTTATATATAAAGTGAATGTCTATTTGTATGTCTGTACTAGCTGGCAAACCCGGCTCCGCCCGGCCCTGTCATTATTATATTCGTAATCAGCATGCTCGATTACCCCCTGTGCCAACTCCCAGCCCCGTAGCTCAAATTTTGCAAAAAATCGATAAAATCGATATCGATCGATGACGAGAAGTAGCCTATGACACCCGCCCGGCCCAAAGTGTATGTGTGCCAAGTTTGATCCGGATCGGTTCAGAAATAAAAAATTTCTATTCGGAACATACGTACATACAGACAGACATACATACATCTTATATATAAAGCTGAATGTCTGTATGTCTGTCTGTATGTACGTATGTTCCGAATAGAAATTTTTTATTTCTGAACCGATCCGGATCAAACTTGGCACACATACACTTTGGGCCGGGCGGGTGTCATAGGCTACTTCTCGTCATCGATCGATATCGATTTTATCGATTTTTATCGATTTTTTGCTGAGTTCACCTACGGGGCTGGGAGTTGGCACAGGGGGGGGGAGGGTAAGTGAGCATGGGGATTCCGAATACAATATTACTTTTCAGAATTATCGATTACTTTTATCGATTTTATCGATTTTTTTGCAAATTTTAACCTGCGGGGCTGGGAGTTTGCACAGGGGGGTAACCGAGCATGCTGATTACGAATACAGTATTAGTTTTGAAAATCGTCTATTATGTTTATCGATTTTATCAATTTTTTTGCAAAGTTTGAGCTACGGGGCTGGGAGTTGGCAAAGGGATGACCGAGCATTCTGATTACGAATACACTATCAGTTTTTGAAATTATCCATTACCCTCGTCGCTTTTATCGATTTTTTTCGCAAAGTTTGAGCTAAAGGGCTGAGGTTTGGCATAAGGAGTAATCGAGCATGCTAATTACGAATACAGTATTAGTTTGGCGCTATTCGGCTATCCGGGTCCCAAATTTTTTTTGTCGTAGAGCTTGCTCGAACTTCGTCTATGGGGGTTATCTTACATGCTGATTACTGATATCACGTTTTCTCCGCAAAACGTCTCCCCGTGTGGCTACGATAAGTTTACGGTAGGAAGTCAAAATCATGAATTCGGCTGGAGTTCGGTCCATATGGCTTATTCGACATGCTAATTACGAATATCATCTCTCTCTCTCTGCATATTGGGACCTTTCCATAGAGATGTGGTGGTTATATGGCATGGGGTCGAAAACATAGGTTTGCTTTAAACTTCGTCTAGGGTGGTCATTTAGCGCGCTAAACATGAATACCATCTTGAATTCGTAGGATGGCGCCATTTTTTTTTTGGGTTACGGTGGGTGTACAACAGATGGGTTGAAGTTTTAGATTTGCTTAAAACCCTACCTGGAACGGTTTGCAAGCATGCTGCTTATGAATACTTGCTCGCTGTCATAACGCATTATTGTGAAGTTATGGTTAGTTGCAGGGTTTGAATGAATATTTCTTCGCTTTCGGGCCAGCTTAGATATTCACGCCCAGATATTCACGAAATGGGGGAACGGTCGTTTTGCATGGCGGTCTCCAGCGCCATAACCTGTCCGAACGCGTAACGCACGCGTCAAATCTCCCCCCCCCCCCCTTTTGCTTAGGCAAAAGCCGCCGAAGGGTGTAACGCGCGCGGCAGTGGTCCTACAAGGAAAGAATAACAGTCGTGGGAAACCTTCTACCCAACACGAATTCCCTTTATCGTGGGGATTGAATACTTTTTGAACAACACTTTATTTAACCCCCTGCCAAGGTTTCAAACAGGTTCATGATTTTTATCCGCTCCCATTTACCTACCGCAACTCTGCGAGAAGATTTCAAAACGCAAGGAGAGTGTTTCAATCGTGGTCAGAAAATCGAATCTCTCTAGACCGAATTCCAGCCAAAACTGTGATTTTGTCCCTCTGCAGTATATTTACCGTAACTCAGTAACGCCCCAAAATGCCGAAGGAGCATGATATTCGTAATCAGCATGTCAACTGCCCCCCCCCTAAGCAAAGCTTCAGTGAAATTCATGATTTTAGCTTCTTACGTGTACCCACCGTAAACCCAGAAAATGGCACTATTCGTCATCAGCGACTCGAATAATCCCCGTGTACCGAGTTTGAGCAAGATCCATCACAAAAACATTTTGGGGCCCGGATAGCCGGATAGCGCCATCAGTTTTAGAATTATTCTTACTATTATCGATTTTTTGCTTTTTTTTGCAAACTTTGAGCTACGGGGTGGAGGTTGTTGAAGATAGGTGAGCATGCTGATTACTAACACAGCGGGAATAAGGAATTGCATGTAGAAGTGTGCACGGGGAAAGATTGTACAGGGAGAGGAACGGGACCTTTATCTTTTTGACAGAGCCGGGCGGAGCCGGGTAAGCCAGCTAGTGGCAAATAAGATTGCATATAATTATTGTGGCTTGGATTTCGGGGTGCTTTTTCCTACCAGGATTTCTAATACAAGAGGAGGAATTATGAGATCATCTGCGGATAACACAAGGTTAGCAGAGATTTTTTTGCATGTCGTATCACTATCGGCATGAACAAGCTAATTCTCAGACATATCACCGGAACTTCCGCAGGACAAGCAAAATTTGGTTCCGCAGGATTTTGTTCACTAGTGCAAAAATGAAAACGTTGAAAATCAGAACTTTCGAGGGGATTTTCGTGCCAAACTGGTTGAAAACCGGAACTTCCGCAAAACCTTCTCTAACCTGCCGAAATTCCGAAAAATGCCAGAAGTTCCGCAGCACTTTGGCCTGCCAAAACTTCAGCAGGACTTTGAATGTGTTGTCTCGTGATGTTGTCTCACCAACAATTAGAGTGCATTATCGAACATGTCAGCTGTATAGAGGATAGTAGGTGGGTCTCACAGTCAATAGAGTGAGATTCAAATCTCGCTTCGGTGTTCTCTCTTGCTGTTGTGGTTGGCATTCTTCTGAACTTCCGCAGGGCCTCATTTCGGAACTTCCGCAGCACGTTTACGGAACTTCCGCAAGTGACCCGGCGGAACTTTTGCAAGCGCTCTGCGGAAGTTCCGGTCATTTGCCTGAGTTAGAAAACGCTTATTTCCTGAGAAGTTGTCTACGTCTAAGTCCGTCCTAGGCAACTATCCACAGTCTTAGTGGAATGTTGTTACTAACACAGGTTGTTTACGAGATATCACTTAAGATTGCATTTTTGTTGTGTTCTGGTTTCGTTTATTTTATTTCTTATTGTTCGCTGTTGCGGTTATTATAGGGTTATCCTATGCAAGAAATGAAATGAAATGAAAACAAAATGAAATTTAAGGTCACTGCTGGACGAAGATGCAAACCTAGAGCCGCCAGCGCGGTTCCATTAGCCATAGGGCTCAGAGGCGCAGAGTTCACAGTGGTGTAGATACGAGCGCATCACGTTCGCGCCCACTTGACCAATGTTAATTTGCGCCTTCATCCGGCGTAGAGCACTGATCAGTGAAATGTGTAAATAAGCTGTAAATTAAATCAAAACAAAATTATAAACTATCATAATTTATGGACTGTAGAAAATAAAGCATCTTTGTTATCCATATTTCTTCACTAAATTCCTTGCAAGTTCCATCGGATACGGGATCACAATCGTCCTGTTCCTATAAGCAAAAAAATTGATATCTTCGAGTATTCGTTGTTAGGCAGACTTCTGTGCCGCCACTTGTTGCAAGGTAGACAAATATCGCAGTTGAATTGACATTGTATTCTGGCTAAGCATATCAGCTGCTTCCGACATACACCTGTAAAAGGGATGTTGAGAAAACACTACAGTCGATAGTTTGATATAATATATAATTTTATTGTAAGCCTCTGTTAATTCCTTCACTTAACAGACAAAATGAAAGCATCTATAAGTCCTTTCTAGAACTCCTCATTTAAGAAGATCTCATATACTCTGGGTACACCTTATAATACAATATTCATAGAACCTTTTCTTCAAATGGTGAGGTTTATAAGTTTACATTTAGATATAGCTGTAAAAATTGATGTAAGAAATACTATTAGGTTGGCCCATAAGTCTTATCATTTTTGAGTTTTCGCAGTAATAAGTCATGTACTTCTCATCTTCAAGTAAACATCAAAATACCATTCGATAGGGCAAATCAAGCTCTATAAAATGGCATTAATGCTTTTGCACCAGCCTCGATCCTCCTAAAGTCAAAAACCAAAATCTAGTAAGCCCAGAAAATTGAACATTTTTATATCTTCGTTCAAAAAAGTCTTATGAATCTCTCACTCGCTCACGCATATACACTCGACATCAAACACTTATATGTGCTATTGCTGTATTTCTTTATTACCTAGAAATCAAGAAACCGAAATTTTCCATGTTGTTACCAAGGTGACGCTGTGCTGTTCTCATACTAACAGTTGTATACTACGAGCCCTTAGAAGTACAGCCATAAATTTTTAGATTTTTAAAAGCCTTGGCTCTTGAGAAATGTTGAGTTAAGCGTGGCAAACCCAAGTGAGGAAAGCTAAATTCGATATTTGTCGGGAACTATGGCTCTTGGAGGGCTAAAAATCTACGGTTGTATACTACGAGCCCTTAGAAGTATCTAAGGGCTCGTAGTATACAACTGTTTGTGTGAGAACAGCACAGCGTCACTTTGGTAAGAACATGGAATTTTTTGGTTTCTTGATTTTTAGGTAATAAAAAAAATACAGCGATAGCACATATAAGTGTTTGATGTCGAGTGTATATGCGTGAGCGAGTGAGAGACCTGTAGGACTTTTTTGAACGAAGATATAAGAAATTTTCAATTTTCTGGCCGTCTGAAACTTTATAGATTTTGGTTTCAAACTTGAGATGGATGGAAGCTGGTGCAACCGCATAAACGCCATTTTATAGAGCTTGCTTTGCTCTATCGAGTGGTTTCCTGAAGTCTATTTGCAATAAGACGTGTTGACTTAACACAGCGAAAATTCAAAAATGAGAAAACTTATGGACAACCTAATATATTGGCTGAACGGTGAAAAATGGGACAGCACGATTTATATTACATTTTGAGATTATTTTCGACCAATAACTAGCACGCTGCAACTCAAGTGTCGCTTACATAAGCGACCTTCGCTTATTTGCTACGCGTACAGCTCTTCTCTTTAAGGCCTCGAATACTTTTCCAAAGTCGCGGCGATATGCGATTTGGCAAATTACCAGATGTCTGCAAATCTACCGCGTGTGGAATTCAAGTGCGTAGGCGCACAGTTTTTGTACGCTTATGCGTAAATGGACCTTACAAAGTATGCGCCTACGTAAGATTATGAACAATCGTGGTGATTAGAAAGCGCGTGGCGATGAGGTATGACCGATCTCTAACTGTACGCGAGGCGCCGCGAAGAACAAAGACAGGTTTTTTGAATTTCTCAATCTTGCGCTGCTATAGCGTAAGATCGTAGAGCAAGTGGCACACGGTACGAAAGAGCTCTTCATGCTCTTCCAAACTATCTATCAAATATATAAGATTTCGTTTGATATCAAAAAAAACTTGAGAAATAACGATTTTTTTTGCACAATAAAAACCAAAAGATCATGTCTGCCCTGTATTTTCCTAAAATAGATGGAATTTGAGGTAAACGGCATATGGATGGATAGAGCGTAAAAAGCTCTATCATGTGGTATCTAGAAAAAAATGCGTTCACTTACAAAGAACTAAGTAACACGTATCTTCGTTCTCAAAACCTCTGTTGACCATATCTCCTGACTTTGAGCGTTGGAGCCACCAAGCCATCGTGGGTTTGGTGGCTGCACCACCCATTGCAGCAGTGGCATTTTAGATGTTCTCACATGTTTCACTGCGCAGATACTGCTCGAAGTTCATTTGTCAAAGTGATTGACCTTGCATTTCAGTTATAAAAGTTATTAGGCATGTAAATGACCTTAAATAGGTATTATATGAAAGAGAATAACATATTCTGACAAATATCAAGATCAGAAAGTTTGCTCATTCCCCTTTTTCGAGAATACACTTATTTTCTAAGTGTCCCATTTTTTATTGTTCACCCAAATATCAGGCTGGAAACTAAGTTTTGCAACTTCTTTCATAACTTTACTCTCTTTGCACGTGGTGCTCTCATACTTCAGCAGTATGTAGAGCGTAATGTGAAACTGTTTAAGTTTTGAACACGAATGTGAAAAATTTCAGACGTTTTTCAGGCAAGATCGTAGAGCAAGTGGCACACGGTACGAAAGACGGACAGACGATCACAGACGATCTGTCACGTTTTGGTCACCCGAAAACTGCAAGCAATGAAGATGACCTGAGCGATGTACAAACTGATAGTGGACAATCGTTAACTTGATATCAGGGATGTAGCCAAGTCTTAGAACAATGTGGAGCTCGCACACAGTATCATTTATGAAGTTCCGCAGAAGAAAAAGCTCCGGGCATATTGAATGCCGCTCACTTTGAAAGAGAAGCTGACTCGTGTGCTGGCTTCTGAAGAGGTTTTGGCCAAGATCTGGAGAAATCCTAAGGGTTTTTGGAGGCGGTTCGTGAAAGTAAAAGAAAGGTCTACCACTACACTCAGAGTCTAAAGAAGTGTCACGAAGTTAGACTGCCAGAGGTGAACATTTATTCATCAAAGTCAGAAAGGAAAATCCAACTCGAAAGCTTCTGGCTACCGTTTTTGGAATTCGAGGGAGGTTCCGATAATCTTGAAACAGGCAAGAACGATCATGCGAATACTATGCTGGACTTTAGATCGTCTTCATACAAATATCCTCTCCAAAAGAGCTGCATTCCATATGAAAGCCCTTCTCCATTAAGACTGCGCGCCCGCACACAAGTGTAGCGATGGCGAGTTCTTAAAAACGCTACGAATTTACCAATACCCACCAGATTCTCCAGATTTGGTCACCAGCGACCTTCTTCTTTCTGAAAACCTCAAGTCTTACCTGGACACAATTTTCAAGCAATGAAGAAGTCAAAGCAGCTCTGAAAGATTACTTCGACTCCAACGACCAATCTTTTATAGGATAATGGCATACGAGGACCGTCCCAGCAAGTGTATTGAGCTTCAAAGAGATTATACTGAATGGATAAGTAGGTTTCTGATGTTTATGTACGTGTTCTCAGTGTTAGGCCAGAAAGGGCCAGAAACTTTACAAACATCCTGTATACAGTTTCTGCACTTAGTTTATTATTGTAAATTCCTTTCACTGATTTGCGGATTTCACTTTCTTGATAGTTAGTACGACCGATAGATCATCCATATACCGAAAGGCAAAAAGGTGATTACTGCAATCTATTTTCTAGAGGGTATATTTGGATACCATGATAGGGATAGATCTGCTAGCAAAAATTAAATCTGATTTGTAAATCATTTATTGAAAGCTTATCGCACGCGGGTACGGGGTACCGATCAAGATAGTACGTGTTTGGAAGAAGCAGCAAAACGTTGGAAGGATGAAGGGCGTTTTTCTGAGAGACGCTGAGCACCCGCAGCGGTCCTGTCTCCGTCTGTGATAAATCTATATACCCTCTGCTTCAATCAGATCGGCGCACGGAGGCGGGGCTTTGTGACCTAACTAAGGTCGCTCGCGCCCGTGACGCATCTGCGTCTATCTCGCGCTAGTGCTCTGTAACCATCTTCTAACCTCAACTAGGTCACGAGGACCCGCCCTCCGTGCGTCGATCTGGTTGAAGCAAAGGGTATATATATATATATCTTATATATAAAGCTGAATGTCTGTCTGTATGTATGTATGTATGTATGTATGTCTGTACGTATGTGCGGAATAGAAATTTTTATTTCTGAACCGATTTGGACCAAACTTGGCACACATATACTTCGGGGCAGGGAGCGTGTCATAGGCTACTTTTCGTTATCGATCGATATCGATTTTATCGATTTTTATCGATTTTTTTGCTGAGTTCACCTACGGGGCCGGGAGTTGGCACAGGGGGGTAATCGAGCATGGGGATTCCGAATACAATATTGGTTTTCAGGATTATCGATTACTTTTATCGATTTTATCGATTTTTTTGCAAAGTTTGAGCTACGGGGCTGGGAGTTGGCACAGGGGGGTAATCGAGCATGGGGATTCCGAATACAATATTGGTTTTCAGGATTATCGATTACTTTTATCGATTTTATCGATTTTTTTGCAAAGTTTGAGCTACGGGGCTGGGAGTTCGCACAGGGGGGTAATCGAGCATGGGGATTCCGAATACAATATTGGTTTTCGGGATTATCGATTACTTTTATCGATTTTATCGATTTTTTTGCAAAGTTTGAGCTAGGGGGCTGGGAGTTGGCACAGGGGGGGTAATCGAGCATGCTGATCACCCCCAAGGGGGGTGATCAGCATGCTCGATTACACCCCTGTGTCAAATTCCAGCCCCCTAGCTCAAATTTTCAAAAATTCGATAAATTCGATAAAAGTAATGGACGATCCTGAAAACTAATATAGTATTCGTAATCTGCATGCTCGATTACCCTCCTGTGCAAACTCCCAACCCCGCAGGTCAAACTTTACAAAAAAAAATCGATAAAATCGATAAAAGTAATGGACGATCCTGAAAACTAATATTGTGTTCGTAATCAGCATGCTCGATTCCCCCTGTGCAAAATCCCAGCCTCGCATGTCAAAATTTACAAAAAATCGATAAAATCAATAAAAGTAATCGATAATTCTGAAAACTAATATTGTATTCGGAATCCCCATGCTCACTTCCCCTCCTGTGCCAACTCCTAGCCCTGTAGGTGAACTCTGCAAAAAAATCGATAAAAATCGGTAAAATCGACATCGATCGATAACGAAAAGTGGAGTATGACACGCTCCCTGCCCCGAAGTGTATGTGTGCAAAGTTTGGCCCCGTGCGAAGCCGGGTACGCCAGCTAGTATATATATATATCAGTGGCGTACCCAGGATTTCGGCTCGGGGGGGGGGGGGGGGGGCGCGACAAAAAATTTTTTCTAAGGAAGGTGCGTGGCGTTAGCCACGCACTCCGAAAATTTTTTTGGGGTGCTTCCAAGAAGATTTGCGGGTCCCCGACCCGCCCACGGAAAAAAAATTTTTACAAGGATAATTAGAATTTTTAAAAATTTTTAAAAATTATTTTAATTATTTACAAAAATAAACAAGTCACTTGCACATATTTATAACCCATATAAGTGACTTTCAAAAATTTCGCGACCCATTCTGGGGGGGGGGGGGGGGGAGCGCGCCCCCCCCCCCCCGTCCCCCTCCCCCTCAGTACGCCACTGATATATATATATATATATATATATGTATATATATATATATCAGCACTTATAATAAGCCGCCTAATCTGAGGCTGTGTAAAGTTTGTGGGTGCAGGGCGGTTCGCACGACCGTAATGCTTTCCGCGCAGGACCGCCGCCCCGCGCGACACGCCCTGCGGCGGCTTTTGCCTAAGCAAACCAGGGGGAGGAGAGATTTGCGGCGTGTGCGACTTGTCAAGGTAAGTCAAAATCAGGGTGGCGCTGGATACCGCCCGTGCGAAAAGACCGTTTCCCGAAGTTTGTCCGTTACGAAATTACAGTGAGGAATGATTTACAATACTTTAAGCGTATGTTATCTGATAGAGAGGGTGTTCATTTTCAACTAGGGTCGCTCTGAAGCACTAGTATATATATAGAACGCAAGCACTGTACTTTGTTAGGATGTTTGTGGCTTAAAGACTCTCTTGTATGTGAACTGAAGAGGCTGAATTTTGTTTTTTATAAATGAGACACGGCGCAAAATATAGGCTACTTTTCGCAACATTTCGTTGGGTCCTTCCATCAATTTATTGATTTGTTTACTTATATCTAAGAAAATGAAAACATATCAATCATTCCTCCAAGTTAAGTGGTAAGGGGAAGTGGAGATCATTCACATTTTGCGGTGAGGAGGATGCGGTGTCACGAAGCTAGGCGGTCAAGAAGGAAGGCAATTGCACCGTGGATACCACAGCAGCGCCGCAAATGAACTCGGAGCTGAAGCAGGAAAAGAAGCTGCCATATAAGTAAGAAAATGGAGGAATGGTAAGCCATAAAAACGATTTCGAACAAGCAATATGTCGGGCCACTTTGGACCCTCAGCCCGGGCGGGACCGGGGACGGCAGTTAGTTGCTTATAGAATAAAGTTTGTCATTTTTATTCACTTACTTGGAAGCGCCCTTCTCGCCTTCAGCATGAAACATGGCGGCTCTCGCTCGTCGAACAGCTAATGCTTCAGCGGCCAAACTTCGCATGAGCTGATGAGGAAGACGGATGTCCTTGATTTCAACGCGCTCTACCTGAAGCTGCTCAGTAAAGACCTTACAAGTACTCCGAAAATTCATGCCTTTACTCCCCATGGTACCGTGCCTTCATCCAACACTTTCTCAGTAATCTGAAATGACTGGTAAAGATGTTTAGGACAAAAAGTATATATAGACAAACATTTGCTATCGCATCCCGTTCGGACAACATTTCACTCAAAGTTTTCGTGCCCAGCACATTACGAAGTGTAGTCTGAGCGAGGAGACGGGTACTGAACTGTGCATCGTTCACGGTTGTCACTGAGATTACCTGCAATCGTTCAAAATGGAACATTGAAATTCGGTGTGGTAATGATTGTGTGGACAGAATGATTACCAAACATCGTTGCTTTGCACTGACAAGGGAATGATCATAAGTCGAAGTGGCCAATCCAAGCAAGTTGGCTATCATTCGATACAGCATTCAACCCTGATTTTGAAACTTTTTCCATATCTGCTTAGCGCCTTTGTGGACGAAGTTATGAGCAGTTTTATTGCAAAAAACGTACATAAAAATTGCGTTGAGCACACTGTTGCACTTTCAGCTTACCTTTAGGCTTTACGAGTATAGAGTGACCAAGCTGCATGCTTAAGCCCGGCATTAAGCCGAACATGGCTCTGTACTGCCAAATTTGCGCTTTACATGCACGATTTCTTAGTAATATAACGGCATTTCCGCTCATAATTCGCCCACATAGGCGCTAAGCAGATATGGAATACAGATTCGAAGTCAGCGTTTTGTGCTGCATTTAACGGTACACAGCTTGTTTAAATTGGCCACTTCGATTTCTGGATTTCCTTGTGAGACACCCATGTTGAATAGTCAAGGTGAAAGCTGATAGTTAAAAGCACCGTCCACCCAAAATGGGGTCGATGAGATTTTGAAGCCTAACAGTAGAGGGCCTTCAACGTTTTACCGGCGCAACTTGCGCTGCTAAAAGTTGCTTCCGAAGCGAGAAAATCGTTTTGGAAGACGGATTCGCCGCGCTGGCTCCTCCCCATTAGGTGGGCGGTTCTCGCGTGGGCCACTCCCCTGCGTCCCTGGGCATACCTCACGCGATTTGGCATCCAATTGTTCGTGACTCATTGTAAGAGGTTTCTGAGTGTACGGAAGACAGGGCAGTTTATCATCCTACGAAAGTTATACATGCTGCACATTTGGGGTCTGCCAGAATTAAATTTGAAGACATCTGGCAAATTCCCAGATCGCGGCGCGACTGAAATCGCTTGATTACGCCCATGGTCTTCAGCGACATATAGTCCCCTACCCGTTCTCGTCCAAGATAAGATTTTCATTCAATTCTAGGCCTGGATTTCAACTCAGGAGCGCAAGAGATGCGAAAAAGAACTCGAAATCAAAAATAAGGGTGGAGGGTGCCTCTAAGTAAAAGATTGGAAGTAGAGAAATTCATAGTGCTTACCGGATTTGAGACCCTGAAGTAGATGACCGCTTCCACCAATACCGTTACTGTGTCACGGCTAAGAATTTCTTGTGGTGGAACATCTAAGGAGAGAATTCGTAGGTCGACCTAAGCATGATTTTAGTATACACTAGTGACAAACAAGTCTAGTAACAAATGATTTTTCAGAGTTGACTATATTGCCATTTTATTATACATGTCTTCATCAAATTTCAGCATTTTCGTGGAATGAGGATAACCGAAGCTTACGATACATATGCTACACGTATAAAACACAGATCTTATATTATACTAAAGTTTACATTTTTTGCTCCAGAAAGCTGAAATCCTACAATCCGCGCTATTGACTCGTTCGTTGGTCCGTGTAATTCAAAAGCTACCGTACGACATCGTAAAGCTAGTGTAAGACTTCACTATAAAAATGGATGTCATATCTGCGAATTGGCTGAGTTTCTCAAAAATAGGATTGGTAAGAAAATTGTTAAATTTTCCTTCCTCCACAAGACCATCGTTACAGGATGAATAACACTGTCATTAGCTCGTTTGAAGGCAACATCCAGTCAAATTAAGGGTGGTGAGATTTTGAGCCTATATGGTAGCGGGGTTCCTGAATAAGCAATCGCTCAAGTCTCGGTGCAAAAGATGAATCTCAAAGCGAGAAAAGCGCTCCAAAAGATGAAGGCGGCAACGCTGGCTCCGCCCATCAACGTGGGTCTTAAAGGCATTGTCCAGGACTGGAGGGTGGTGGAACTTTGACGCAGTGCGGGTGCACGCTAACGCAAAAGTTTAAGTCCGATCGAAAAAGGTGGATTCTGAAGCGAAAAAATTGCTTTGAGAATTGCTTTGGATAAAAGGGGCGGTCCGCTAATCCTGCCTCTTTAACAAGTTTTGACGTGGTTAATACATCGATCTACAGTATTCGCCACGTCAAAACTTCTCAAGGAGGCGGGATTAGCGGACCGCCCCCCCCCCCCTTTTTCCCGAAGCGATTTTCTTGCTTCAGAATCTTTTTCGATCGGACTTGAATCGGTGCATAAGTCAGGAGCAGGGTCAAGCGTGTTGATGCAATCCGGGACCCTCATTTACGACCCCCCCCCCCCTTTGAAGTTACCCTCCGTACGCCCCCCCCCCCTCCACCTATCCCCCGCCCCCCCCCCCCCCCCCATCTCTTGCGGTAACCTGCATAAACGAATGTCAACCTCAAAAGATGCCTGCCAATAGGCCTCAATCAAAATTATAGGTCAGAGGAAGATAATCACTTACAAATTGGGAGATAATGCAAGTAATGCTTCACCGCTTAAAAACCTACAAATAATTTTGCTTAGATTGCGTGAGCAGTAAAATTTTGCAAAGATTTGCTATGCTTATTGTGGTCGATATGAATCGAGAGGACATCATCTGACAAAGCAGATCATCATAACTCCTTTTCTAGTGGAAGTTAATAAGTTAACTTCCACTAGTTATAAGTTAAGTTAACTTTTCCACCCTTTATGAATGTTCGGCATAATCCATTCATGTTAGTGGTACCGAAAGATACAGACTATGGCCCGTAGTAAACTACCGTCAGGGCATCTCCCCTGAGGCGGACCGGAGTTGATATCTTGGCGCCTCAGTCCAGCATCCGGCGAGCTATTGATCTGGATGCAGATCTCTTCCTGGATATTATAATCAAGTGCGTTCTCGAAAAAACAGCTACTTGATTCGATTTGGTTAAATGGGTAAGCCATTGGAATTACACGCGCGCGGCCGTGGTTCGACTCCGCTTAGCGACACAACTTTTGCTGCATCGCCGGGCAATCTTTGATAGCGGCCACTACCCAATCGATGATGACCGCTATCAGGATTTCGCCTAGCAAACGCAAAGATAAAACAAAAAAACATTTCGTTACGAAAATTTTGCGGCAAAACGAAATGGTTGCAACGTGAATTCAATGAAATGAACAAATGAGTCCTCGTTTTGGACAGCTTCAAAAAAAAAAACCAGTAAAGTTTACAAAAAAGAGAAGAATTTGTTTTTTTCTGTCTTCCTCGCCAAAATCAGCTGTTCATCGATTCTCTCCTTTTCGGGCGCGGTTGTGCAATTTTGCGCCGATTTTGTCCGCAGTGTTAGGCAAATTGCTGTGTATCGTAAGTTACTCAGGAGCAACTTACGAAGATTTTCTCCGCATTTCCTCGTTAGCACACTATTTCTGGACATCATCGCTCATATCATCTCCCATGACCCGGCAGGGAGATCATCTCCCTGCCGAACTGCACCTGAGGCTCACCTCTCAGGTGACGTTGCATCCCTATAACATGGGGAAATGGGCGGTCGTCATTTTACTGAGAGAACATCACATGAAGGTCTCAGGGGAGATAATCTCCCATGACCGAGCTTTACTACGGGCCTATGGGTCTGGAAGTCAAAACGTTCTAGACTTTAATGACAGTCCCGTGTTTTATCCCCGTACGCGACAATATTTCCATGCAGGAAGCAAAACCGATATCTTTGAAGCGTAAAAATGGTTTTCGACTAAAAAGTTTACTTTCTATCTATTGCGCAGATTTTTCTGCGAAAACCGTATTAGCGCCATCCAGAACGATGTTAGAAACGTGCATGAGCACGCTACTTTGAAACTTTGTAACTATCAGAGAAAATCTGAGAGGCTGTAATGAATATGCTCTGTAGTATTTTGCCCATACTATCCATGGAAAACTTTCAGCCACTGAGAAGGAGCTTGAAAAAATCTAGATGCGACTCTCGCAAATGCAGATGCGATCCTGAAAAGCAAAAACTGGGATTTTTAAGCTTGAAATTTTGTAAATCACCGGAGAAGTCATGAAACAGCCTGAAATTTTTATGATGGAAAGTAGGAGGAAGGCTTTGTTTTAGAGCAAAATTGCAGCCAACAAGCTTCGATGGCTCCGGAGAAATTTAGATGCGACCCAGATACAACCCCCCTTTTCTCATTTTTTGCTGCCATACATAAAATCTTAGGAAAATCCACAGTCTACAAAATAACACTAGGTTTTGCACAGATTTAATAGGACTTTTCTGAAGAAGTAGATTGTAACGGTTGTATAAAAGGCATTACAAAAAGATTTAAAAATTATAGAAGGTCATCGCTGATAGAGATGTGCGCTTTAGTCGAGTGTGTGAGACTTCAGTGATGCTTCGGAACCAGGATTTCTAAGCCAATTGGTACATTCAACATTTTTGTCACACATGCATGCCTAATGTTTGAGCTCTTGAAAATGTCATTTGAATTTTCGGGCATACTTGTGGCCAGCAAGTTCGATCCCCGTCTACGACACCTTTTTTTGCAGGAAAAAAATGCTGTTTTTGAAGAGTAGAGAATGTTTGCGACCGAGAAGTTTATTTCCTACATTCCACACTTTTTTTATTCAGACCACCCACTCTTAAGATCCCCCCTCCCCCACCCGCTGGTGCCCCCTTTATGACCCCCTGTTGCAACAGTCGCATCACACGCTTGACCCTGGTCAGGAGCCGTGCTCCCCTAGTCAAAATCCCCCCCCCCCACCACTTGACATCGCATTTAAGTAGAAGTCCAAAATTGGGCCCTAGGGTAGACATAAGGCAAATCTCAGGTTATAAAAGAGGACGGATATATGACACTGCTGGTACCATAAAACCCAAATTTTGACTTGTAATTCCAGACTAGCTAGATTGTTAGGCGGAGCCAGCGTGGCCCCTTCTACCTTCTGGAGCGCTTTCTTGGTTTAAAATTCATCTTCTGCAGTGAGATTTAGGCGATTGCTTAGTTAAGGGGCCCGCTATTATATACCATCAAAATCTCATCACCCTTAGTTTGGGTGGTGCCTAAGCGTCTACTAGTGTTATTTGGCAGTATCATAAAACGTTTTGTCCAATCTCGAACTACTTCAGACTGAGTCCACTACTATTGCCACAAAAATGTATCAGCTTTGTCGCGAATACGGTATTTCGGTAAACACTATAGCTCTATTGTATTAATCAAATTGATGGACTAAATGCTTTTCATGCCATACAAATCTTATGTTTAGAGCTGAATGTCGGTTTATATGTTTGTATGTATGTATAGGTTGCTGCATGAAGAAGGCGCAATATCTTTAGGTGACGCAGGATTTACAACAGTAAGGATACGCGCGCGCCTCGTTCGCGCCCGCATAACTAATACTGCTCCTGCGCCTTCGTCATGCAGTAGCCTTTATGTCTGTATGTACGTGTGTTCCGAATAGAAATTTTTATTTTTGAACCGATCCGGACCAAACTTTACACACATACACTTCGGGGCGGGGCGAATGTCGTAGGCTACTCCTCCTCGTCATCGATCGATATTGATTTATCGATTTTTTGCTATTTTTGAGCTACGGGGCTGGGAGTTGGCACAGAGGGGCAATCGAGAATGCTGACTACGAATACTTAATTAGTTTTCAAAATTATCCGTTACTTTTATCGATTTTACGATTTTTTGCAAAGATCGAGCTAAGGGGCTGTGAGTTGGCACAGGGGGGGGGGGGGGGGGAGTGAGCATGCTGCTTACTAATAAAGGGGTAATAGGGAATTGGCATGTAGAAGTGAGCACAGGGAAAGGTTGTACAGGGATGGGACCTTTATCAAAATGTTTTGACAGGGCCGCCGGGCGGAGCCGGCTAAGCCAGCTAGTTCGTATATAATTAATACGAGCAGCCAAAAAGGCTACGTCATAGTAATGGGAACAGTTCTCAAGTCAAATGTGCAATAGAAAATTGTAGAAATTGACAACATGATCTACTGCTTTGACCAAAATTTGTTCAATAATCAAAAATGGATGAGAACAAAAAACCTAGCGAGTGTGCAACTTTTGATTTCTCCTCTTTCTTTCCCATTTCGCTTTCCAAGTATTTGTTTGCTACTTTATCTTGGTTCGTGAAGATTAAATTTGTGAATTCTATGGATTGAGCTTGAATAAATAAACAGCCGTGTTTGGTAAACATCAAATAATTACCCAAAACCTTATTAAGAACTAAAAATTGGTGTAAAGTCTTTCAAGCATTCTGGCTGCAAATCTCACCGATCCTTTTTGTGGATATCCTTGATTAATGTTTCATGGAGGATGGAGCGACAAGTAGAACAATGAGAATTTTTCAAAACGCTTAAGATGTCATAAGGCTTTGTGATTTATGAGAAGTGCAGAAAAAAAGTTTCTTAGCATTGAAGCAAAATGAGTAATGGAGACCCTGCAACTCTCAGATAACTGTAAGTTAGCTAACTGTGTTTAAAAGATTCTTGGAGATATCAGGCGGTTGAGGGTATTACGAAAAAAAGGGAAATTGAGCTGACCATTATAACCCAAGTTGTTTCAGGAAACGTTTTGATCGAATTACCAGGCGTTTCAGATTGGCAAAAGGTATATCGGACCTTCTCTGGCATTTTTTCCATAGTAATAGCTGTTCGAAAAAGTTGGCGCTCAGTTATCTTTTCAAGAACCAATATATCCCCAGGGAATGCCCAGTTGTGAAGGGTGAGAGATGCTTACTCACTATCTTGCATGTGTCGATACATGGTAAAATAAAAAATAATCCGGGTCCTTTGGTTCCGCTCTTGATCAGTCGTCCAAGACGGAAGACCACAGCTCGTTGGTATTCCCTGTCAATAGACCAATTTTAGGTGCAAAAAAATTCCTAGAAAAATGTTAAAGCATTACTTGATGACTTTGATGCAGAAAAGTAGACTCAGTGGAAATGATAATATGAAGACTAAGGCGGAGAAGATGAACATCAGGTATATCATAAGCGGATTTGTCTCCTGAAATCATAAAAAAAACCTTTTTTCTAGCGATAGTAATGTGTTTGAGTGAGGACGTCGACTGAATCATGAATCGAATTTTTCCATGTTTTGCCTCTTTTCTATTCAAGGTATATTAGATAGAGAAAATTTTGCACTTTCAAAATGTATGCAAAACAATATATAGTACTGCAATAACGCAATGATACAGGCTGATAAAAAACAATTAAAATTGGGTTTTGAAACTTGCTCGCTAAAACTCATCTCTTGCTCTTGGTTTCATGATTGTGTTTTTTTTTTCAACTTTCTGGAATAAGAAGAAATCTCTAATATTAGATTGGCTAAAAAATAACCTCGTTTTGGCATGCAAACCTTCATAGAAATTTTTCTTGTTGTTTTCTATCCATGATTTTATCTATGGAAATTAGCTCAAATCTTCCTCTATCATCTACCAAATATTCAGGATACTCTACCATCAGTAAAGACTATATTTGAGTTTCTCAGCTTCGTTTTCATGCTGTAATGGATGTAAAGAACAGCAATTTGGTATTCAAATAAGCGGGAATATTGCCTATTTACCAAGTAATAATAAAAATTGTGATCTGCCATTTTGAAGATCTTTTACCAAAAAAACCTTTTTTCCTCATTTTCGCGCACTAAGATAAAAATGTGGTTTCTCACTCCTTTGCGGAGTTTTTTTTTCTTCGGAAGATAAGTTATTCTCGCAGAAAACTTGTATTTAAATTCCCATTGAAGTGTTCTTTCCAAAGATACCAGACACTGGACAAAATTATGTCTGCAGCATTTGTAAGAGCCGCAAAAGCGAAGGAACCTATTTATTAGCCAACTTAATATTTATAATGAGATACACCACTTGATGAATGTTAGGCTTCGGACAGAGTTCACGCGATTTAATTGCCGCGATTTCCATTCATTTTTACATTCAAAAATTTCGGGTTGGAGAAGTATCACAACGGAAATGCAAGCTGGTCGGCATGCAATGAACTTGTAACAGTTGTCCTTGTCGAGATTGAGTCGCGACGATCAAATCGCGTGTACTCTGCCCGAGGCCTTATAAAATGATAATGATATGGTCTGAAAAAAAATTATTTGAACATTTTTGAAACGAGTTTTTCACTGTGTTTTTAGTGCAAAACGTCTGTGTCAGCCCAACACATGTAAATTATTTTTTTTAATTTTTTCACTGCCCAGTTTTCTGAGCAGTATACTAAATAGTTGCAAAACCTGCCTTTTCTTCATGTAAAATCTGTCTGGTACGAATCATCCAACTTTGCGATCGCCCACGCATTCTGATCTTCTCAACAAGATCCTGAAAATGTTATGGTGATAAAATAGTAATAATCAAATATAGTATAAATCATGAACAATTAAAATTTTACAAGGACATGTCCAAATAGAAAAATGAAGTTTTAATTTAAAGCGGGCAAAAAAAGGCTCAAGAAAATCGTTTGCGCAAACCTTTTCATGTGGTGGTTTCTCTCCCTTGAGCTCGTCGAAACTTGGTGCAAATAATAGATTTTTATTGACGGAATGTGATGATGTGGGCTTTTCCTCTTCATCGTCATGGTGCACAGTGGGAAAATCCAAATCATCGAAATCCCCGGCTGCACTGCCTCCATCCTCGGATCGGAGGGTGTGGATCCTTTGCATTAGACGCTTTCCACGGGTAGAGGGCGTCAGTTCATGCATTTTGAGAATAAAATTTGGCTAATCGGGAAGCCTAGCAGAATTCGGAGAGTTTGAGCCTTGTTTACTCTCAAGCTTCCAGGTAAAGCTAGTAGATGATTAGAAGACTTTCTGGCAGATGTTTTTGAGCTGACTGGAAGAAAGGCCCGCCTCTTTCACCTGCAGCTGACTATTGTTACACCCCTAGGAACGACGAGTGACTTGGATAATGATGACGAGTCAGAACAGATGCTTGTTGATCGGTATAGCAAGTTAATTTATGGACCATCAAATCTTACTAAAAAACAATGCACCCTTAACGAAAGTAGGTAAATTTTTTGGTTTCGCATTTCATCTATTAGATTGATGCAATACTCTTGCATCAAAATTTTCTGAAATTTCTAACTTTCCCCAGCTTCAAAGAAATTTCTGATTTGGTATATGATAAAGAGAAGCAATCTTGAGCTTTTTGCGTCCGCTTGAACCAAAAATTCTTGATGGCACGGCAACGATATAAGCTGATTAAGAGAATACCCAGAAACTAATTTTTCGAACTTTTGCCGCCAAAACAGCTAAAATGTCTACTAAACTTCAAACTTATTTTTGGCCATTTTATGACTTACTCTTTTTCACCGAAGGAAGTTGGTATTGATTGGATGTTTCTACGGAATTCTTATTCTTAATTTCTCAAATTCGACTTATTGATTTCGTTTCAAATTTTCTAAACTGTATATGTTAGGTGGGCCCGAAAGTTCGTGCTTTTCTTAGACCTAACCTCAAATCATTCAAAATAACAATAGGCAAACACTCTAAGCATTGTTCTATGCAGAATTTCTTCTCTCTTTCGAAAGTGATGTTTTTGTTCTGATTCCTTCATTGTTCTTTCAAATAATCGCCACAATCTCCAACCCATGCATTTTACGTAGCCTAAGTTTAGCTATTTTTTGAAAATTTTGTTTTTGGACTTTTGAAAAGCTCTGATGACATTTGGGTAGAGTAAACAAATTGCTACAATAACCAATTTTCTTGGCTCTGATAGCTGGCTCAGTATTAAAAAATAAGTTTTCAAAAGTTTTCACATTTGCGAAGTCGTAAAATATACAAACGCATTGAACACTATGCAATCTCCGCAAAACTGGAACTTTTGAGAATTAATTATGATTGAACACTAACCTTAACAAACAAATGAGTTTCGACCGCCTCAAAATATTGTATCCTTGAAATTTTCGGGTGCAGCCTCTGACGGATCAGAAATATTATGGTAAATTCTCCTCGAGACCTTTGCAAATCAGAAAAAAATTTATGCCAAAAAGAGGAGAAGAAGCTGCATTGACACTAGCTTTTTGTCGTTGATGCTCTACGAGCTTTGGTATAAACAAATATCAAAACTGGTGACATCAAAAATGGTAGTTTTAGAAAATTTGAGAAGCTAGCTATTGATCCCAAAAAATTGTAATACATTGTATTTTGTCTACCCTATCTAATGTTATTAAAGCGCTTCCGGGAGCTCAGAACGAAAATTCGAAAAACTGCAAAAGTTAGGGGTAAAGACCAGCGTTGAAGATCCTGACGATTTTCAGGCAAGCATCAATGAAACCCGAACAAAAACAGCACCGTTTGCTATCGGATCTATATTTTGACGCTGTTGTATAAATCTTTCATGAGGAACACCTTTCGTTCAAGTAATATCTGTCTGCAGTTTCAAATGCACCTTCAGAAGAAGTTTCACAGAATGTCGATTAAACTGTTAGGTTGGCACAAAAGTTCGCTCGCACCATTTGCAAAATTCATAACTTCCTCCTTTCCGAACATATTTGCTTCCTTTCATTTTTGTTTGAAAGAAGAGATCATGCGCTTTATAATAGCATGTAGCCGCTTTCCAATATGCACACCTGCTCAGTTAGGAGCGTTGGAATAAAATCACTAAAATTTTGATTTTTCTGTGTTGTCATAAAATATCTGAAAATTGCAATAAAAATCGGAGCATGCAGTGTTATGAATTTTTTGCCCAACTTCATTTATTTGGGCAAAATCTCTATAAATGTTATGATTTTCAAGAAAATGCCAAAACAAAATTTCCGTTTTTGTATTGTTTGCTCGAAAATACCATGAATTTTTGCAGAGGTATCCAGTTAGCACTATTTTTGTCAAGTTGCAAAATTTAAGGGCAATCCTATAATGCTGACTGCACCGGTTTTCATTGCAAGTTTCAGATTTTTATGACGAAAGACATAAAATTCAAAATTTGTGTATTTTTCTTCCCCGGCTTCAGTCTCCTTAGCTTGCTTTCGCCCAAAAGTACCCAGGAACTGTTGGAAAGGACATAATTTCTTCTTACAAATTGTTGTAAAAGAAGGAAGTTAGGAATTTTTTGAAGATGGTCCGAACGAACCATCATGCCAACCCAATATTATGCTTACAAATTGTGCTTACGATAGGGACTAAAAAAAACCAATAAAAATCACTAATAATTCGTGGACTCAAATGAATATTCAAGCATTTTAGCTTCTATGTGCTGACATTTTGAGACATCAGAAGGACGATTTAAAAGATAGAAAATCTATGGTAAGTAAATTTAAGTGCGTGTTGCAAAAGGCAAAACTACTTTTCAAATAATTGAGCGATATGAGGTGCAATCTATCACTATACATATCTCATTTATCCCTTATGTTAAGGTTTTTGTGAGTTTTCGTGAGAAATATAAGAAACCGTCAGTGTCATGTGAGATCGTAGCCAGGTATAGCATATGCAGCAAATTGAAATGAGTGTCAATCCCTTAAAAAACATTGTGCGCCAAACCCATTTTTGGTCGAATAATTTTGCGAATACATCGAGCAAAGCTTAAAGCTTGTGAATTTGTGTACCAACGATAAACTTTATAATGAAATGATCATGAAAGAACATGGATTAACCTTTGATTCAACAGAATTGGCGGCTGGAAGGCGGGGCTTTGAAGCCTAAGGGCTAGGGATTGATCAGAGTGCATGCGAATGAGGGAGACGCAGACGGCGTCGCAAGCGCAAGCGATCGCCTTCCAGTCGCCAACCTCGTTGAATCAAAGGGTAAAGTTCGAGTCGCAGCTTAGACCATGAAGTCCACCACAACTTCAGGAGCCATCATTCTGCTGAATTTCTGCGACAAAAGAAATCGTCTGCACGAATTCCTTGTGTTGCTCCTGACCTCTCACGTTCAGAAGAAAAAGTTTCATAGGTGTTTTCTTTGAAAAAAGGCCAACGAGGGGGAGGGAGGCTCAAAACTAACTTTTTTACGATCGCCTTTCCTCACTCACATGAAAAAACAGTAAATGAAACTCAAACTTAAGAATTACCTCAATCTCACAAAGGATTCAGCTGCGTGGACTAGATTCAGAAGATTTCGCGGTCCATGGAAGCTTGCTGGAAGCACGTCTATCTCCTAACTTTTGGCGATCATTAGAAGAACTTTGTTCGCGTCATTTCAACTGTCAGCAGTGGTTGACGAGAATGGTCTTTTTTCCAGGCAAGTACATTGGTTAGCTGCCGCAAGCAGTTTCAACAACATACATCTATTATACGCACCGTTGCGCTCCAATTCTGAAGGTGTTGGTCAAAGCAGTTTTATCTCGCCGAAGCTGTGCGCGGCCGTGCAATGGGTGACGAAGTGACAGGAGTGCAGAAAAGCATACGAGAAAAGCATACGCTTTTATGGAGAGTCGTTCTCTCATCTTCGGTATGCTCGGATGACGATGATCATTCTCCTATTGCGTTAGGCCCCGGGCAGACTTCACGCGATTTGATCGTCGCGACGAATCGCGACGAGACAACTGTTACAACATCATTCCATGCCGATCAACTTGCACTTGATTGTGATACTTTTCCAGCCCGAAATTTTTGAATGTGAAATGAAAATGAATGGCAATCGCGGCGATTAGATCGCGACGATTAAGTCGCGTGAAGTCTGTCCGGGGCCTTACGCAGTATTAGTGAAAAGATGCGATGCTGATGGAACGTCGTGTAATAGGAGTGCTATGTCGTAAAGAGACAAAGACCTTTGGCAAAGCTGTCCCAGTCGATCTCAACTGGAGAAAGCCTCAGTTGATCCTTCGACAAGTCACTCTGTCTCAGCTGAGCCATTGATTGATAATTCCAGCCATTTCTGATAATATCATTGAGAACGCCACGTCCATGCAAGTATACGAGTCAAAACGCGTTCGCCAAACATTCACATGCATGTGATTTCGTACTAACGACAGAGATGTGCCCGCACTTGTTAGATCTTGTTGAGGATCGTCAACCTGTACTGTAACTCCTCATTTAGTATCTCTTCGACATGTTCGTCAAGTGTTGTACATAATTTGCTCAAGAGTGACTTGCGGGAAGATTCTCTGCGTCTTATCAGTCCCGTGCTAGTAGCTGACCCCTTCAGTTAAAAGCACGGTCGATTGTTATTTTATCTTCATTCTTATGGCACGGAAAGGGGGCGTCATCCCACCTCAACTGATACCCTCAGTTCAGATCATCAGCTGACCTAGCTTTACTAAGGTCCAGTGTCATATAACGGCATTTGCAAGAATATGCCCAACCTGAAAGATGTTTTAGTCGGGGTAGGGGAACGAACGCTGCCAACTTGACCACCTTTCGCGGCTAACTGGTCCTTTTGTAATGTTGTTGCATGTCGTTCCGACCAGTAGTCCGCAGAGGCGGCCCAAACTGGCGGCCTCCGTTTCCCCACCCTTTTAGTCACAATGACATTCGTTTACGCATAGCTACGACGTATAATAACTATAGAAGACGATCTGAAAGAGAAACTCAGCAGGAGAAACAGGTTGCCTTTACGCGAGTTCCTATTAAAGCAGAACGTCTCCAAAAAGACTCCAGCGAAATGAGTAAATGTGTCTGTGGAAGAAATGGACTAGCTGAGAGATTAGGTGGGCAAGGGAGCTACGCGATTAACAGGAGCGGACAATCGAGTTTTCAAAATCTCCCAACACAGTTTTCAAAATCGCCGACACACTATTCAAAGCTCTCTTTTCAACGAAAATATCTTGCCAAATTTGGAAATGCACATTTATTACTGAAGATCATTGTTGAAAGACACGTGCAACACTGTAAGCAGAATCATCTGCCATGGTTTGTTGTTTTACTGGTGAGCAGACGAAACAGAGAAGTATAGCCAGAGCGCTCACAGCACCGGCAATCAGCAAGACGATGAAGAGCACTTCGTTTGCACTCACGCACTGATCAAGGTTTCGCTGAGCTGACACTAAAATACTGAAGGTAAGAAATAGTGTTCACCAGAGGAACAACCCTTTTGAACCGTTCGCTATTGCGGCGCGCCTCTGATTGGTTAGACGATGGCGTGATTGGCTCCTAGCGGCTCCGCACGCGGCGCAACTGGCGGTCGCGCGCGAACAGCTCAACAGGGCCTACGCCAAATCCTTCGCAAATGGAACCAACCAAGCGCAGCCCGCTGCACTTGCTGAGGCTCAATCTGCAAAACGGTTTGCATCCTGAGTGTGGTCAGATTCCCAGTCCGTTCTGTTTCTTCCCGCCGCCGACGTAATGCTGGGACCATCGGCACTTTTGTCGATGTTGTCTCGGGTTCACATTGCTGCAAAAAGCGCAATGATTTGAAAGTTTTTAGCTGCAATGAGGAAACTCACTTGTCGACGACATGAATGAATGCAGGGCTTTACTTGACATTCGAAATGAACAAATTGTGATGAAGTAAACTGAAAACCGTACCTAAAACAAATTTTAGCACACAGGAAGAATTTTACTTATGATTGTAGTAAGCAATGAAAAAGTATGTGGACAATAGCCACAGGCCCCTCCCCAAGAAAACCCAATATAACCTACATACCCTTGATTCAACTGGTTTGGCGGCTGGAAGGCGGAGCTCCGCGACCTAATTAAGGCTAGAGAATGATTAGAGAACATTTTCGCAAGAGAGACGCAGATGGCATCGCGGGCGCGAGCGATCGCCTTCCAGCCTCCAATCTCGTTGAATAAAAGGGTAATTTAGCATTTGTTAACTTGACCTCTTTACTTGCGATAATTGAAAAAATGAATTTTTTTCAAGATCCAAATAAGCTGCGAGAAACGTTTAAATATTGTGCGCCTTTTATTTGAATAAGCCCTCAAAAAAACTTGGGAAGCATTCGAAAATTTCTATGGATGTATGTAGGGTCGCTCCATCTCCGAAAGAAATTTGGGCGATCTGTCGCGACCGCTCCTTCTTTACGTTGTGACAACTTTGAGGGGATTACTACGGTATGCAGACTACTCTGCGGGGATTAATAGTTTGGCCCTGTCCCCAAAAACTCAACCAATACATCGAGATTTTACGGTTGACTACCACAGCGCTAATGTGCAAAGAGTTGATGCATGCTCACATATGGAGGTAGACGTGCTTGGGCCCGTGATTGACTGGTTCTGTAGCAAAAGCTGGAACGTCGACTGCACGGCTGAGCCGTACCGCGCAGCTGAACGGCTATCATCATAGTCAGTAGGCACTAACGATAGCACTCTGCTAACGAACTCACCCATTGCTATCGATGATGTTTATGCTTGCATCGGGAGTGTTTGATCCATCATGTGCATAGCAAGAGTGAACATAGAAGTCATAGATGGCTGCAATAAGATCGTTTTGGGTCACGCTTCAGCTCATTGCTTGCTAGTACAAGTATAACAATCCAAACATGGCAGTGGCCACTGGCCAGTAACGCTGCCTCTAAGCGCGGCATATGATATCATTGTGCAAAGGCTAATTCTAGACGAATGCGATTCATCTAAGTGAAGCATGCGCGGGCTTGGATGATGGAAGATGCTTAAACGCCGTCTTTGCACCCACTTTGCAAAGACATACACACAAACTCGTAACTCACACGTCACGCCCGAATGAACGCAAACATTATGAAGATTTTGAATTCGTCTACCATCTCTCACTCCTTTTCACGCGCTAATCTCGCTTTATCACGTTGTTGTGGCTGGAGAGTATTAGCTGGATATAAATATATATACACCACCCTGACCAACACCGCTTGCATCTCTTGACACGTAGGCTCTCAGTATCAGAATTGCATATGTTCCAATTTCACGATGCACTTCCAATGGAGACGATTTTCGCGGCGCCATAAACAACAGAATCACTATCAGTGCACTGTCTATATATCAATAACTCAAACTCTGTAAATTTGTTCGTTAGTTAGTATGTGGCTTATAGACTCTTTTGTGTGTGAGCCGATGACGCTGAAATTCGTTCCCCCTATTAACAAGGCAAGGCGCGCAAGATAGGCTGCTTTTTGCGAGGATTCGCTGGGTTTTTCGATCGATTTGTTGATTTGTTTACTTACATCGAGGGGAATGAAAGTTCACAACCATTGTTGGATCATTTCCTCATAATCATGTAAGCCGAGCGGTGAAGTTCATTCAAATTTCTCGGCGAAAAGGATCCGGTGTTTCAAGTCAAGTAAGGAAGACATATTACAGTTTTGCAAGGGATGGTAAGTCTCAACGTGTTTGGGACCAAGTAGCCCAGTTCCCGGGCGAGACCGGGGACATCACTAGTACAGGATAATTCGCAAAGACAACTAAAGAATGATACACAGTAAGCGGAAACAAGTGAGCAGCGGAAGCGGAGGTCATGTGGTGCTATTCGCATTTTGCATCAGTCCAAACAAAAGAAAGCGACGCGAGGAGATTCTGCGAAGCAATTTCTCTGTTTCGGCTATGCCGTTGCGATATCGCCACCAGAGGTATGCCCGTGAAAAAAACTGCTTGCGATGGCACACAATTTGCCCCCCCCCCCCTCCCTCCCCTTACAAACTGGCACGAATGCGGCGGAATCCACTCTTGAATACTTGAGCGCGACGGGCGGAACACATGTCCGGTGGAGTAATGGCGCAGCGATCGGAATCGCGTAAAGTATGACCGATGCTTTAGGGATCAGCCTTCAGTCCTAAATTGTAACGCAAAAGATCACTCGCACCCGTGTTCAACACTGTGATCGCATTTCAACTCCCGAATTATTTCACGCAAGACATTTACATAGAATCGTAGTAAACCTATGTCGTTGTACTTCAGCTGAGGCGAAGCTAATTTGGTCTTGGGAGGCCTCAATCCAGCAACAAGCGAGCTATCAAGCTGCATGTTTATTTGTAGACACGATAAACCTGCTCTTTTCCAAAGAGGGCGAGTGTGGCGTAGTGAAATGAGGCGCCGCTATGATCAGTTCGATGCCCCTCTAAAGCTAACCAAGCCCTTTACCCTCCGGGCCGGTAAATTGGTGCCAGAGTAATCTGGGAGGATAAAAGCGCTGACTTAATAATCGGTTGGCCCCCGCAAGTCACTGTGATAGGCTCGCACTCATACAGTTGCCTCTTCGAGTATGAAGTAGTTTGCGCTCGGCGCATGCCCGCAGAGGATATGAAAAGCCAAATCCTTTATCCTCTGTCCTTTAATAAATCTGCTCTTTTCCCAAACCGCTTTGTGCAGTTTAGTAAAATGGGTAAGCTATTGAGATTCAGCCGGAGTCCCATGATTCAAGATCGCTTCTTGGCATCATTTGCTATTGGCAGATATCAAAGAAAAGTCGATAACGACCTCTACCAAAATTCTTTAGTAGGAAAAATAAGACAAAATTACAACATTTTGAAAAGAAATACAATGAGTGTTAATTGCTGCAAAAGGGATGGAGAAATATTCCAATTTCAAGAAGCTTTCAGAGAAATCAAAGCATTGTCACAAAAAATATTGAAGAGCTCATTTCGGCCTGTTCTCTTGGCTGCAGCTACTCGGGCAATCGGCCGGTAAGCTTCTTACCGGAAAATCCTCGTTGTTACTCTCTGTGCTCTCTGCTCGCACATAAATAAGGATAAAGGATAAAGGATTCGGCGTCTTCAATACCCTCTGAGGGCATGCGCCGAACGCACACACTAACTTCATGTCGAAGAGGCAATTGTGTGCGTGCGAGCCTATTACAGTGACTTGCGGGAACCAGCCGTTTCCAGGTCGCTTTTATCCTCCCAGATTACTCTGGTACCAATTTACCAGCCCCCGGAGGGTAGAGGGCTTGTTGGCCCAGGGGCGGGGATCGAACCTGTGTCCGATCTGGTCATAGCGGCGCCTCATACCACTACGCCACTCGTCCCTCTGCTCGCACATTTTCAGAAAATAAACAGTAAGATGGCTTTCCCTTTGTTGACCTCTTTCCTGCTTCAAATAACTGTTTCATTCGCTGGCTTTTTTGTCGATAATAAGCAAGAGGCCTTGCAAAAGCTAGCGGTCAGATTTCAAATCTGCCAGCAAGATGCAAAAAATAGTCATTTTTTTCAGCGCTCGCCTACTCCCGACGAATGTCTGAGTAGCTGTTCATTACTCATCCGTAGGCCCTTAAAATTATGCAATACGTCACATTACGAGTAGCTTAGTTACCGACGAGACAGATATTCCTCTGACTTTCCGCTACAGTTTCTTGATTCAACAGGACGGCTGGAAAGCGGGGCTTCGTGATCTAGTTAAGACTAGAGAATGATCAGAGAGCACGAGCGCGAGAGAGACGCCGACTGCGTAGCTGCAAGCGGCCTTTATTAGGTCACAAAACCCCGCCTTCCAGCGTTGAATCAAAGGTCATCTCCAGCTCGGCAACATGGTAAACTAATTGCCATTTGACTATACGGTCTTTTGACAGCTGCTTGCATTCTCAAAGCATGAAAGGGTGGACGGTTGTAAGTTTATTTGCAAAGTTGCACTTGAGTCACAAAGCCTGCTCTTCCACGCTTACGTGCTCTCTAATCAATCGAAGCTCCGCCCTCCAGCCGCCAGCTCCGGTGAAACAGAGAGTATACAGCCGAGCTGACGGCATATTACGTGCCACAAACAACTAATCCAAAAAATTCAAAATACTTTCACTTACCCGTGTTCTTTAATGACAAATCCAACGTTATCCTTTGACCAACACTTGCTTTTGTCAATGGAGGTCCATTCGTTCCATGACCATCTAAGATTTGCATGGAGAGGAGTGGAGCAGCTCCATTACCAGTGATTACACCCTCGTCACGCTGAGGGCTACTGCAACAGAGATATTCATCAGGAATAGTTGATTAGATATTCGATTTTGTAAAAAAGTCGATTTTTTTCGGAAATTCGAATCGGTATTGGGAAATGTTCGACTCGGAGATGACTTACTTGATCTGCAATGCTGGAGCCCCATTTGGCCCAGGTGGTAATGTCAGTGTGATGTCTTGCGTACTATACATACATCGAACGCTCATGGCAGTGAAACCATCAACTAGTATTCCATCCACTGGGCTTATTATAAGTTTCAGGTTATATTCACCGCCACTCTAAAATGGATAATCTTTTCAGTATTTTCAAAAATCCTGGAAAATCTTCGACTCGGGGCGGGGTCTTACCTCATTAGCTCTGAGACCACATTCAGAGCCATTTGATAGGGGAATGTGAACTACCATACTCCTGTCGCCTTTGCCTCGCCACCTAAATGAGAGATAAACAAATTTTGTCCAAATAAGTCCCATGATCTGAGGTGTACTTTAACTCAACTGTCTTGGCGGCTGAAAGGCGGGGCTTCGTGACCTAATTAAGGCTAGATAATGTTCAAAGAGCATGCGCGCGACAGAGACGCAGACTGCGTAGCGGACGCGAGCGGCCTTAATTAGGTCATGAAGCCGCGCGTTAATTCATCCCGCGCATAAAAAAGTCTTGTTGCTAATGCTTAAGTGATTTCTTTCAGAAAGCCATACCTGCACCGTTCATCACCAATTCCTTTTTCGGTGAAAACTCCTCCAGAAAAATCTTTAACAAATGTTAATGAGACGTCCATCGACGTAGCGGTGCATGAGACGCTTCGATCTTGAAAAGCGAGGTTTTTTTAGAAGTAAAGTGGATCTAGCTGTGAACTCACCTGCTAACAATGTTTCACTGAGTCCATAATAGAAATGCTGCAATGAAACTTTTTAGAAGGATAAGTTTGAAAAATGTCTTCAAATAAGTTGAGATTGATGTCTTGTAGCCAACGCCGAGATTGTTACAAATTTTATTGGCCAACGTTTCGGCTTCTCGCCTTCGTCAGGGCCTGAATGGGGTATCGATTCGTAACCCAGACGGGCAAATGTCTTTACGGCCTTACGAAAAAGGTCTAAGCCTTCAACGCACAAATAACACCCTTGGTAGAACGACGTTGGGCTGACCGTATATGGAAGAACTAAATGGGAGGTCAGCATAGTTGGCTCAGATAAGGAGATAGTTCTCTCGTGATTGCGAGGCATTCTTCTTTACGGTTGATTTGTGGGTTCTTAGCATGAATCCACAATGCTTCTAGAAACTTGCGAGCAGCCGTTTTAGGTTCACGTGCTAATATCTTTACGGTCACTTCAAAACTCGATCCTTCATGCCTTAGTACTCTGTGTGTTCCTAACGGAGTAGAAGTTCGCTGTTTATCCCTGCCATCTAGGTGTTCTTTTATACGAATACATAGGGGACGTGTGGTTTCACCTACATACTCGTCTCGAGACTAAGGCATGAAGGATCGAGTTTTGAAGTGACCGTAAAGATATTAGCACGTGAACCTAAAACGGCTGCTCGCAAGTTTCTAGAAGCATTGTGGATTCATGCTAAGAACCCACAAATCAACCGTAAAGAAGAATGCCTCGCAATCACGAGAGAACTATCTCCTTATCTGAGCCAACTATGCTGACCTCCCATTTAGTTCTTCCATATACGGTCAGCCCAACGTCGTTCTACCAAGGGTGTTGTTTGTGCGGTGAGTAACTGTTGCAAAGCTAGTGGCCAAAATTAAGGCTTAGACCTTTTTCGTAAGGCCGTAAAGACATTTGCCCGTCTGGGTTACGAATCGATACCCCATTCAGGCCCTGACGAAGGCGAGAAGCCGAAACGTTGGCCAATAAAGTTTGTAACAATCTCGGCGTTGGCTACAAGACATCAATCTCAACTTATAAACTATGCCGAGATTTATCGAGAATCGTACATACTGTCTTCAAATATTTTGGCTACAGGTCGTCTGTGAACTAGATTTTATCCTCGAGCATAAAATTCATTTTGAGACGTCCGCGCAGAGCGCGAAGCTTGGAACTGCGCGTCACTCCTCTTTCCTCATGTACTCTCGCCGCTCTTTTCCCTGCGCCTCTTCCAGCCATGAACTATTTTTGATGGACGCGACAGCGTTACTCTCCGAGCACACACCGATGGCACATAGAAAAAACTCTGCTGCGCCTTAATTAAGTATGCCCAACTGTTTTTGCAAACATTAGGGGAAGTACCGGGTTTTTTGAACGAAGAGGGAATAAGATGCCCCGTGGACACAGTAGGAATTCTTGACGGCTTGATGGCCCCGAAAAGGAGTCTAAGGCCCGTATGCACATACATCCCCGCTGGGGAGGGGAGGGGATCTGAGAGGGGATGCGTCATATCTCGCTACTTTACGTATCTTTCTTCTTCCTTTTCTATCTTGCTTATAAATGTTCTCATACCCTACTACCTGCGCATAATCGATGCCAGGTTACTGGCATAACTGATTAGATTTGTACTATTTTGTGTGATCCCCTGGGGATCCCCAGGGGATCCCCAGGGGATTGCCTCTCATTTTCAAAGTCATTTATCTTTCTGAGAAATCAATGGAAACGCCGCAAAATTGTACTGAGGATATACTACGGCACTGCTAAGCATGTTTTCGACAGAAAAAATGGAATCTGAAAATTGTGAATTTTTCGATGATCCCTAGCTTTTGAGCCAGGGATTACCGAAGATCTCGATATGCTGAGATTTCACTTATTTTTGCTTTAAACATGCTTAGCAGTGCCGTAGTATATCCTCAGTACAATTTTGCGGCGTTTTTATTGATTTCTCAAGAAGATAAATGACTTTGAAAATGGAAGGTGATCCCCTGGGAATCCCCAGGGGATCCCCAGGGGATCACATAAAATAGTACAAATCTAATCAGTTATGCCAGTAACCTGGCATCGATTATGCGCAGGTAGTAGGGTATGAGAACATTTATAAGCAAGATAGAAAAGGAAGAAGAAAGATACGTAAAGTAGCGAGATATGACGCATCCCCTCTCAGATCCCCTCCCCTCCCCAGCGGGGATGTACGTGCATACGGGCCTAAGGCTGCGCATGACATGCTTGGAAGTGATGACTCTGACAATCATGCCCCTTCCGTCCTATAAGCCTTTTCCAAGCACAAAATGCATAAGGGCTGTAAAACTTGTTGATAGCACCTCCGCCAGGTCATCCCCCCCCCCCTCCCGTCGTTAGCTCCGTCCAGTTTATGAAGAATCCCGCCCTCACGGAATCCTATAAGACCACAACACAAGCGCTTCACTTTTTGGAAAACTCGGAATTGAGAGCGTGAAATCAGCTCAGATTATGAGGAAAAACCTTCCCTTAAAAATGGCGGACCCCGCCCCCAATATGATAAACCACTCCCAGGATTTTGCTGCGTAATCAACCAACAAGTTAAAACTTGTGCATCACCTCACTCTGGATGTCTTAACACTTTGATTGGAAGGTAGAACAAGTCTAACCCTGTCAAACAAATCTGTGTAACGTTCTCGTGTCTCTTATTGTTAGTCTCAAAATGATTACTCCTCAAAGGCACCGTCCACCTAAGCCAGGAGTCTTGAGCTTTTGGCGAAATAGATGGTAGGACCCCTATCAAGCCAATGCCCATATACTGCTTCGGAAGCGAGAAAATCGCTCCAAAATGACGAACAGGCACGAGGACCCCTAAACGGCACCGCCCCCTCCATAATGGCCACCCTTCCGTGCTCGCCCATCCAATCACCCTTCGGAGAAATGCACGGCGGGTTCTTCAAAACGGCAATTTTTGAAGTTCTTGCTAATTCTCGACTCATATTCGGAATCGGGAGCATGAGAAGGCCCCGGAACGACAAAAACATGGAAGTCGAGAATCTGGGTGGACGGCGCCTTCAAGCCTACTATAAAAACTATCATCTATTCGAATCTGCAAGACTTGATCCACAAAAAAGTCATTGAAACCTGAGAGCCTCTGGGATCTATCCTTACTTTCAATCTATGTTGATGTTTGGCTTCGGACGCAACCGTTTTTATTTCGTTTCCGCCGGCAAAAGTGCATTATTTGAAGCCGTACATTGTTCCACCCGGAAATTACGAATGCGGGTTGCACGTGTCATTTTCAAAGCCGAAGAAACACCCTGTTCGATCCGCTTGCGGCTGTGCGGATAAGCTCAACCCGCAGCCCACTCGCTATTTGCAAGTCAGCCGACCTGCTCGAACGTCACTTTTGTTGATTGGACGGCGAAAATGACGCTTTCGCTTTTGTTTTTAAGAGTTCTCATTGTCGCTTGTGTCGTCAAAAAGGTGATGCTCCCGTAATGACGTATAATTATAAGAGAAACATATTTATTTATGTAAAGGTCTCCTCCCACAGGATATCACCTATTCTTAATTCCAGCTTGCCTAAGCTATCTTCTGACACCCGTATACGGCTAAAATTGTTTCTATAGTCTTTTTCTCCTAAGTAAGGCTAAAATTCAGGGGAATTTGAGCTCTAGAAAAAGTGTTCTACTGCTGCATTCTCTTAACATTTTCGGAGAACCTTTGATGAACGAAATCTGCGCAAAACCATCATCAAAGTTCAATTTTATTAAATTAACACCTGCTTCACCGGATGGAGCGATAGACAGAATAAGTCAATCTGTCATCTATTCTGGGACAAGGAGACTCGAGTAGGCTTCGCGCACATTGCTAAACAAGTCTGAACTTGTTTTTTCCTGATTTCGAGTAATAAATAAACCTCAATGGGTGAAATCACATGTATAAACTTGTCAGCTACACGATAAGCCTGTTTAGACATTGTTCGCAAAGCTTACTTGAGTCTCCTAGTCTAAAAATAAATACCCTCGATATCATCCCATATGTCTTCCCTCAACATGACGTGGATTACGTGGCTTGATGAGGCGCCGCCTCGCCTCGGGCTCGCGCCACGTTGCGAGCGCATCATTTGGCGCGACGTGGCGCTCAACACAGCGTGGCGCAGGCTTTTCCATGTTCTTCTTGTTGCCACATCACGCAGAAAATGCGCACGCAACGTGGCGCAAGCCCGAGGCGAGGCGGCGCCTCATCAAGCCACGTAATCCACGTCATGTTGAGGGAAGACATATGGGATGATATCGAGGGTAACTTTTCTTGAAGAGAGCGAAGCATCTGCAGTAAATCAGCAATACTGAAAAAACACTTTGAAAGCGCGCTCCAAACATCATTCGCCTGCTCTTATTCGATTTTTCTATGCTCTACTGTTGCACAAAGCTCGATAGCCACACCGCTTCCATTCTTTCCATTTTCCATCCAAAAAATTTCTGCTTTAGTTATTTTGTTCCAATTATTTCAAATTTTTTGCTTATTTCTTCCGTCCACTAAATTTGATCGTTTTGAATTCAAAAAGCATTTTCAGTTCGTAGTGAGCAGTGGTATGTTTTGGCTTGCATTCTCCGCAAATCGCACATTAGCCAGTTGAAGGTGCTTTATGACGTCATTTCTGCCTAGCCCATTCCTCCTTTATGTTGTCTGTCCATCATCCCACTACTTCCCCCTAGATGGAACAAAATATAGCAACTTGAGAAGTATGGGGGGGGGGGGGAAACTCGTCGCCTGTCGCTGGGACAACACCGGAGTCCGGCAGTGCAATGACGAACTAGTGAGTAATTGCATGAGGCACAGTTCCTTCACTATTTTCGTCGAGGTCGTACGAAAATTAGCGCGGGTGCAAGTCCATTTTTGAAATTTGGAGTTGCACTTGCTTTCAGCAAGGTACTTTAACATACGCTACAAGTATATGACTAAAATAAGACAGAAAATTAGATAATCTCATAATAATCCAGATTGTCTAAAAAACCCATAGCCATGTATCATAACACTGGGAATTTGTCTAATGGATTTATATGGCATGTCAAATAGGAATACCATTAGCACGGTAGCGTCTGTGGGGTTACGGTAGGTAGACGGTGGTGCGCTAATTCTCGAACTCCTTCCCAAAAATTCATTTAGAAGGGTTTTTGTTCAAGTCCATAGTATTATAAGGTTGTGCTTACGAGGGAAGGATGGTTGGTCGAAGTGGCCTTTTGAGATGGGTTGTATACCGTGATAGAGGCCATAACGCTGATTTCAAATCTGCTTTTCTTATCTGCGGGGCATTCCTGGATGAGGAGTTATGAGCGTTTAAAGGAGCAAAAAAAGGAATGATTTTCTGGGATAAGAACAGTTGCTAAAATTCTCCCAGTGCTTGAATGGGACAGCCGGAGAGCGGATATATCTCACCTAAGAGTGTTTATAGAGTGCTGGAAAAATTACCACTGGTCCACTGAGGCGTTAGGAATAACGTTACTACTGTTTTTATAAATTTGCACATTCAATTTTTTCTCCAATAACGGCTCATAAGTTCTCGTGCAGGAATGTAAATAAGAAAGGCAGATTTGGAGTCAGCGTTTTATGCCCTCCAACATGGTGTACAAATCATCGCAAAAGGCCACTTCGACTGACCATCGTTTCCTTGTTAGTAATCTTGCGATAAACTAAAAAAGTTCGCAAAAAATCTCTTTCAGTCGCTGCCAGAGGCAGCATAATCGTTATGTACCCTTCCCCCTCCCTAGCCTCTCCCCCCGACAAAGTTTGAGTCATAGGGTGTTATCCTTTTGCCGTCAACCCAAAGCAACCCCACTTGGACTACCTTACAAAAAACGTACTACCCTTCGACGAGATTGGCGGCTGGAAGGCGGGGTTTCGAGGACTAATTAAAGCTAGAGGATGGTCAGAGAGTACCTCGCGAGAGAGACGCAGAGTGCGTCGCGGGAGCGAGCGGTCGCCTTCCAGCTGCCAATCCCTTTGAGTCAAAAGATACTCGTGAAGATCACCCAATAACTTCTAGGTATAGATTTTAAAATCCTGAATCGAGTTCCTCAATCAATGAAATAGAGTAGCGCGCTCTTTACTTATAAGCTTATAGTGAGCAATCTAAAGATCATTCATAACTGGTGTCTGATAAACAATGCGTGAAAAAAAAAAGGTTGAGGGTTTCTGAAATTCAAATGCTGAGTCAGAATTCCCCTTGTATCGAGCCCTTGCAGAACATTTTCTACTTGAGAACATGTATTATATAATCTGATCGCATCATAAAATCTGATGATATAGAATAATAAATACTTCATTCTAATTATATTGTTTGGTTGTGGCAGAGTTACGGTATGCGCAGATCTATCGGTTCATGGAATTATATCATAAGGAATCATCTGCATGTATCAATCGTTTTTTTTTAAATAAAATTGCTGGAATCTCGTGCTCTCAAATTAGGGAGGTAAATAGATCAAGGTAACATCAGGAATGTGAAATACAGTGGTAGAACTGTTCTGACGTAAGCTGCAGGTTGAGAATGTTGATGTAAGCCAGCACATATGTGGTTTTAACCCCGTACAGTGTTTCTACCGTATCCATACAGTACTACGCCAACTATCACTGCATAGGATCCGAATGTATGACCATGCGATAGAAATACTGCATTAGACAAAACATTCACCAAACTCTTTCTATGCACTTATTCCCAACATTTTTAAAGAAAATGATTCCGAAGTAATAGAGACTCACCGCTATTAATATGATTGAACTGTACAGATTGTAACTCATGATATGTGGTAGTGGAGGTCAAGTTTATGAGTGAATGTGCAAGGAAGGCTGAAAAAAATAAAGAATGCTATTTATCGTTTTTATAGATACAAGCAACGGCAGTTGGGTAGGAACGATAAAAATGTTCCCCGGAGCTGAACTTTGGACAGCACGTTTAGATAAAGCAATTCTGCAGAATTCTGGCCCGAATAAGTTGATGAGTGAGAAACCGAAAGAAACCAGGGTAGGAGTAACCGTGTTGGTTGTTGTAATTAGTTGCGGGTGTTGCGCCTTTTCGTGTTGTGACACACATTGCGCTTTTCGAGTGACCTGACCCGGATGATTAGTGTCAGTGGAGGTTTACGGTCCCCAGAGTGGAGACAATTTACGCAATCTCTGTCTCGATGAGTATGCAAAGCGGATAATTAGCGGTGCTACTGGTGGGTGAAAGCGGTAATCACCGCTGCGCTTAGGCTGGCAGGGTACGGCAACCTCAAGGTTACGTTACCTGAGTAGAAGCAGAGCTGTAATAGATAAAGAATTTCGTTATTATAGAAGCGAAGCTGCAAAAACAAATTCATAGCATATCTAATTTTCGTTACCTCATACAATAATTTTCAAAAAAGTTTGTAAAAAATGCTTTCTGAGTTGATCCATGGGTCATCAAGAAATATAAGAAAATTTTATGAAATCTCAAACAAAATTATATATTTTTGCAACACATGACGATGTTCTGTTGTACTGTGGATGCTATGTACAGATTTAAGGAATAACATCAAAACGAAATCGAAAACTCATGTAGATTTTTTTAATCGTAAAAGTTTTCAAAGGAGAAGCAGTCCTGCTTTGACGCTTTCTAGAAAATTTCCATTGCCTCAAGCCCAAAAACATCCTTTGAAAATTTTTGAGAAAATGCTTCTCCCTCGTTTCTTATTAACATGTTAGTCCATAAGTCTTGCACCAAAGTGTTGAGAATTCGCATGAAAATGTTAAAAATTTCGATCAGCACCATAATTTTTTTCGCAACGTATGGCAGATCCCATACAATGCATCTTTGACTTTTTGCGAAGACAAATTTCGATCGTTGACTAGAAGACCCGAAAATCATTATTATTCGCCGATACTCCAATACCGCGAAATTCTCTCACAATCAGTTGAAGAGAGTATTGTAAAAACGTAATCAAGAACAACTAAAATTTGTTGGGCTTTCTAGCGTTTTTAGCTACCCAATTCGCGATATGCTAGTACAAATTGGATATCTAGAAGGAGATTTTTCCTTTTCAATATATACTGAAACAAACTCTAGAGCTACTAGTGGTACATATAAACTAACTAGTACTTTCCTCTACGTCATCGTTTATATTTCACTACTTGTTCATTTTACCTACTTCTCGATTCTACCAAACAAGCTGTCACTCTTTAACCATTTTACTATGTATTTCATAAATAAAGATTCATGCAAAGCTTTATAGAACCTGTCCTGCTTTTGACAAAGCATCCTAACTGGCTAGATCCTAGCAAAAACACTCAAGAGGCGCAGAACTTCCCTTGAAAAGGGATACGCCACTAGTTCTGGGGAAAAAAGATAATTTCACAAGTAAAGTTGTTTTGAATTGGAACGAGCTTTGAAGATGTTTAGAGAAAAAGTATTGCCTGGTAGCTTTCTAGCCATATTTATGAGATTTTATATGGCCTTGTCTCGATGGCTACGGAAAAAAGTAAAGTCTAGGTCTGGTGCCTTTCACTTACAAGACGCATTATCCGGTATTTTGGGGGAAGGAGGGGGGGGGGAGACGGGACATAGGGAAGTGCACTTGAGGACTGCGGTAGAATAAGCAAATTTTTATGAGCTAAACTGATGCTCTGACAATTTAGGACTGCAGAAGTATTGGTAGTCACTTGGTAACTTGATATGCCCATTGCACACCATGCGCCCTATTTGACGACTTTTAAAATTAGGTTTGCTCTTTTCCAGTGATTTCTGTAAGTTTTTTTGCCTCTTTCGATTTCATTGAGAATGTGTTAGAAATAAACAATTCCGTGGTTTGTTACGCTAGAGAAGGTTCAACTGAAGAGTTACTAACAGTGTCGTCGGTTACCGCGCGTAGTGTGCAGGCCCATATACTATGATAAAAATGACTCGAGCATATCTACGTGAAATAAAGCGAAGAATTGAACTTATGTGCTGCTGTGAAAGTAGTACAAAGAAACCCTCAAACGAGACAAAAGCATAAAGTATAGCGCTGACCCTACTATGAATTTAGATACTAGTAAGATGTCGTCGGTTGTCGCGCATGGTGTGCAGGCTCACGAATCAAATTGCAAATAATCTGAAAAATATGAAAAAGAACGTTCAAAAATTGGCAAAGAAAATCTAGGTATCTGGAATTACAGAGAAATGCTATAAAAACGAGACGGAAACATAAAAAAAGCGAGAGAATTGAGCGCTGACCCGACTGTGAACAGTCTCCGTGTCCGTGCCGATGCCAAAGAGCGTGTTTATTACCATGCAAAAAGAAATAAAGCCCACTTAGAACCGGATATGCATAGGAGCCAGGAGCGGGAAGAGAGAGAGAACAGTGGTGTCTTTGTGAGGGAATGTGAGTGGTCAGTCATTATAGACAGGGGGATGGTTGACGGTGGTGGCGGTGCGACCTTGTCAAGTCACTCAGTCAGGCAGAGTTGAAAATCCTTCTTATCCATGGAATAATACCCGTAAAAAAGTCGCTGAGGTCAAGGCCCTGTTTTGAGCGGATTTTAGGAGTTATTTTTGCAGCGCTTGGGCTTTGCAAGGCGAATGGGGGCGCGGGGGTGGTAGTTTGAGGGTTTACTCAATTTCTCGTAGAACTAAGGAAGTAATCTGAATCGTACGGTTCCTAATAATTGAGGCAGATTGATTTCGCTATTTGAGGAGAGTTACGTCCTCGCTCGCAAACGGAAAAGGCGAGGACCTGTCCTCACTCTGCTTGACGACTACCGAAGCGTAGCTACCCGGCAATTAGAATCCCCAAGTCCGAATACCAGCAATAGCTAAGGCTGCCAAATCATCCCAGGACCTTGAGGGAATTTGAGGATGGTTTACCTTGAGTCTTCACTCTAAGCTTCAAAAAGCCCGCCAGAACGAGTAGTTCGACAGGAACTTATGGGAGCACCTCTCGCTGTTGTACCAAGGAGTGTGTTTTAAAATGATGATACTCTTTTGCCGAAAGTAAAGACTGATTGAAGAGATAACAAAGGCACCTGCCTTGCCTTCCTCAACTATCAGGTTGTCCTATAAGTATAGGCGCCGTAAAACCTAATTGCCCGCGCCGTGCCTTGAACACCAGCGTAAGCGAGCGGTCGTCGCGAGCGACTGTCGGCGTTCACTATATTCCAAAAATTCTTTTATTAACTTTCATGTTGTTATCGTCAATGCAAGGTATATCTCGACGAAAGCCCCCCTCAAAAGTTTAAAAAAATATGCGTGGAAAGGACGCGCGCTCATTGTCGCTCGAAAAAAGCCTGTAGCGCTTCGGGACCAAACGTTTCCAGCCGCGCCGCGCGTTGGTGTTCAAAGCGACGCGTGGGCAATTGGGTTTTACGGGGCCTGTACATCCTTTCTCAAAAAAAGCGAAGTGTTTTCGTTTTCCGAGAGACTTAATGCACTATATAGAGCAAAGCAAGCTCTACAAAAAAGCAGACCAAAAAAGATCATCTGAAAATCGATTTTTGTAATAAAATCTTACGAGGCTACAAAATGATTACCAAAGATCCACCCAACGTAATCCAGGTAAAGCTCGGAGCAAAATCAAAAGAAATTCAATCACTTGGAAACTGGTTTTGTGGAAAAAAATTTTACGAGGCTCAGAATTGTTCTTCATGCAAAAGATACATAGTAGTTTTCATAAGTGTATTTATTTACTAGATTCTTTTTGGCGCATGAAGGTAGAAAAAAAGACCAAAAATTGCAAATTTCGCCCAGCCCCTACCGCACAAGCGATTGTATATTGCAAGCCTTAGTAAGCATAAATTTTCATAATTCTAATTCTAATTGCTCTCATAGCGGAGAAATATCAAGTTTTACATGAAAAACCTTAGGAGTGGCATTGTGGCATTTTCGGACCATCTAGGTCTCTTGAGTTTGAGCCGCGGAATCTAGCAAGTATATTTACTAGTACTACTATGTGTCTACTGTAAGGTGACGAAGCTGTTGGCCCGTAGGAATTTTCTTTAGGAAGATCCGATTTTTAGGGTAATTGAAAAAATTCAGTGTTTAACTCCAAACTTTACCAGATTACGATCAGGGATCATTGCTGCTCATTGCGTAAAGGAAGCTTTAATCATCGAATGGTACCCCAAATCTGCTAGGAGAAAAACGTTTTAATTTGTTGTTTGCTTCTGTTTGCTTCTGCTTCTGACAACCATCTATTAGACTCCATCACTTGTCATGGAGCTGAGTATGAAGTTGGGACGTTCTTTGGCCGTTTATGGATACCGAAGAAACCTTAAGCCATTGCCCAATTTGCAGCAAATATAATTCCATTATGTACGAGAAATTCGACTTCAATTGACCAGTACCATTCTGCAAGACCATGATTGGTCCGCTCCAAATTGTGAGGTACTAGTTACCAGAGTTTGGAGTCAAATTTCTCGGCCAGAATTTATTAGGTTGGAGCGGATCGCACCGTCTTCAAAAATTCGTAACACATGATTTTCCCAACCTGCTTACTTATTTCCGTTTGAAAGAGTTGATCATGCCCTGCATAGTAGTAGTTTGGCGGCTTTCTACTTCGCATATAGGGCATTCGAAAAATCGTGACGATGGCGCGACCGCACGCGACACGCACGCCACTTCCGGAATTCGCAATTTCTTGGTTTTCGCTATAGTCGAATGGTTTTTTTGCTTACGTGTGATAATATTTAGACACTGGAAGTGACTGAGCTGAACGTTGAGGTGGTGCCTTCTTGTATAAGCTTTTATGTTCCTGTGAGCTCAAAATTCGCAGTAAAATCTTCGTCACGATTTTATAAATACCCTATACATTGCATAAATAGAAACGGTAAAAAAAATTTAGCCCGAACTCCTGGCACGCAATACAATCATGACATACTGGTTTTTTTTTATAAACGCGGCATTTTTTTTTCTCGCACTTGAATCCGAGAGTCTCAGCGTTGATGTTAAGCATGAACAGAAACTTCATTTCCAAATGGCTGTCTTTGACCACGAAGGAGAAGTTAGTCCACAAACTATGTTAGTGCCAGCACTGATGATCATTTTGGCCTCATGCTTCCAAATCCTATCCGTCTACGGTGAACCCAAATGAGAAATTTAAAACGTTGCCTTTGTGTGACGTTCTCTAGCGTCAGTACGTGGAATTAGACTGATGGATGATGTGTTTGCTGCTTGAGCACCCGAAAAAACTCAATGACGTCGACGTCTTTGGCATATCAAAGTCCATGCACACCTATTGTGAAGGGATAGTTACGGATGTTCTCTCGCTTTGCTTAGCCCGATAAACAGAACTTTTCTTGTCTAGGATTCCGAGAAAGAATTTATATGTTTTGATTAAAATTTTTCATCGTAAACGATTTTCCAGAAAAAAGGCATTGCTCCAAGAAGTATGATTATTTCAACTTAGAATGAAAATACGTTTTGATATGAAGGTCTTTGTATTTGGCTTATGCAGATTTTGAATCACGCAGTATGTTTTTTTAGAGCGGTAGATAGCCATATCGATCGTGAAGATTTTTTCATAAAGGTATTTTACTGCAGTCTCGAAAAACGGACAATGTTTTAGCCAAAGATATGAAATTCGTCCGTGATCGAGAAATGAAAGAAGAGATAGAAAAAAATTTTAAAAGTTCAGAGTGTCTCCAGAATTTTCCCCATCGATCCTTTCTATATCCGCTGCCCGTCGTCTTTCGATAGTCTTCAGGCTCTGGTTATACCTCGAGCGATTTGGCTAAGTCGCGATCATCAGGCGTTCTGGCAACTTGCCAGCGGTCTGCAAATCCACCGCTCGCGTTTTGGAATGCCTAGACGTATAGCATTTGTAACCAATTCTACACATTTAAGTCTTCCTTGCGTAGAATATGTTCATGAAGAATTATGAGCGATTGTATTCGAAATCGCGCTACGACTGAAACGCTCGAGGTATAAACGATTTTGTTTGTGTAAAACTAATTTCAGTTTTATAGCCAAACTGCAGCAGATCACCATGGGTCTTACTGTATGAGTACGGCAGGGCTTTCAATAAAATAGATAGCTTCCTTGCAGTTCAGTCGCAAATTCGAAGAAATCATTGGTATTGGGTTTTTGACTAATAAGGCCCCGGACAGACTTCACGCGATTTGATCGTCGCGATTCAATCGCCGACAGTTCCATTCATTTTCATTTCACATTTAAAAATTTCGGGCTGGAAAAGTATCACAACCGAAATGCAAGTTGATCGGCATGGAATGATGTTGTGACAGTTGTCTCGTCGCGATTCAGTCGCGACGATCAAATCGCGTGAAGTCTGCCCGGGCCTAACAAAACCTTCCGTAAAATTTCCACCGTAACCCCACAGTGAAGAGAGCTGTTGGGATTCTTTCCGTACTGAAAATCGAATTTGAAGCCATCACAGAAGGGTATCCTGGTCGGGGAAAGACGTCAGGGCAAAGAATTTTGACGTTTAACAGTCGGAACTTTTTGAGCACTTTGTTAGCTATCGCACTAAATAAAGAGTTACTTGCAAGCAAACTTATCAAAGTTTTAGGAGCAAAACCATAGGTTTTTGATCCAGCTGATTTTCGAAACCTCTCAAGCCATTTTTTGGCATGACAAATCCAGACTTGTTTATAGTGGCTCCCAAGACCGGTATTTCTAGAAACATTGATATCGGGGGACAACATTTTTCACTCTTCAAATGTGCCTTTTCAGGTATTTCACCCTACAATGGGCTCGTTGTTGAGTTTGCTAACATCACAACAATAGGTAATCCTCATTTTAGAGATTTTTGATTAGGTAGATTCGCAGTTCACCATCCTTGAATAATATGGTAAAAATTTTTATAAAAAATCCTGGTTCATGACTATAAGTTTTATCCTTTCTAAAGCCCTAGAGATTCTTTCGAAAAGTTCTTTGAAAGATTTTCGCAAATCTTCAGTCGTTATGAGGTGAAAATCCTAGAAGCTTGTCCGCTCGTAAATTCCGTGCTACAGGGCTTATCAATTGAAGTGTCGGGTGCGCCAGCAGCTCTACTCCCGCGCTGGACTCTGCACCTCTTACGCGAACACGCTCTCTGATCATATCCAATCGCTTGAGGCTCCGCCTTTCCGACGCTCGCTGTGATACTTGGTTAGAAGCATCGCACTTTTGTCTCCCTTTCTTTTTTCCCATGTTTTGGTTTCTTCGGTTAGTTAAATGGGTCATTCGCGCTAGCAAGTGAAACCTTCTAAATATCAGCAGTGAGTGGTAAATCGGCTGCCACTAACGTATGTCCGTCCTAATCCGGCGCAAAAGGCATTGCTACAGTCTGTGTCAATTATTTATTCCCTTTCGCGTAAGAACTACAATTCGCAACGAGGACCTTGCCTACGAACCAACGATGAGGCCAATTTGAATGCCCAAGACGTACGCGCGCGGACAAAGACGTGACGCGAAGCTCTCACGTGGCGATTGCGTTACAGAAAGGAGCACATGTTTGACACAGACTGTACGTCACAACTTCATCCCCTGCGGCAGCAAGTCTGTTATGCCCAGGGTAAAGCGGGGGGTGCGGCACGCCGTAGGGTGGGGGTCGTTAGGGGGGGGGTAGGTAGGGGGGGGTCGTATCGACCTAAGGTCAAAAGCACTTGTACAAGCTGTGTGACTAAATTGACTCGATGAAAGCGCTGTTGAAATCCTGCAAAATTCAAGTTTAACGACACAAACTTGCAGATACCGTGTGCCTACCGTAACCTACCGTACCTCTAATCAAGCATAATTGTCGTAATCCGCGTGTCGAATAACCCCTATGCGCCAAGTTTCAGCGAACTCTGAGGTCTCCGAGCAGTAAACAACCTTGTATAAAGCAGTAATTTAAAACATGATTAACTTCATCTTAACGGTGAGTAAGCTACCTCTTCTTGCACTCAATACAAAGCACTACTCCTTCTTTGTCCACCTCAGGAATCCCGCTTCAGAAGACCTCCAAACTAAAGAATTAGAAGCCAACCAAAATCTCGTTTTTCCCATTTTTCGCTTTTGATCGCTGTGCTTTCACCAAATATTACTCAGAGCTAAGAAGACGAATCAGGCTCAAAACATCCCTATGGAATCTACGAGGTTTAGGCTATTGATTCATATAAATATTGTCCGCTAAAAATGTTTTTTTGATATAGTTAATGGCCTGCGGCACCCCCCACCCCTCAAAACCTGCGGCTGCCGCAGGCTTTGAGGGGGGTGCCGCAGGCCATTAACTATATCAAAAAAACATTTTTAGCGGACAGTATTTATATGGATCGATAGCCTAGATCACCTAGTTTTCACAGGAGTGATTTGAGCCTTATTCGTTTTCTTAGCTCTGAGTAATATTTGGTGAAAGCACAGCGATCAAAAGCGAAAAATGGGAAAAACGAGATTTTGGTTGGCTTCTAATTCAATAGTTTGGAGGTCTTCTGAAGCGGGATTCCTGATTATGTTTGACAGGGCCTCCAAGTAATGCTATCTTAAAGGAGTCCAGGGGGGGGGTCTTATTAAGACAGCAATCAGGGGGGGGGGGGGGTCGTAACCAGCGATCGTGTGCCACACCCCTTGCTTGACCCTGGTTATGCCTTTGCGACAGCAATCTTATAACAGTCTGGGAATAGTACTGAAGGATGTTTACTTTATGGAACGACTGGTACATGGAACCCATGACAATTGATCGAAAAGACGCTCTTGTATCAACAAGTATTGTCTCTGCGAGTTGATCATTGTCTGTTGAGTGGACTATAGATCAACGGCGAATTTTTGTCGTATGCAAATTTTCTCCATGTTTTCTCTAGCCACACATGCATTTCGCATGCTGCTGACATGTCTGTGCTTTTTTTTTCGAACGATGAGGTAGCCGTCTTACGTCAGGGAGGCTTATGTTTTGACTATGATCCGGCCATTTTTTTTGGGGATTTTCACGATTCCTACATATGATTGTTGTGGCACTCAATATTGGAGCGCGGAAACTACCTTTACAATCACGTCCAACAATAAATAGTAAGGTAACCCACATCCTAAACCTCATTCTGTTCTTCAACGCAATGATTGCCTTTTTGTTGTAACTCGAGAGAAACTGCACAACTATCAACTACAATGTGCCTTCAATCGTAATATTTTATTGAGTAGACGTGAGTTTTCGCGCTCCATGGATAGCGGCAAAAGAATCGCAGAAATTGAAGGATTTACAGGTTGTGTTATTTTCACAAGAGTCACACTAACGGTCAAATTTTAATGTGTTGAAGTGAAATTACATCTATTGGGATGATTTATGAAAATGAGCAACTTCTTTTTGAAGGCCATCTCCGGCATGTCTAGTTTTTTCACTCTAATTAATTAAAGATCAGTATAGGTGTCCACAAATCCATCTACTTGCCTTCAATTCTCCATTTTCTCATTTTCACAGATTTCAAAGTTTTTCAAAGTTTTCAAAACATTTCAAAGCTCCACAAATCATTTTTCCCGAACGAGTTGCGAGCTTTGCATATGCGATATCCGTGCGGCTTTTGCGTGGCGGAATGGCCTCGCTCCGCCCACTGAGCTCCTCGAGCGAGTTTCGCACGGCTGCTCGCTGCTTCTTAATTGAATGAATTGATGAGTCGTTGTGTATCGCGTATCTCCTTTTCGCAATAATTTCGCTATGAGAAATTAACTTTTCTTATGATTGTTTCTTCCAGCTGGACTTTATCCGGGCAGTTTCGTGGCGCGAGGGGTGGATTGGCATAATGTGCGTAGAGACGCGGTCATAACATGCCGTCACATCATTCTCCAGCAAATTTTGGGTGTTTATCACAGTCTTGGGAGGTGAGTTATGTTTTTTAAGCTTTTTTTGCATTTCCCTATGATGGAATCATGTGCAGTTTGGAACAGTGTCCTTCATTCGCTTACGTAGTTTTGTCATAATGTTTTGTTTTTACAGTCACCAATGTTTGTCGGATCGCCTCGCGTTTGGAGAGAATGGAAGAATGTAATGAGAACATTTGAGGAACTAGTAGAGCAATATGAAGCTGAAGCAGCGCAAGTAGACAAATCGTCTGTGATCAGCCTTGAGGTAAACAGTCATGTTAGGGAACTGCCACATTGTTTTTTTCTGTTCAGGCGAATATCACAAGATCTCTTTGTATTGTTATCGCTTCCAAACCACTTTTGGCTCGGTCGTTGATGAGCCCATGGCTACGAGTCATTGGACTATCTCAATCAAATATCCAGTATTTGGAGTCCACCGGTGTTATCGATCTCAACGTGCTCTTCAAAAAGTCGGAGAAAGATGTAGGTTCATTATTTCACTTTTTTGATTGTGCAGAATCCAATACACACCAATGTTTTGGACGTAGAGGTAAATACACTTGTTTTTCGATCAGTACATTAACTCATAGCTTCAGTCATCTGTGATTTACACTAGTTTTTGGAAAAATTCGTTTTTTTCTCTGGCTTCGCCGATGAAGCGGTTTCGATATAGAGCAACTTTATAAGTATTTATTGCGAGCTCAATTCTAGTCTAAAAACAGTTCCCTGTAATGACGCAAATCATCAGTAATCTATGACAAAACCGCGAAAATCGCATTGCTGTCAATTTTTAAGCTTGTTACCAGGTACCTGTAAAAGGTTGCTGTATCAAAAAAGAGCTATTGAATTGAAGAAGGATTAGTAGTAGAGCACTATTAGTTTTGGGAAAGCGGAACAAATTACAGTTTTTCAAAAGTAGTTTTGATATATAGCCGCAATACGCAGTCATAAAACTGTTGTAAATAATCATTATATAATAATTGCTGAAGTTGGCAAATAAGCTAGCTGAAGTAATGAACCAGGCGAAGGTTCATAAATTATTTCTAGACAAACTTTTTTTTTGTTGGAATCTCTCGGCGAAAAAAAGTGTGGTGTGGTGCCGATGTTTTGTCCAGAAATGATGTTGTTATTTTGGGCAAAGAGTTTGCCAAAGTTTTCCATTTGTTAAAATTTGTGAGGCGCGCAGGACGTACAAGTGTTCTATTGTCTAAAGAAAGCTATCGCCAGTCATGTTTTTGAGAATTGTTCAACGAAATGAAATCTTATAGAACTTTTTTGCAATAAGGTATTCTCCAAAGTGACATTAGTCGAATTTTCATATTCTATCGATGTTCAAGAAATGTCTTTTACTTTGATATCGTTGATAAACTCAACCAATGTTTGGTGCGACGTATACCTTCCGCTGTTGGGAGAAGAACTCAATCTTAAACCTCAGCAGTTTAGTGGCAAGAAATGATTACTCCAGTGCGTATATGTAGAGAAATAGGTTCGGAAAGTTTAGTAGAGAGTCGGCATCAGTGAGAGGTTACTTTCTCGCAAAAATTTTTCTGGCTGTGTTGTGGAAGTTGAGGAAATCTCATGTTTTGCGGCTATGAGGTATTGTGGAACCGAATCCCTCGCTGTTCCTGCTCGATATGCTAGCATTGGTCTTCAAACAAAAACTGCAGGCCTGACAATGGTTTGCTATACAATAGATATCCTTTTTGCTGTAAATGGCTCACCATGTCGAACTAATTCAATCAAGAAAATCTGACACCGGTCCTTTGCGAATGAAATGTGTGTTTCATCAAGGCCTGTCCTTTTTGTTTGCATCGATTTTGCTCGCGTCATGTTCTTTGCCTTTCGTCTCCTTTTATTAACAGCCGACGCAGAGCGCGCCTTCACTATTTGTCTATATACATAGAATGCACCTTCGTGTAAGTGCTAGCCCAAATATGAGACAAGGCTTTCATTGTATTGTTTTCAGCTGCGATTTCTTGCCGATCGTGGTCAGTTCCAAGATGAGGTAAAGCGAAAGTTTGTTCGATCAACAGTCGCGGCACATAAATGCCTGGAAGCGTTCAAAGGTAATTTTATGTAATTTTTGATCATGTTTTCTTCCCTTTTTTCAAAAAAAGGCACCTCTTAGCTTGACTAGCCTCTATCTTTCGGTTTTTCAATGACTTCAAAAAAGCTTTTTTTATGAGATGATTTTACTTTACTAATGCTTTCTACTCAGAAACGATAGTTCACTTTGTCTTCTTGAGTCTGTAGATTCATGGAGACTTCTTTATCTTTTGATATCTTTCTAATAATTAGAAATACGAATTAGATAATTATCTCTCACTTTCTAAATAAATACTCTGAGATACGTGTAAATTGGGTCTCCTTGTCTAGTGCAACCTTTGTAGTTGCTCGGTCGTCATCGTTTTCCGAGACTGCATTCTTTTTAGCCTGCCTCATGATTTTGATTTGTAGTAGTCTGCGTCGATGGCTTTTATTTCCCATTCAAGTATGTTTTTTTAATATTGTTTTGCCTGTTTTTTGGTTAATCATCGCAGCATACCTTGAGCGCAAGTGATAAAATCCTGAGTGTTATATGTGCGAAATTCTCCGTCAGTGAATCAGGCCTTTTAGAATGGGCATCTATTCAATGTTTTCGCAATCATTCGTGATGCCCTTTTCTCAAGCATATTACTGTTTTGCCCTATGAAGCTGAGGAATTCGTACTCTATAACAAAGTGGTGTCCGTGGATCAATGCAATATGCTTACAAGCGAGATTTGCTCAACAGTCTTACGATATGCGCCGGTTTAGTTTGCAAAGTGTGCCGGTCTGTCGTGCGTGTTCTATCATCTCAGACATACCCATACCATGAGTTGATGATTTCCTCAGGCTTCGAGTGGCAGTTGCGTTGGATTTTCATGAAATTTCGGCACATCATTAGTATTTGGGAGCTTTTTACACATTGACTCAACAGCGACATAGCGAAGAATTGGCCTCGGTCAGTTTGGTTCAAGGTGGGCGATCCTGTCAATGCTACTTAGGCACGCGCTAGATATCCGCTTGATCCATTTCATTATTGGTTAAATCAGCGAATTGGCCAGTAACGAACCTGTGTCCATTATTCCACTTGAATCGCCATATCCATCTCGGTTGGGTCAGTTCACCGAGTTGACTGATAACGAAATGGATCAAGCGAATCAAGTGGTTCAGTTATGGCGCGCGTTTTAGGCCAGCACGCATGGCGCCACGTGCTTCAGAAACTTAACAAACGTAATCGACTGTTTGTACAGTTTTTCTTGGACAAGACTGCATTCTTGTGATTGTCAATGTAGTCTCCACAAAAAATAAGTCATCGAGCAGTTTTGACGTTTCCAAAATCAGCATGTGAAACTGAATTCACGTATTCAAATAGATCTGCGTTTTCGTCTACCGTAGATCAAGTGAGAAAAATATGGATCACGAAGTGTCCAAATTTTTCTCTCTCTCCCCCCCCCCCCTTCCCACCTTCTCATCTTTATCTAGAGGCAGCGTCCATACAAACTAACGCCTCCCATGTTTTTTTTCATTCTTGGGCCTTTCCATGGCCCTGATTACAGTTATGAAGTTCTAAATGTGCAAAACCCCTCAAAGCCCAATTTCTCGGAATTTTGAAGACCCACGTTTTTCACTATCTGGGTGGGCGGAGCTGGATAGGATCAGGGCGTGGCTTGATAGCACCTCCGCGATTTCAAGTGCATTATCTCCATTCAGAGATAACATTGGAGAACCGGATCAACGCAGATGCCCCTTATGGGGCTTACATTGAGGGTAGGTACTAATCGGAGGGGGGGGGAGGTCAAGTTTTGCCTGCATGCTACCTTCAATTGGATTACAATCGCTTTATGGACAGGTTTCTAACACAGGCTGCAATAGGCCATACAAGTTTTTCGAGCTATCTGCAGCTGCGAATTTCCCAACCAATGCGCACACGGTTCCTCACCTCAACATGTTTTTTATTCCCCTGTGATGATCAGAAATCGTTCAATATCCTATGAGGGAAACGTCTGTTTTCTGTTTTGCAATATTTTTATCTGAATCATAGAGCAACTTTGTGCGCAATTCAAGCTGCTTCCTCTTTACTACTCATTATACGACGAGCTAGCTCTTTTGTCTTGATGAATCGTAGTCGATCGATAGAAGCAAGGTATCTCAACAAGAGTGAACCCAACCGTCAAGGTATCTTGAAAACGTTGTCTTAGCTTCAACCCAGCCATAGTGCAATGCTGCAACTCGCTGATCAGAAGGGCAAATCAATGTATTGGAAAAAGTGCCTGATAGATTTCGTTCAGTATACCACAACGGTTTCAGCTAACTATAGTCTGAAAGAATTCTTCTCCCTCAAAATCTTTCGATACTTCTCAGTCTAGGACGTTTCTCACTAAATATATAGAAGATGTTCATCTAACCGTTACAACAGCTTGCGAAAAGACTTTACATTATGTCGTTGTCTCGGTGCTGGCGAAGTGGTGGTTTTTTTACATACAAAAGTTGATGTTTCATGTGTTGAAGGTGCTCGATAGTGCAGACATTATTGACATTCCGCGCTTCTCAGCAATGAACAGTTTTCGTCAGGGATACGTTCAGTTCCCGTCGTTAGGTCCGTGCATCCCAGCACAGTCTTCAATTGCGTTCTTCTCCAGATCAGTAGCATGAAGTTTGACACAGCATGATTCCGTTAGACACCAGTTCCCTAAAATCTCCGACTCTTTTCACCTTTGTACTCTGACTTCCTCGTCTGCACTTTGGAGTGTGCCTCATATAAAAGAGGGGACAGTGCCAACCTCCTATGCGCTTCATGCCAGTTTCTATTGTAAATAGCCGGGATATGGAGGGCCGAATTTGGTTGGAGATCCTCATCCCATTGCTTTCCAGCTTACCCTTTGATTCGATGAGATTGGCGGCTGGAAGGCAAACGCACACCCGCGACGCAATCTGCGTCTCTCCCGCGAGCGCGCTCTCTGGTCATTCTCTAGCCTTGATTAGGCCTCGAAACTCCGCCTTCCCGCCAATCCCGTTGAATCAAAAGATTCATTGCTTTCTCTGTTTTTTCTTCATCCGTCTTTGGTATAGGTTTTTCCATTGTTTCACAGATTCATCTCCAGTCTCGCAAATTCACGAAACTTACTGCAGAAAGATGCTGAAAAAAAGGGGAAGACGCACGATTTCATCGCATATCACATACAATATTCATGTTCACGCAATCTGTACTGATTTGGCACTCTTGACTATAGTTTTCCATCCACACACTGCCTTGGCTTGTCGAAATCCTCCTTTGAGGTTTAGCACGGAATGTGTCCTCCTTTCGAATAATTCACCTCGAAGGCGCTTTGTCTTCAAACAACCACCATTCTGTTTGCGTTTCTTTGCCGAGCGACCAATGCTTTTTTCTCATTTTTCTCCGCGCAGAAGTGTTCCACGCGATGTTACAACATCGTTGACGACAACGAACGACGAACGTCAAATCCTGTAATGAGAGTTGCGCCAGTTGATTTGCAATCGATGGTTTGCATGTGTGACACACACCACAACGTACGGTCGACCACTGTCGTCGCTCTGTTATCTGGTCGTTGTTTTGTCACACACCGGCATCATTTTTCTTTCTGCTGCGTCTGTTCCCTTTTGCAAGGTCGACGATTTGTCATCGAGCAACGCTCACGCTGAAGAATGATCTTAGAAGTGATTTTGTGCCGTGATCCAGCGCAGAAACCGGTGCCGATTGTTTTCCTATAGTTTTCGAGGAGAGAAATGTTGTGGGGGCGGGACTGCTCTGTTTTAGTTTTCATTTTTGCGAATAGACTGCTGTGCCCTCGCTCATAATCTATCTTGCAGCCAATTCGTCTTAGGTTCCGGACGTACTCTTGATTTTCAAGTCCTGGGCATACTTCACGCGATTTCAGTCACCCACGCCATCTGGCAATCTGCTAAATGTGTCTAAATCCAACATTATAGGCTACAAATGCATAGCGTGTATAACTTTCGTGGACTGGTGGAAAGCTTTAATTTTGTACATACAAAATGCATTACAAAATACATTCACTATCACAAATAATTACAATATTGCCAAACCTCGTCGTCCAGTTATTTGTCATCATGAATGCATTTTGTATGTACAAAATTAGAGCTTTCTACCAGTCTATGAAAGTTTTACACGCTATGCATTTTGTAGCCTATGGTGTTGGATTTGAACACATTTGGCAGTTTGCCACGCGTGGCGAACGAAATCGCGTGAAGCATGCACAGGCCTTGTAAATCAAGAGAAGAAATTTTGTGATAGCTAACTTCCTAGGGTTATTTTCTCCAAATGATTTTGAACTCAGAGGATTTCGAAAGCTGTATGCATCAGTCCAACGCTTACGTTAATATCAGGGGATCAACAGACGGTTGAATTTCCTTGAACCTTCCCACTGCATCGTCCATCAATTTAAACACGAGCCCCGCATATTTTTTCGGGTTCACCACAGTAGTATCTTTCGAGATGCTTTTCGGCGCTTGTTGCCATGCTAAGTGCGTTGGTTCCACAGCAGCATCTGGTTTGGGCCAATACGCTCTTCTGCTCAATGTCTTGTGAGAGGTCCAGTCCATCTGCCTCAATCCTTCCCCTGTACTTCTGGATTGATGCGAAACCATCTCTGATCAAACTTCTTTCTGTTTTTATTTAGCTAGTTTGTTTTACGCGATTAATTATGTCATCCTCGAGTATAGCTTGACGATTACATTTTGCTGGCGTCACGTCGGTATTAAAAGCAATGCTTCGTGATAGAGTAATTTACGTCTTATGCGAATTAACATTTTGTTCTCGGTTTCTGCATTCAATATCTGGAATGCTGTTAAGCATCTGAATAATTAGAATATGCGATATCACATTGTAAGACTAGTTTCTTTGTGACAGTCATTTTCATAGAAAGTTTATGCTGTAGGAGCTTTTTTTGTATAATACTCTCAGCTCTTTGAAGTTATAGGAAATAACGTAATATGTGACGAGCTTACCATGTGCTAATAGGAGCAAAAAATCTTTTCGCTTTGTATGTATGGTGTCTTTCATGGAAAGACAATGCTAGTAGTGACTATTGCAGCTCCCTCTTTTTTCTTTTTGGGATCTACAGTCTGTTTTTCTTTCCGCAAAACTTCTAGGTGAAAGATATTCATTACTTTTAGCTGCGCGGGAACGTGGCGTTGACGTAACTCCGTTTGCTGACCAGCAACTTTCGTGGTCTGCGTGTTCTCCGCCTTGTGGTAGTAAGTTTTTCCAGTGTTTTTTTTTTTGCCTCTTTACAATCGTTGTCGATGCTGATGGCGGTTTACTGCCTTATGACATTGTCTGCGGTATTTGCTGCGCTTGCACCAAAACTGGTTTACTTATCTTTTCAAAACAATAAAAGACCGTCGAATGCTGCTAAGTGAAGTTTTGCAGTGTCACCACGCATCATTATAGTATTTGCCTTTGTGTCTCAAGTTTTTTCAATCAGTAACGTAAATGGTGAAATCATAACTCAGTGAATAGCCTTTATTGTGTTGTGCTATTTTTTCTCCAGTTCTTGTTTCCGAACAGGCTGCTATGACAAAATGAGTGTCACGAGTTCTTTCTGTACTATCAAGGTGCTAGAGCCTTTTACTTTTCCAGAAAAAGGAACTTCGTGGCGTGCTATCAGCGCAGAGTCTGCCAGTCCCCCAAGTCCTCGGTTCATTGTCACACCTGTGGACGCAGAAGAGTGAGTTTTTGAGTAATTCTTAGTGAGCTTAGTGATTCTTAGTGACTTTACATCTCTCACCTCTCGGATCAGCAAGAATATGAGATAAAATATTTTAAGATCGCCACTAGAGCGAGATTCACCATCGGATCCGATCCGAGATTCATTAGGTTCAATATCCGTGGCTTCTGCTTCGCATAGGTGAGTATTCGATTTCTTTTTCATGTTATCAAGTTATAAATCGGCCCTTTTTTGATGCTAAGATGTTTAGTTGATAGCAGCTTCATGGAAGCTTGAATACTCATTTCCACGTACAGCAAATGATTTACGCTTAGAAAATTCTATCGCACTTAACATCTAGAAAAAGGATCGCTATCTGTTGCTGTGCAAAGTGATACTTTGACGATAGTTTTTTTTTGTCTTCCTGTCTGCGTGCCTATCTCACTAAAGGCGTATATGGCGACATTTATTATCTTGCGGTTATGCGAGCTCGATTGTTTTATAATTAACTTTATTAGAGAGGAAGAGTCGCACATTCTCCTAGAGTTAACTGTCGCTTTTCTTGCACATGGAGCTCGTTAACGCACGAAATGCGAAAATGCGACAACGTGCAAGGCTCCAGAGTCGTTACTAATATTTTTAAGCTAGTTTTGCTCATGTTAGAGAGTTTGCATTGTTTTTTCGGAGTTTTCACCCCTTTTGCATGTTTTCTCAAACTTTGCCTTTCTCGATGTCTCTCCATTGTGACAGTCAGAAAAATCTTGTAGACAAAGTACTTCAACATTTCATATCGTGAACCAGAGCCGCATCATGAAGATCATGTTTTACAGAGCGGTTAAATATGTAGATGCCCTGCTCTCAGCGATTCTAATGTTTCAGATTGTTTTCTATAAGCATTTTTGGTCGCCAAACTTCACAAATAAATTAAAGGATAATTTGAGAAATCGTTATACGCTACGTCAAAGGAACTTCTTTTATTCATAGAAGTACCAAAATCACCACCCAAATGGAAGTCTCAGCCTTTGAATAAGCGCAGAGTACAAACTGCAAGGTTTTTCTTGCTCTCCTAGTTGTGCTTTTCATCTTTGCTCCTTAAGTAGAGACACTGATCAAGATGTATAGTTGTTTCTTTGAAAATAGATTTTGAACAGAGCTCGTTTATAGCGACTGCATTTGCTTGCTGGAAAGTTTTAGTGCTGTACGTTCGGAAGGAGTGTCCTGGCAAAAGGTCGATTTTGAGATTTTGTGCTTATCCGGGTCTGTTCGCTATACTGAATCCGAAAATCAACACGGGAGAGTGCGAAGACGGCGAAAGGGCTTCAACGCAGGAAGGAAGCAGTAGGTGGGCGGGGTCTTCCCCACTGCGAATTCACGCTCCCAGCTTCCGGAGCGATCTTCTCGATTCCGCGAGCGGCCCCAGTTCCCAAGTGCGTGGGCGTGATATGAAATCGGAACCTAGAAGATCGCTCCGGAAGCTGGGAGCACGAATTCACAGTGGTACCCCGCCCCATCTGCAGATTTCCCTTTTGCGTCAAAATCTTCTCGCTGTTTTTGCTCTCCTACTCAGATAATCGCCGGGGGCAGGCGGCCATGCGATTTATGGGCGGGCGGGCACCGGAAAAATAGTTCGCTAATTTCTTGCGGCCCGCTTGCAGATATTTGGGACAATTTTAGCGAAATTTTAGGCGAATGCTTGGAGAACAATCGCGGTTTCTTTATAGATTAGCTGCGGCGCAGTGGCCGCATTCTCGCGGACTTTCCGCGAGAATATGCAAGAATTTGAGGGCCGCACGGTCCTTTGTGGAGGACCGCGCAGCCCCAGGTACTTTCCGCTGAGAGAAAGTACCTCTAACTTGAGTAATTAAAGCATCGATGACACCTCTGCCATGTAGAGTCTCACTTTTGCTCGGCGTAAGCCCGAAACTGCGTAAAAAAGAGTCCGAGCGCCAGCTGAAAATTTGACCAGTGTTCAATGAAAGAGATTATTTGACGAGCGCCTGCAGAAAATTCTGTGTTGCTGCCCGCTGGCAGAACATTAGACAAAAGGAAGTACCGCTCGCTGTAGGTTTGGCCACGCCTCAAAATTCTGCTGACCACTTGCAGAAAAGCGCGAGTTTGCGGACCGCCTGCCCCCGGCGATTACCTGAGCAGTGTGGATTTTCGGATTCAGCGTAACAAATAGTCCTGGGTAAGCACAAAATCTCAAAACCAACATTTTGCCCGGACACTGCCTTTAATACCAAGTGTGAGATGGACGTGCATTTCAAATGCGCCCAAGTTGCTGAGGCTGTTGGAGTAAAGGATGTTTGAATCGTATGATTTCATCGGCGCATCACCCCATCTCACCGCTATCGAGACAGAAATTTGCACTTCACTTCATGTAATCTAAAACTTATCGATTGTGTAATTTTTTAAGCGATGATTCACATACAGTGATGAATTTCGTAACACTACGTTTACCATTTCTAGAAAATTTAGAGATTAGCGCTTTTCCAGCGAATTCGTCTTTCGCTTGTTTTCTGTTATAGAGAGTAGCTTAGTTACAATTAGGTAATAATAACTGACTGAATCCTCCATAATTTTCTCCATAAGTCGAAAATAATAAACAAGAGCTTTTTCTGCCTCCTTTAACTCTCGTTTAGAGATTGTTTCATGACGATTCTTCTTTTAATTCTTGCACTATTTCTTGCTTGGCAAAGTTCCGGAAATTACTTTGTATGGTTTATTCTCAGTTTACTCTTTCTCGTTTGATTTTCGATTGTGCAAAATTATAGCAAAGTTCTTCTTGAGACTTTTATCTACAACACCTCTGCAGATTACTCAATAAGCTTTTTGCTATTATTTTGAGCTAAGATTATTCTCTATAAACTTTATGCAAACACGAAATAAGGGAAAGAAACGTGAGACTTTTTCTGATAGCTGTTGCAGTTTTGACGGCATTACGCTACTAATGCGCTGATATAGGGGCCTGCAGGATCGCGAGAGTCGGACGTGCGTACGGCCATTGCGCCGCGCACGTCTGATGTCACTAGGGCAGGTGCCAGATTCATCCGCTTCAACCGGTTCGTTCGGCTCATGGGTCAAATTACTACATTGTCCACAGAAAAGGTGGTGAACCGAATGAACCTGTTGAACAGGATAAGTCTGGCACCTACCCGAGTCGTCGGACGCCGATCTGACGTGCGCGGCGCAATGGCCGTACGCACGTCCGACTCTCGCGATCCTGCAGGCCCCTATAACTGCTGTCACTTATAGTCTGAGTTGCAGTGTTAGGTGGTGTGGCTTTGGAAATTTCAATTTGCAATCATATTTTTCTCTCAGGTCTATAGCACTTCTTTTTCATTCATTTTCACAATCGATTCGTTTTGCTTGCGTCGAGTTCCACTCCTTAATGGACAATGCTGTTTCTTCGTCTAATCACGTGGCCTTTGTCGTCATTGCGCTTTGCGCGTTTCAAGGTTGACAAAATGGTTTTCGTTGGATAAGCAAAAAAGTGTTCGTATCGATTCAGGGTTGGCGCATTTTAAAGCTTTGAAAATGTTTGGTGAGACAAATTGGTTGGCAGTGCTTCATCAAACATGAAATTTTTGCCTTTTTTCTCCTGCACTACTTATAAGATATCTCAAAGAGTATCGAATGGATGTCCATTCTTGTAAAAATAGATTTTGAGGCCTTTCAAGCACCATTATGAAAGCTGGCTTCAACTTAGTTTTGTGGGAGCAAATTACCAAGCCTTCATCACTGTGGGATTACTGTAGGAACGTTGAAGAGGATTAACTGGGCTCTATTTTGTCTCATTAAAGGCAGCGTACACCCAAAATTTGAGTTACCGAATTTCCTAGATCTTTCTACACCGTGTATATACTGGGCCCAGAAGAAGACCAACTGCGTTGGTCCGGTCTCCCAATGTTGCTTCTGAGCGGAGAAAACCCCCCTCAATTTTCTTTCATGCCGCCCCTTTTCTTTCGCTCCGCCTCCTCTGGACAAATCCATAACAGCGTAAGCTGCAATTGCAGTTGCAGTTGCTGTTGCAACATCTGTTGCATTTGTTTTGGGTGTACGCTGCCTTTAAGAGAACCTGAAATCTTACATTAGGCTTAGAATCGTTGATTTTTGATGTGAAGTTTGGATTTGACGGTAATGCTTCAGTTTATGAGTTGTGCCAAGCACACGTAATAACTGGCTCCCAGTGTTTCTCAAAAGTGCGACTACGCCGATTTAAAAGCCTTAAATTGAAAAGAGTTAAGAGCAACCAGCATTAAAGGAACTGGCTTGTGAAAATTGCGATTGCGAGTCTTTCACACTCACATGGCCTTCTGGAATGCGCGAGGGATCTCTGCTAACACCGCAATTGGCTACCTGAGCCGATCAGCCAGTTACCACCAATGGGTGGTTACCGTCTCCTGCAGCCAGTCGCTGTTTGTGGCGAGAATTTTTCGCCCATCCCCTCCAGCTATCTCCACGGTAGGAAATTGCCGTAAAAAGCATTTTTTGACTTTTCATACACAGCACTGGACTCCAGAAGACATGTAGGTGTGGAAAGCTCGATTATTGATGATGATGATGATGATTGCTGATTAGAGATGATTGCGATTAAAGATGATTGCTCATACTATAATATAATGTTCGTAAAATCGCGAAAGCTTTTCATACGCGAGTTGTCAGGATCAACATGATACATTTTTGGGACATCATCTCAACCTTTTGTTAACTAACTCCAGAATTTCATTTAAAAGCGAATAGACCTACCAGTTGTTGTAAGCTGTGTAGCCGCTAAATTAGATCTTGCAAACCTTCACACCTTCCTTCTTCGAAATGAGAACCGTGTTTCTCTTACAAGTCTCTGCACGGTTTGCGGCTGTAGTTAATGCAGTCTTGCCCACACTTATAGCAGAATAAGTGTCACGCTTTCTAGCGTGACATCAATTACATACTTCCGAGAAAACCCAAATTCTCGACTTCCATGTTTTGGTCATTCCGGGGCCTTCTCATGTCCGGAATTTCCGAAGATGAAGTCGAGAAAGCCGCGAAAACGCTGATAATTCCTGTTCCGGAGAAGACGCAGGCCAGTTCGGTGATTGGGTGGAAGCGCGCGGAGGGGCGGGCATTTACTGGAGGGGGCGGTGCCGACGGGCTCACTTTCGAAGCGACGTTTTAAGCCGCGACTTGAGCGTTTGCTTGATAGGAGGTCCTACTGTCGTAAGCTACAAAAAGCGCAAGGCTCTTAACTGGTAGACGGTGCTTTTAATGCTTTTCAGGGTATTTGGTAGAGCAGAGCAAGGTATTTTGGAACCTGATCAGAAATAATAAGTTTATGACTCACTGCGGTGACTGACTGACTTTATGATCAACATTCCCGTCGGAGAGGAGATCGCAGCTCAAGAAAACTCATATCCTGATGCTTTAGATATCTGGATTTCACCCTATTTTCCTCCCCGTAAATATTCCTACCATCCTTGACTATAAACCTATTGAACAGGGGAGAAAAGCTGTACGAGTCACACTTTCCAGTTTTTTGTTTTGATCCCATGCTGATCTCCGGCGGCCGGCCGTCAATTTGCCAAAGGACCATACAAAAAAACTGAAAAATGCGGCTTGTACAGCTTCTCGCTCCTGTTTGACATGTTTATGGTGAAGGATAACAGGAATGCTTACGGAAAGTTAGACAGCGTAAAGACCACATTTCTGGAGCTTCAAGATATGAAGCTTTTTTTATAGCTGCGATTCCTTTCCCAGCGGGATGTCAGTTGCATTCGGCCCTTAGTCTTCGGGATATTCGCACCCTTATATCTATCCATTCTTACCCGCATTGAGGCTGAGGCAATGCTGCGTGAATGCGTCATAAAATAAAAACTTGAAATGCATTGATGTTCTCTCAGTAGTTGCGAAGAGTGTCGATGATTTAGTGCAAACACACGAAATCACGTGTATTTGTTCAAATGCAGCTGTTTTGTGCTAAACTTAGGTCGTTACGTGCGTATCTCGGCGGCGGAGCAAAGGAGGGCGCGCACAGGCGGCGGCACAAGCGCATGTGTCAGTCCCTCGTCTTGTTGTCATCCTCTGTTCCGATTCTTGGCGGCCTCGTCGGCTGCGTCGTTGTGCATTTAGCACGATCTACACTGTAATTGAACTACCGTACACCTACAGTACGCACAGTCCAGTCATGACCCTGTCTGATACCTGTACCCCGGAAAGATTCTATGTAAAACATGATCTACATCACTGGATTAGAAGCGTTGCCATGAAATTTTGGCATCGATCTGTTCTTGCGCTATTTGATGGCGAAATGGAGGAGGAAAAAAGGTGAATGAGTCATTTTAAGTGTGTCTCGGTGCGCTCTGTTCATTATGGTTTGAATCGCAGGTTGCTGTAAAAGCTGAAAGTACTGAATTTTTATTTGAAAGAAAAGTGAATTTTTTAAACCTAGACGTTTCCATGATCCCTGTGGAATTCGTGGGTGTGCATCCCCACACTTCTTCTAAAATGTCTTTTCTCAGAGATGGCCGAAATATCACTTTTCCGAATGTTTTCTCTTTACTTTCCAAGCTCAAGAAAATCTGTGGAGCAGTTCTCAGCAAACTTGCAAATAAAATGTCTGCAAGAGCAGTATCTTCTGCGCTGCTGACATGTGCAATGCCATAAAATAAACTATCGACAGGGACTGATGTATATTTGCTTTATGTACTAGCTATAGGGACAAATAGACTGCACGTTTGCTCACCTAGACGTTGCAGAGCCCAATGCTCGGTTCAGTCTTCTGAATTTTCAAAGAGTAGGATGTGGAAGTGAAAAAGAAGAGGTTGGCTTCAAAAAACCTCGATAAAACTTATTGTTAGTTGCGGACGCTGTGCACGACTCACATTGCTTATGTCATATTGCTGAATGCTTTTTATAACTTTGGTGGATTTGATCTATGTAATTTTAACGTACATGAGTAGCGCAATGTTCTTTTGGGTACTTTTCTTTTGATTTTTGAGATTTTTGGTTTTCTTGTAACCTTATCAGCAATAATTTCAGCAGAAGTGCATCTGGGAGCGGTGGTTCATTGGCCGTCTCTGTATCCTCGTTTGGTGGTGTCACATATCGTGGTCACACACTTTCGCCTCCGTCACCTCTTGGCTGTGGAAGTACACAATCAACACCAACCCTGGGGGCAAGTAGTCGTGTGGTGCAATCTACGAGCATGCAGTTTGGTGAGTGTTTTCTACATTAGCTTTTTGAAATCTTATTTTCTGTGTGTAGTGTTTTGAAGTTGTTCATGATCTTGCTTTCTTCATGTTTCTATATGTACTTTGGAAGAAGAAGTTATGAATACTTCATGGTTTTAGGCGCGCAAAAGTCGCCCAAACCTTCAAGGCTCGTCCATGCTATACCGCATAAATGGACGAAGACGACAAAGTTCAGGCTGAATAGTGATTCAGGTAACACCTCTAATCTCATGTTATTATAGTTCCTTTTAATTTTTATCTCCTTTTGGCATTTTTAGTAGGAAATTGATTTGCTGGAAGTTGTCATATGTCATCATCATCTACATTTTTATCTTATGACCTTGGTAGTAGAAAGTGTTGGGTCAGTAGTGGCTCATAGATAATGTCATGTGGACTATGATGTCATTCAGTTGTTGTACTCTCTGATCTGTGTGACATTGATTGATTATGACAAAAGAAGTATCGTGTAATCTAGGAGAAACAACCCGTATCGTGTAATCTGAAAGTTTTCAGTCTGTCATTTTTGTCAACGGCCTCTTGGATTTGGTTTCCTGCATGCATGGGAGAAATGTCGCTCATGCAAGTAAGCTGTTTTTCAATTTCCATCCCTTGCATTTCCACACCTTCGCTTTCCCAGATGGAAAGTGCATACACATTGTCGAAGTCGTATCGGAGACTCATGCGGGCTAACACCTGAACACTTGCGAATTCTTTTTGACAAGCTTGTCCAACAGAATAACGGAGTAAGTGGATATTTTTACATCTTTTGCGTCATTTCGTGAGCAGATGCATAGCATCTGGTCAACATGTTTGCTGGAAATAATATGTTGTCGTGAAATTGCTTGCAGCAGACTATGTTCTGACGACATAAGGGTTGAGTAAGGGGGTAGGAGAGTAAGGGTAAGTAAGTAAGGGTTGAGTAAGGGGGTGGGAAATTCTTACATTCGACGACCTCTCAGGTTGTAGTCGATGATAACTTGACATGCAAAATGGCGCTGTTGCATTTACATCCTCTAAAATTCTCATCAAAATGAAGAAAACTCCAGAATAATATTTTCGAAAAGTGCAGTAACATCTGATGTTAATCGATGAGCCCTTAACTGAAAGTTTCGGTGTGTTTGACTAGTATACTCACTGTATAAACCAAATGTGTTTTGGGCATACGGACGAGGGGCAGCAGATCCTTCTTATTATGGTCTACTCGCGCATTGAGTTTTTCACTTTTGATCTATGCTCTTTGCATGAATTTGCTCAGAATTAGATCACAGCTGTTATAATCTGTACCCCATGAACAAGTGAAGTACAATGTTGTCAATTCCCTCCAGCTTTGACGTCATATCGCAGCTGTTAACTTAAGCTAGAATGTTTCAGGATATTTGGAATGATCCACAAAGTGCGGTGCCCATGTCACGGTCCCTAAACGAACCAGCTTTTCAATATCCTGACTCGGCAATGGGAATAGGAGACAGCTCATCGTCGACAAATAGTTCAGCACCAAGTACACCAGCGCTACCACTCGGTGGTTAGTTATTGATTTAGACCCTCGCTCTTGATTCTTATTGTGTTTTTTTTTCTTTGGTTCGGTAGCCATACTTGGATGAGTAAGGTTATCAAAGCCTCTGAAGACTGCTGTCCAAATTTTTACTGGTTGTTACCCATTCATTCGTTCCTTTTGTTAGTATGTGCAGTTCCACTCTCTGAGAAGTTGAATCATTGTTTGCACAAGCTTTTGCAATGCATTACTTCTCCAAAGTTCAAGAAGGCCGATGTTCATGCTTGTATGTCGTGTTTATAGGTCTCAGTCATGTGAGCAGTCCTTACGCTCTTGCTACAGCTCCTTCGAGAACCAGTGAACGCAAGTTCACTTTTCCGGATGCTGTCCCGGAAGTGCCGGACATCGTCTTGCCTGATATGAGGTACGTTCTCATAATATACTCCATTGTTGTAAATCGAATCTGGGTTCATAGTGATAGCGAAGGGCGCACATCCGATTGGACCAGTAGCACAACTGATTATGGTGAAGGCCCGTCATCATTGAACTCTCGACTAGGAGAGGGTAGTGAGGGCACGGTTGTCATTGATTCAACTGGCAGCGGAGGGGTGAGCATTCAATTATTTGGTTCTCTTGTGCAGACCTGTAAGCTTTCTATTTCGATTTTCTTGTACAGACCCAAACTTTTATTTTTATTAGATTCAATATTAGAATTTTAGACTGAAGTGGGTGCGAGTGATAGTTCTACCGGTGGAAAATCGCCTCTAGGAAACCACACATGGGATAGAAATAGATGGAACATGAGCACGATTCGAGGTCCAAATGCGCAGGTAAGACCGCTATTCAGTTGTTTTCTCGATTTTTTAGTCTTCATATTTATGGGAATTAGTTGCAGCGGGCAGGCAAATCTTTCTACACTTATGAAGTTCAAGATTTCCGCTTTTTTAGACTATCTAATTACTTTTCCAGGCTAGTTGGAATGAAGTCGCAATACCCTTCCACAAAATTGATTTTGACAAGAACGCTGTCGTACATGGGCGATTTGGATATGTCAGTCTATATCGAATTCAGTCGATGTTTCATAAAGTCAGCAGTTTTTTAGGTTCAACGAGGATATCATTTTGGTGATGTAGCAATAAAATTCCTCAACATGAACCATGTTGAAGAAGCTAGGCGACTAGATGAGTTCAAGTCGGAAGTAGCGGCCCACAAGGTAAGTTTACATAACTTACATAACCTCGAGTCATTTGTAACTCAATATGTGAGACTGCACACTAAGCCCTATTAGCGACGGCACCTTTACTGGTAACTTTCCAATGAAACACTTTCTCGCCTGACAAATTGTAGAAATGTGTTCTATTGACTAACATATAATCAACGAAAATAAAAGAGATAAGGAAACAAGGAGAAATCATTGTAAATGAGCAGGTTGTAGTTTTTCAGTTCGTCAGTTAGTGTGTATAGTGTGCATTACGCATATTAAGTTACGAATGACTCGACGATAGTTGCCTAGTTCTACAGGAAGTTTGAGCCGATTTTTTCCTTTAGAACACTCGACATGACAATATAGTGCTATTCCTTGGTTATTGTCTTGAGGCAGACAAATATGGCATTGTGATGAGTTATTGCAAGGGACCGTCATTACACTATCTTTTACATGAAAAGAGTGAACCCCTTGATATAGGGGCCGCACTTGTGATAGCTACTCAGATTTGCCAGGTAGGGGAACATGCTGGCTACGATGTGTAATCAGAACCTCTCATTTTATGCCAATTCATTCAGGGTGTCTCATATCTTCATCAAAAGAAGATTATTCATAAGGATCTCCGCTCGAAAAACATCTTTATTGAAAGCAAAAACAAGGTTGTTATCACCGATTTTGGACTCTTCAGCATGGGACGATTACGCTATCCACGAAGGTAAGCCGAGAAACTTCAATGGATGTTCCATCGTAATTGCCAGCTTGTTCAGGAATAACGCTATATGGACACCATCACATTGGTTGGCGTATCTAGCACCAGAACTGATCCGGTTAATTGATGAGGAGTGTAGCGATTTACCATTTACCGAAAGCACTGACGTGTTTGCGTTCAGGTAAGCAATCCATATTTAGCTTTTTATCTCTCATTTGTCTCTCCCCTTTTTTCTTCAGTGAGGTTTTTTATGCTTTTTTTTGTTTTTTCTTCATTTCATATGATTTGCTTCGAATAATCAGTATCTGAATGGCTAGGGTGCATTACTCACCAAAAACATTTGCTGCGAAAACGTATGGATTGGTGGTCATTTGTGATTATTGCGTGCCAATACGCGCAGTTTTGAACGCTGATCTGGTGTCTTCTCATTACCTATATCAAGTTGTGCTTGAGGAATCTGAGATTTTGCTGCAGATTCTGTTGCAAGAGTAATCGTTGTCGCAGTAGATGAAGGAGGTTTGACAGTGTGTCGAGCAACTGCATAAAATCAATAATATTCTTTGATAGCGTTTTCATTTCGTGTCTCCCAACGATAAAGCAAGCGTGTTATTATAGGCATTGTCCCCCCTAAGTTGAGGGTCTTGAGCTTTTGGCAGCATGTGATAGTATGGGGGCCCCTATCACGCCAATGCCCACGTCGCGGCGCAAAATTTCGCTTCGGAAGCGGGAAAATCGCTCCGAAATGACGAAGGCGGTGCTGTCTGGGAATGCACGAGCATCCCCAGACAGCACCGCCCTCCATCCATGCCCGCCTATCCGTGCCCGCCTAACCAATCCCCGCTTCAGAAAGGCCGGCCTGTGAGCTCTCCGCTACGGCGATTGTCGGGGTTTTTGCGGTTTCTCGACCAGTCACGGACCATCGAGAAGGCCTTGGAATGACAGAAACCTGGAAGTCGAGAATTTGGGTGGACGCTGCCTTTAATGGACGTTACTTACACAAAAGCTTACAGCGCCACTCGGCGATTCTGAAAGGACGATTTTCAGGGCTGGATTATTCGGTTTTGAATGTGTACTTTTCTCCTTGAATCCCGCTAGTTCCAAACCCAATGCGCTCCCAGTAGTCCTGCCCACTCACTAATCTCTCGACAAGCCGAACATTGTTTGTGCAAAGTATTTGTCACTATTTGGTTTGTTGCATAACGCACTATACAATCTGATCGTAGAAGATGCAAAATCACGTCTACTTTCGCTTTTGGGGATCAATAGGTTCTTCTAGAATCGGATGTTTGGTGAATGCCTTATCACTTAGCTCTCAAAGGCGGCGTGCGGCGTCCAGATAAATCTGGGCACCTGGGTGTCACGTGGAAACCTATTTTGGAGCTTAACTAAGAGTTTACGAATTTACAGTCGTGGTTAAATCGTTTGCGCTGCAGCCAGCAGCGCAAATGATTTAACCACGACTGTAAATTCGCCTCCAAATTGGATTCAAACATCGTACTAACGGACGACTTGCATCGCGCCAGCATCCTTCGTAACCCAGGTGAGCATATGCAAGCCGCCGTCAATTCGATACTGGGGTCTGATTTGAAGATGATCACAGCCGCAAGTGCGCCATCTGAGCTGCCGCTTGGGTAGTGTTAGGCAGGGTTTCAAAATTACCTTCCACGTGAGATTTTCGGATCTGCTCGGACGCTGCATTCAAAGGCACCTTCCACCCAGATTCTCGACTTCCTTTTCATGTCTCTGACTCCGAATATGAAGCTGAGAATCCGCAACCCCGACTTTTTCCGTTCCGAAGAAACCCCGAGGCCGGTTCTCCGGGACGGTGATTGAATGGGCACGCACGGAGGGGCGGGGATTACTGGAGGGGGGGGGGGCAGTGCCAACCTAGAATTCTCATGCCTTTTCGCTATTCCGAAGCGATTTTCTCGCTTTTTAAACGGCATTTTGCGCTGCCACTTGGGCATTGGCTTAATAGACTCTACCTGGGGTGGACGATGCCTTTGAGCTGTAATATCACTGCACACTATACTCAATCGCTTGTAATGCTTTCTTTCTTGACTGTTCTATTTTTCAGCACTATCTGGTTTGAATTATTGACATCCTCCTTCCCCTTTGCTGGAGAGTGTTCAGACCGCATCATTTGGATGGTTGGGAATGGTTTAAAAGCGCCATTATACAATATGAATGCATCACCCGACGTGAAGGTAAATTTTTTTATATCTCTTGCTTTATTTCGTTCTTTCTCTTTTTGATCTTGAAGTTGGTGTTACTTTCTCTTGGAATCGTATTGATTGGCTTTTATTGAAGTTGTTATATTCTTCTTGAACTTTTCTTGAAATAGACTTTTATCTGAAGACAGTTTTGCTTTCAATTTGGATTAGTGTGAACTGCCACCAATGATTGTTGTTATCATTTCTAGGAAGAAAATCATTAGGATTATCTTGAGTCACGGACTAAATTCGCATCAGCTGGAATTTTCACTGAATTTAGGAGCTATTGTTGCGTTGCTGGAGCTTCACGGATACGAACCGTCCTTCGTTTACTGAAATCTTAGCCGCGCTCAACGCTTTGCCGCGAAAACGACTTGATCGAAGTCCGTCCTTCCCAGCTATTCGAAGTTACGAGTCGATTTTCTAATTTCACAATGAAAGCCTTCCAACGAATCTCACAGTTTCTATGGCATTTGAAGCTTGCTGGCAAACCCTTCTCTGAAGGCGGTTCCCTATGTATAATATTCCTCACTTTTGTTCTTTTCTGTATTCTAATTTCCAGGGTCAATACGCTTGTTGTCGTTACTTATATTCAAACGTAGATTTTTATCAAGAGAACTGTATCAAATATTCCTCCCTAGGAATAGATTGTTTTCCCGCTACTGATGGAAAGTTCCTCAAGATTTTCTCGCGTAGTTATATCATAGTCCTACCCGGTGCTCCACGCTATGTTTTTTTTAATTTTCCTTTTGCACTGATCGGTGACCTTTGTGCTTGTTCGGTCTAACTTGTACGTACTGTCGATCTGTTTCTAGGTTCAATTAACTTTTTTTTTTGCCTGTGCGAGGTTGTGACAGCTTTTAGCTGTTATGAATTGCGGTCAGCAGTGTTACTTTATATCTTTCATCTTTCCTATACAGTTGTTTGTCGCTCAACTATTTCGATAAGGTAACTCTTCCCAAATATTGTCAGTTTTTAGTCAGTATTGATAATTAATTTTTGAGTAACGCTCGTCCAGTGTTGATTTTTCCAATCTGTGATTCACATGATATCCTGAGATTAGGACATCTCAGTTAGGTGTGATAAATAATTTCTTGTATATAGTTTTTATGTACATACGGGTTTATAAATCACCCAGTTGCTATTGCATTAAAATGATATAGTGCACAACACTTGATAGATGCTTTGTTCGTTTCTAGAATGTCAAATAAAGTGGTTTCAACCTTACCGCGGATCCGTGCCACAGTTGGACACATTCCACAGAGATTGAAGACCGCAAACATTGAACCTAGTTCTCGCGCTAGATTAGAGGTGAGATTGCTTTTGCTTCAGACTATATTATACAGTTTTCTTGTGACATTACGTCTTGGTGTTGAATGATCTGAATGACATGAAGGGTGAGAGCGGAAATAGATAGAAGTCAGTGGCTTAGCAAGATAGGTCCTTGTGAGGTTTTGGTGGTAAGTGGTAGACTCTTCACGTACACCGCCGCAATCCTATACTTCAGTCGGTGCTCTAAATTTTGAGACCGTGCTTCTGATTTCACGGTGCCGCCCACTCAATGAAATGGGCGGGGCTGACCGAACTTCAAAGCAAGCTTTCAGATTTGGCGCATGGATTGAAGAGCTGTTGGGATTGCGGTGTACTTGGAGGGATTAATCCTCATATCACCAAAACCTGACAAGGATGCGTTTTGCCGAGTCACAGCGTCTATGCTAAAGCCTAAATAAAATAGCTTTCAACACATTCACGACAGTACGACCCACCGCTGGGTCGTATGCTTTCTGAAGTTTTTGATTTTGCTTATCTACAATGAAACTTTCTAGGCACACTGATCAAAATCCTCTATACGTCTCCTGGAATACTTCCCAAAAGATCAACACTTCAGACTCTGAACCCATCAGTAGAAAATATTGCGCAAACTCGATATCGCGAAATATGCTCTGGTCCGAAATGCCAGTCATCAAAAATCGGCTTTGTCGTGAATGTGTTAATTAGTATATTAACGTAAAAGTCGACCATGGTTTAAAAATGATTTTTCATCCCCAGCGTCAATTAAGCTCCAAATATTTTTTTCCATCTATCTGATGAAGGTGTTACCACGCCGCTAGAACTTTTGTGCTGCTATAATCAAGTGAATCTATGAATTTGATGACTATTAATCAAATCATGTGGAACTGAACAATTGCACTAGCAAGGATGCGTACAAAGTCTACGAGCCCCTAATTGTTAGATCTTACGACGAATCGTCACACGAATGGTACGTGAGGAACGCGCCGAGTTTCCATGGAATAGAGCTGTGGAGGCAAGACCTTATTTGGAAAGAGTATGTTAGATTATGTGAACTTATCGTTGCATATCAGATGTGCCCGTTTTTATCCATTTCAGTTGATTCAACTTGGAGTGGAGCGAGGAGAAAATGATGAATACACGACCAAAATGATGGAATGGTGGCTGCCTGAAGCTGACCTTATCACCAAAATGCACAAAGTAAGTTGTCTTTTGTTCTCTATGTTTTTCCTTTTGATTTCATTCCTCAGCTTTGTTTTCTCCTCTTAGATACGGACACATGGATCTTCTGATTATTGTTTTCAGGTAATTGTTCCACGATTTGTTGATAAAGAGGGACCGTACACGTCAATATACCGTCTTCCCACGCAACGACTCTGCACTTATGTCTCTAGAAGATATGAAAAGTGGAAGCGCTACGAAATTGCCGTTCTAGAAATCGATGGTGCATTAACTTTGATTTGTAGGGGCTCTGCTCATGCTTGCTCATCTTTGTCTCTTGAAGGTAATCCATTCCCTCCTGTTTTGGGCGATAAGGAGAACAAATCGTCATCGTTGCTAAATATACTTCTCAGGGACAGTCTGCAGAACCGGCTCAAAAAGCTCCAATCAAGTACGAGTAAGGTCTCATAGAGTTTGATTGTTGAGATTAGCAATTTGTTATATACTGCTTGTGGATAGTCATCATTTTATCGTTCATGCTGTTTTCGCACTTCTTCTTCCAGTTTATAATGAAACTTTCACCAAATAATTATTGAGGAGATCACCGTTTACACGGGTGTTTACTGTTTCTTAGCGCAAGTTGCTTTTAGTTTGAGAGTTTATCCGGTTAAGAGTATCTGATGCAAACTGACCGATGTTGAAACTCGTCTCTTCATATTATGAAGTAATCTACAATTCGAGGAATTTCGTAAATCGATTTTCTTGGAGGCTTTGAACATGTCCCATTAAACGATTGAAAAGATGTACTATGAGAAGTGTAGAAGTGGTGCACATAGCCAGCAACTTTCCATAAATGCAAGTCCGCAAAAGGTTGTAATCCAGTTTAACGGCAGCTATGCCCGTATCGAGGTACTTACAGCTATGAGATGAGGCATAAGTTGGACCCATGCCTCATCTTGCTTGCCGCTATCTCGCAGTTACTGATGCGACTCTATAACGTATGAATTGCGATTTCACAGTGGAGAATGCTTTCGTTATCCATTCTTCAAATCTGATATGAGGACGGCCTTAAGCTTATCCACTAGAAGCTAAAGCTTGCCTTCAATTTGTCAGCGAAAATAAGCCACAATCGAGCAGATATTCCGCTTAATATAGTGTGCTACTGTAGGTGAATGCGGTAAAATTTGGCGTAAACAATTAGCCACGCCAGTAACGTCGGCATTCTGCGCGCGCAATCTGAAGGCCTCACAGGCGTAGTTTGGACCTAGATTCGTGTGGAGACGGGTTGCGTACTTCCCTGAATTCAAGGATAAGCTTAATGAGAGAGTACGAAATACAATGTTATAACGTGGAGGTTCAACAGGTTTAAAAAAATCAAGGAAGTCTGCAACCGCCTCCACACGAATCTGGGAGTCGATGTAGGTTATCTCTTCACGCGCAAAATTTACCACATTTCACCTACAGTGCAAGCACACTATATTAGGCGAAAATCTAGTCGCTGGATAGTGTTCACGTCAGTAACGCGCGCGTTTCCATGGTGCTGAGCGGACTGTCCAATTGCGACACTGTATAAACAAGTACATTTGGGGCCGGGCATACTTCACACAGTTTCAGACGCGACGCGATTTGGCATCGATTTGGCATATTCCATCTGTCCATACTCAAACACTGGGAGCGGACGAGCCACGGCCTCAAAAGGCCTTTTCGGCCCGTCCGCGGCCTTAATTTGGGGGCGTGGCCGGAGTGCGGCCAAACCGCGGCCTTTCGTTCATGCCATTATCACTGCACCGGCCGAGCGGCGCGGGCTGAGTATGGCTTACCGGGTCAGCCGCGGCCTTAATGAGAGGGTGGAGTCTTGCAGCGGTTGAGCCGCGGACTAAAATCTCTATAATGAATCTCCGGCCGAGCCGCGGCCTATGTCAAAAGAAGGCCGCGGCTCGGCCGCTCGGAGTGTTCAAAGGCAGCGTCCAGGCAAGTCCGGACACATGGGGATCTCACGTGGATAGTAATTTTGGGGCCCTAACTAAGCCACTGCCCAACCGGCAGCTCAAGTAGTGCTCTAACGACTGAGATATTCCTCTCGAAACTGGACGCTGCGATTGTATTTCGCATGGATTCATGGCGCAAAGCGTGGATCCGCGAAACTGCCATGAATCCATGCGAATACGATCGCGGGGTCCAGTTTCGCAGGTATCTCACCGTTAGAGCACTACCTGAGCTGCCGGTTGGGCAGTGGCTTAGTTAGGGCCCCAAAATTACTATCCACGTGAGATCCCCATAGGTCCAGATCTGCCTGGACGCTGCCTCTAAAGGCACCGTCCACCCAAAATGGAGGTTGGCGAGATTATGATGGCATACTGGTGTGGGCCCTCATACTAGACAAACCTCCAAGCTTCGCCGCAAAAGACTGCTTCTGAAGCGAGAAATCCGCTCCGGAAGTAACAAAGTGGGCGGGGAGCCCCCGGCGGTCCACCCAACTAGAATTCAATGTTTTTGTCACCTTCAGGCCTTCTGAAAGCCCTGATTCCGAATATGGAGTCGAAAATTCGCGAAACCCCCAAAAATCCTTGTTTCGAGAACCCTCTGCAACAAGTGCACGCGAGATAAAGCATGCAAGTGGGCGGGGCGACCGGGGGCGCCACGCCCACTTTTGTTACTTCCGGAGCGGATTTCTCGCTTCAGAAGCAGTCTTTTGCGGCGAAGCTTGGGGGTTTGTCTAGTATGGGGGCCCACACTACAGGGTTGGGGGAAAGTCCTTGAACAATTTTTGATGTCCTTGTATGTTCGGCTTTTCCACAAATTCTTGTATGCTAATTATATGTATTTGCTTCTTATACTCTCGAGTAGAAGCCCTCAAAAAACTGGAGTATTAGCTTTTTTCCTATCGGAGATATGCCTTCTGGAATGGAGCGAGCGTTGGTGGAGAAGATGCACGAGGAGAGGATGCCTGACCGCAAATGCGCGGGCTCTCCAAATTTTTAAGATCAGGGTCTTTTCCACCTTGCATCCTTTCTAGGATATGAACAACACCCAGCACTGTTGTATGAGTTGTGAATTGGCTACTGCGGACAGTAACGAAATTCTGAAAATCGTTCGCCAACGCCTTCGTCGCAATCCTTGGCGAAGCTTGATTGAGCTGGCTTTAAAGCTGTCCATCTCTGGCAGGGCTGTTTCCGACATTGCGAAAGAGGGCCTTGCGATGAAGCTTTTCAGGGTGCTTAAATTTCATGCTCTTTGGGAGAACACGAAGCTGAACTGACTGCGCAGATGCCATCGACTGCTTGAACGTCTCTTCAAGGCCAACGAACGATACTCTTTTCTGACGTCTAAATTCTTACCATGAAGCAGGTTTTTGATCGCCAAAACAACAGAGCCACCACCTAAATGCCTCAAGAAGCCAATAGCAAGGGTTGGCTTGCAGAAGGAAAGCTTCTTCCGGTTTTTGTGACAATTTGCACGGCGATCGCTTCTGACAGCAAAATGCCGCTGATTTTTAGGGTCTCAGTGCTCAAGATGAACACCGCCACGCATGTGAATAGCGGCCTGAAGAAGGGATTGTTGGCCTTGACCAATACCCATTTGCCGGGAGCGATTGGTGCTCACAGTAGGATAGCGCACCTGCGCACAAAGCAAAGTTTGTTCAAGCATGGCTCCAAAGCAACATCAAGGGGTTCATTACTCTTGCGGAACGGCCTCCGTATTGGCCGGATCTGAAGGCCAAAGCCTGCGCTCATCCGCGCAAGACAGTGGAGACTCTGCGACTTGCTCTTCAGAAAGCGTTGGAAGAAATCGACGTGAAGCACCTCCGTGCCACCATGGACAGTGTTCCCAAGCCTTTCCGAGCTTGTGTTCGCGTCAAAGGAGGAAACTTCGGATTGTAAAGCCAGTTTTGTGTAGCAGACAGTTAAGTAAACATTGCGCATTGATCTCATATAATCATCTTGCCTAGCTTCATTATTACGTTAAAAATACCGTGTTCAAAGACTTCCCCCCAGTGGCGTACCGAGGGGAGGGGCGGGGGGGGGGGGGGCGCCCCCCCCCCCCGAGAACGGGTCGCGAAATTTTTGAAAATTACTTACATGCGTTATAAAAATGTGCAAATGACTTGTTTATTTTTGTAAACAATTGAAATAATTTTTAAAATTTTTTAAAAATTCAAATTAGCCTTATAAAAAAAATTTTTCGGGGGCCTGGGTACGCCACTGCTTCCCCCAACCCTATAGTATGCCATCATGATCTCGCCAACTTCCATTTTGGGTGGATGGTGCCTTTAAGCGTAAAGGAGACTTGGATGTACGTCGCATGGTCAGACTGCCCTCAGTGTCCATAGCCTTGGATGTCCTTCCAGTGTCCAAGGCGGGAACAAGATCAATGTGTTGTACAACCTTGGATAGCATCTTGTTGTCCAACCTCGAAAGCGGACTTGGTCTCCGAAGCGGCAGTGGCCTCGATTTTTGTTTTTTTTTTGCTGTGTAATATTTCATGTGCCATGGAAAAAAACAGTTCTACTGTATCCGAGCTAGAATGAACTAGACTGCCCGACAACCAGCTCCGGCTGAGACGAGGCTCAAAAGCGGACGAGCCGAGGCTTGTCGCCGGCCGAGCCCCGGGGGGCTGCGAAATTTCAGCCTGTAATGGGCCACGGCTCGTCCGCTCCCAGTGTCTGAGTAATTCATTGTGAGCACATTTTGAATGCTTACAATGAGTTATAGACAGAAAATAGGGCATTATATCTATCCATGTAAGTTATACACACTATGCATGCATTGTGCTAGTGTTGGATCTGAAGACTTCTGGCGAATTGCCAAATCGCGTCGCGACTGAAATCGCGTCAAGTATGCCCGGTCCTTCTGACGGTAAGTATTCCTTGCGGTGTCGGCAATCGTCCACTACATTTTCGCGTTAAAATTGTGGCTCGCAATGGTCACGCGCAAATGTTGTCGGCTAGACAGTTCTCAACAAGCATCGAAATCTGCAGAATAGCTATCTTTGTTGAAGGGCAGTGAATCGTATACACCATGGGTTTGATTGTAACTGGCCAAATAAGTTTTTGGAAGCTGGGAATAATGCTTCTTCAATATTGTCAAAATCGCAGCGCTTTATTCCTGAAGGACTTCCAATTTCAGTTGAATAATTCCTCCTATCTAATCACTTTTATTATAATCGAAACGGGTGATGTCTTTCACCGAGTGGCCGGAATTGGCCACTGTAACTAATGAGCAACGATTTGAGCTGGTAATCAAAGATGCGAAGGGAAGAAGTCCCCCTCTCAGCGATGAAGAACTTCAAAAAGCCATGTTCAAGAAGGTAAACTTCCCCTTCTATCCTACAGTCACGATTTCCCCAATCTCTTGCAGAATGCTCACCTCAATTTCATCAGCATTTCCGGATCTGGTCTGTCGCATCTATCAACTTCCATCGTTTCGTGCGAGCAACTCACAACGCTGGTAATCATACGGAATGAATTGACCAGCGTCCCGGAGGAGATAGGTGGGTGTGTCTTTGATTGAAATTCAGTTTTATTGCGCTTTTGCCGTATGTGCCTTACTGCTACTATGTTAGGATTATCGTTTTCCGATGCTAGTTGGGTGCCTACATACCCTTTTCTACTCCTTGAATACACGTCCAGTCGCTGTGATGGACATACCACAAAGTGAAGCTCAAGTTGCGCCGCCAAAGGGTTCTGAAGCAAGAAATTCGCTCTGCTTTAACGAGGAAGACGAAGGCTCAGAGGCGGCAACACCCCCGGGGGCGCCCGCCCATTTAGCAACATCCCCTGGATGCGTCGACATGACACTGCTGCTGCGCCGATGCCATCTGCCGATGGTGGTGAGCCCTGAGGTCATACCTACAGTAACCATGCACTAGCACTACAATATTGCCTGCTCGTTTTTTGCATCTACAAGCCAGAAGGACGCCCAAAATACCAAGGAGGAAGTTTTTGACTTTCCTTGACTTGCTGACGAACATCGTCGGCAAGTCAAGGAAGCTTTCAACGCTCTGGATTGCCGAATAAGATAAAGAATTGGTGGAAAACCGGTGGAATTCATTTTACCTCGCTGATATAATCAAGGACCGAGGAATTATTGGGATCCAACCAACCATGCCGCCTGTTTGTCGACAAGCAGATCTGATGGTGGTCCGAGTCGTTCAGCAAGTAGTCAAGAAGAAGAGGGAAGCCTGCAGGATTTGGAAACGCTCACGCTAACGATAACTTCCGTTGATATCGAGTACTGCTCAAGAGCGAAACATGTTATAACCGAGGCAAAGGGGGCACACTACAAGAAACTTCATGACGAGCTGCAAGGACCTAGCGTTCAATTATACGAACTGGCGGCTGTTCGACTTCGAGTGAAGCAGGACATTGATCACCTTATACACGTCCGAGATGCAGGTGGCAATCTCCTGACGAAACTGAAGGCAGTATCAGGCGATGAGTCTATACTCTACGAAGGCTCAAGCAACGAGGAGTTACCACACCCTCAAGGAGTGCCGACTGGAGTTTTGGATCATGGAGATTTTATTTAGGCACTGAAGAAGATGTCCCACGGTAAAGCTCTCCAGCACCGGGCAACATACCTGCTGAATATGGAAGGCGATGGGACAACGTGGAGTGATTTTCCACAACACTGTCTGTTCGGATCAACAAGAGAAAGGAGAAAGTACGACGAATTTGGTCAACGAATGTTGCCACCTCTATCTGGAAGAACAGGGGCGCGTCAGTGACTGTTTAACACACCGACCGATACGCTTCTTTAATCACGCGATGAAGTTTTTCGAGACATCGACACGCACCTAGACTATAGTGAAAGTCACCCCGAATAAATCGGTTTTGTAGGATTGGTACCATCAACGCCGTGCATGCCGTACAACTGTTCATGAAACGCTATCAAGAGAAACAGAAGCTCTAGCTCCACTTCGCACTCTTGGGTTTAGAAAAGGCATTTGATTGGCGGCGACTGATCGAATACCATAGGGATGGGGGACATTAGGTCGTCGAAAAAGGGCGGTCCCCGCGATCATTTGCGACAAATACGCACCCGTACATGCGCGGACATGCGTTCCTGCAGGGAGTCCGCGCGGGACTCTTCCAAATTCGGCGACCTAATGTCCTCCACCCAATACCATAGTAATGAACATGCATGACATGGTGGATACTTGGGTTCGGCGAAGAAATTGCGTCACGAACACCGATATGCTGACATTCTTGGAGTTGTTCCTATATTGAAATGCGTGTAGCAAGGTTGGGTAGTATGGTCACGTTTTACGAAGTGATGACAGTCCAGTAGCAGAAACGGCACTCTCCTTAGATCCGCAGGGAAGAAGACCTCGCGCCGAAACACGTTGTTAAACACGATTCGAAACGATCTGCATGTGGTAAGCCTCACACCACTAGAAGCAGGCATCCGCCAAATAGAAATCGCGATGCAGGAACTTGGGCAGTGCTTAGGAGGCCAGCTATTGTACCATATCAAAATCTCACCACCCTCAATTTGATATGGCGTTTTTGGTTAGTGTGTGGAGGTCGGCCTTTCCTACGCTCAGGGTTGAGTGTTGAATGATCAGAGAACATGCTCGCGAAAGAGGTGCATAGTCCAAGCGAGGCGGTAGAATTCGAGCCGCACGAGCTCCGGTCGCTCCTATTGAGACAGAGTGTGTTCAGCGATTACAGAAACTCAGTATTTCAGGTACACTGACCAAGCTGACATTTGTCGATCTCAGCACCAATCATTTGAAGAGCTTGCCAGCTTCATTCTCCAAACTCACCAAACTTGAGACATTTGTTGCATCTGGTAACCAGGCACGTTTTATAGAATTTCTAGACCACCTTGTTCCTTATATCCTCGCTTCCAGCTTACCAATGAAGGACTGTTCGATTTCTCCGCCATGCTTTCATTGTTGGTTGTGGACCTTTCACATAATGAGCTTACCTCCGTACCAAAGTCGTTGACTTGTGGGAAACTAGTGCGCCTGCACACGCTCAATTTCTCCCATAATAAAATCAAAGAGGTATTTATCTACATTTTTGCGGCGTAGCATTCAAACATCGTACAATGTCTTCTTTCCTCCAACATGTCCCAGGGATAAATTAGAGAGTTTATGCTGGAAAAGAGTACAAGAAAAGCGATTTGCGAAGCATTGGGAGGAGGGATGCTATATTTTCGTGTAATTCCGGCGCGTGTTGTGCCCCCACCCCTCCTCAAGAATGGGACGCGAAATTTTTTGGGAGGGTGAGGGACGGGAGAGAAACAAGGAACTTACCGTGAAAAAAAAATGCCACGCCTTCTGGAACATTTATTTGGACGTTCAAAAACAAAATTTTTTAAAGCAATCTTCGAGAAAACTGAAAAAATGGCTTCATTAGTGGCGAGAAAAAACCAGTCTGCACATTCTTAGGACCGCCATGACTGCTTTCAACGCGACCCTGCGAGAAAGAGAGGCACGCTCCACACCCTTTCTAGAAGGGGTGCGACTAAAAGAAAAGCTAAAAAGAACTAACTCAACTGCAACTCAACTAAAGCACAAAGAATGCTTGCGCGTCATGCTGGCAGCGATATGGTGTGATACCACTTGGCAATTTGAAATAGAAGGAAGTAGAAACAAACATCTAGAGGATCGGTTTGCTTATCTGACTTCAGTACCTTCGGCTGTGAAGTTCTTTCAGTTTATGAAAATACGGACTCTCCTAGTATATCTATAAAATTTTGCTAACTGACGAATGTGCTTGCTTGGAACTGCTTAGATCCAGTTTACTTGTGCTTCAGTATAATTGTAGATGTGCCTGCTTTTAGGTGACGCAAGATCTGAGCGTGATAGAACACATGAAGACGTTGAACCTTTCCAATAATGAAATCACTGCCCTTCCATGGGCTATTGGCCAGATGGAAAAGATTCGAATTTTAGATCTATCGCAGAATCCCTTCAAGGATGGTCGATTCAAGAAACTAGCTAATGACAAGAGAGCGAAGGCAAGTGACTGCCTATTTTCACCGTTGAAGCTTACAGTTGATCGTTCAGGTGTCAGCTGTAGTTACTTATATAGCTAAACACGCTCCAAAAGTCAATGTTTCTGCGCCAAACGATGCCGAGGCGAATGCTGAGGAAAAGAAAGACGCAAATGACGAAGAAGCTACCGTAGTCAGGATAGGAGTGCCTGATGTGAGTAACTATTTGTACACGGGATTTTATTCTCTAAATCGTATTTGAGTAGTGAAGAAAAGGTGGGGGGAAGGGAGGGGGGGGGGAAGAGGATATATGTTTTCTTTACCTAACAACAACACGTCACCCTCTGATATTTAGATATACGTTAAACGGCTCGAATCCGTCACACCTATCCGACCATATCTTGCTTGTTGTGTTTTACGAAACCTCGATCTTACGGGTGAAAACTTCAAAAAATTCATCAATATCCAGGTATAGAAATCTTCAATTTTTTTATTTGTCACGATCGTAACCTGCTCCTGTTCAGACGAAGCTCCATTCTTCATCGCTGTGCTCAAATAGAACGATAGCGGCAATTGGCACCCACGAAATAAAATCTTTCCAGCCGCCCTTGAAGTACTTAGCGTTACCACCCGAGGAATTGCATGTGAGTTTGAGGAAGACGAGTCATCGCACGCAGCGAATGGGCACCGTTGCGTACGAGTGAGAAAGCTCGTGCATGGGAGAGACGGCAGACTGCGAGAAGGATGCAAGAGCTGCATCGGCGAGACGCTTGCAGCGTTCGTAAGGGATCGTTCAGACCGCGCACAAAGGCGCACGAAGGCGCGTCTCGTTTCGTCTCGTTTATTTCAACACACACTCACTCACACACGCCTTCGTGCGCCTTCATGCGCCTTCATGCGCCTTCGTGCGCCTTTGTGCGCTTTTGTGCGCGGTCTGAACGAGCCCTAATGACGCCCCGTCTGTGCATGCAATAAATCGCCTTTTAATATTTTCCGACTGTTTCGCAAGTGAAGATTGCTTTGCTGTAGATCACTGCTCTACATAAAAAGAAACCTGTTAGCGCCAAGGAGTTGATTGACGCCTTGGTGAGGGATGCAGATTTAGCTAGGAAACGAACTAAAAGGAATACGTTGAATCCTCTACACAGGTCAGTCTTTTGTGATTTGAAGGTTTTGAATAATTCAATCTATCTTACTAATCTAATTTATGATTTTATTCATTCAATTTACTCAACTTATTTTTTGCTTGATTTTTTTAATTACTATAATGTTGATCCTTATTCGCTGCGATGTCCCATTTCGCTTTGTTCCAGATACCTCAACATAGTCATAGATTTACCTCTGCTCCCATGTCTCATCGATGCGAATGGCCTTGTCATCAGTTTGGCTCCTATCACTAACAGTGATTTGACGAAGGTAATTCTGTCTGAGCTCAGGTAGTAAAAACGGGACCAGCTTATTCAGATGACGGAAGAAACTGAAAGTGTATGGGTGGAGGTATCATCTTCGGAGTCGATGAATGTATGCAAAGAGGCAAGAAATTTTGATTTTACGTAATTTGCGTTTCTGATTTCTCCTAACACTGTTGTTATTTTTCCAGGTTCTTGAGCAGCTAATTGTTGAGACAGCCACCATCTGTCCACAACTGCATGTTGACCAGGTCAGTGATAGAATTCTAGCTCTACAAAACGAACTTGTACTTGAAACTGTTTCATCAGTCCTCGATCGGTGTTAAACTCATCCATTTTATTTTCCACTCTTCATATCTTGGGAGCTCTCAGAAATATTCGAAATCTCCTATCGGCGTTTCTTGTTGTGAACTCACTGAATTTATATTCTAGGTTCGCGTATACAACGAACACGATGATCTACTGTCCGCTTTTCCTGACAAGAACGATCTATCATCGATGCGTCTGCGGCGGGAATATGTCCAAGAAAATCAGTCTGAAGCCTGAAGTCATCTGTGTCATTTGCCATAATGTTTGCCTCAGTTTCTTAAATTTTTCTTATGTTGTCCTTTTTCAACACCTCATTCTTCCTTTCTCAGCAAAACAATTTTTTGAAAAATTCTCACTCTTGATGTGTGTGAAATACAAGCCAATTTCTTTTGTTGAGAACATTTTGGATTTCTAGTAGAAGAAAATAAACTTATGCGCATGCTTTCACATTTCTTATTCGCCGCACAACGAAAACTGCCTGTCCTTGAAAATTTGTGAAGTTCGATTCTTTATTTTGCTTACGGTTTGCTGAAATCTGTCTACATTATCTGATGAAGCAGTAAAATGTTCTATATCTAAATTATTTCCAGTAACCAAATTTATGCTTTTCTGGTGAATACTTGACAACGTCTCTGCCATTCTCCGTTCCATCGCATCTGAACGTGTTTCACAACTGAATATTGCTTGGTGAAAATCAAATGAAAAGACTGATTAAAGTGGTATTGACTCAAAAAAAAAACATTTGGATACAAATTTTATTCGATACCTAACAACAGAGTAAGACTTTCTTTGAGCAACCTGGAAGATATCTTTTTTTTGCGAAATAATCTTTTTGAAAAAACGGCCTGATAACGGATAATAACGGAATGTTCCCATCCTCTTCATTTCTTTCGAAATTGATTGTTTCTAAATACTGGTTTTAACTGCTTTGCATAAAGCCTATCTCTTGTTTTTGACTGGTTTTTTGTTCCTTACTATATCAAATTATTCACAATGACTATAACCATCACTGTTTGGTAGAAGATTTGGTGCGCTTGAATGAATAAAATAATCACCTTGCTAGGGCCACAAATTTCAAGCTGTAAAGAATTGAGGTGCTTTGTGAAGAATTTAGTGTTAATTTTTTTTATAACCAAAAAATGGTATTGTGTGCTTGTTATGGTATAAAGAGGAGGATTAGGACATTGCACGTTTGCTGGTTCTGATACTTTGCTTAAGTTTTCAAAAAAAGACTCGAGGGAAAAATTGGCAATTCCATTAAAGACTAATCAGCAATCAACTAGCAGAGGGTTGCAGCGTATCAACGCTTGCACTTTGAGTGCAGAGAAACATTAGCTGGTTCTGTGTCAGCCATACTAATTTTTAAAAGAAGGGAAGGTTGTATCGGAGGTGTTTGCAAAGTACCATATAGTGCAGTTTGGAAGCAAGTTTCTTTCAGTAGTGGAATGAGAGCCAGTGGCGTAGTGTATAAGGCGCAGCTAAGACCGTTCGAAGCAAAGTTCGATCCCGCCCCTTAGCCAGCCAGACCACCCTACGGGTCGGCAAGGTGGAACGGATTATCTGGGAAGATAAAAACACCGAATGGTGACCGGCTGGCCCCCGCAAAGCACTGTAAAAGGCCTGCATACAATTAGTAGCCTCTTCCTCTAATAAGGAGAGGATATTTAGTGACCGTCGCCTTTTGCAGCGAGATGGTCTTACCAGCAGATGCGCATTGAAACGCTAATTCCAAATCTATGTTCATTATCTGCTGTGCGACTCTGAACGAAGTTATGGACTTTTTTCCACATCAATTTTACAAGATCTAGGCAGTCAAAATCAGCAGTATTCAGGCTTTTAGACTCTGATATATCGGAGATGGTTTTCCTGAGCTTAACTTAAAGCTTCATTTTACTTGGACGCTCTTTTGTAGTGCATAAGTGAGCACTGCAACGATACTGCTGAATATTGTCATCACAGTCAAATTTGGTGGCAAGAAGTGTTCATATCTTCTTTCGGAAGAGCGCATAGCAGATACCGAAAGCAGATTTGGAATCAGCGCTTCAAGTTGCATCTAATAGTGTACGTATCATTACAAAAGAACGTGGTCACCAAGTATCCTTTCCTTGCAAGAAGTAGAATGCATTTAGCGCATGCCCGCAGAGGGTATTGAAGATGCCGAGTCCTCAGTCCTCTATCCTTACTTTCATTAGGCTATGGCTGTACCCCCAGTCTGTATCTGCCTTGGTGTATGGCCAGTTCTATGGGCATACATTGCATGACAATCTTTTTTCGGTATAGAATCGATGGAAACGATGGCGAGTGTCGGTGGTTGCACGAGCAGCACACAGTCACAGGCGCAGACAAACACTCTCGGTCACACCCACCGCACTCGCACGCACACACACACAGGCACACACAGCCACCGCCAGCGCACACATCCACATACACACTGCGGGATGCGAATCGATGGACAGCGACAGACGCAGACAGACAGACAGCGCATACAGCACACACAAACAGACAGGCACGCCAGTGTGCATACATAGACGGCTGTGTCTATGCCGCATGTACGTGCCGGTTGAAGCCTGGCTCGGTTGCTGTCCTTTTCAAAGGCTAGCTTCTCTAAATCTTTTCATTTGTAGGTGCTTTGATCTTCGCATAATCTTGTTATCACTGATTTCGTTTGTGAAGTCGGTTGAAAGCCATCTATCCATTTCAATCATTTCCAGTTGTTTACACATGCAGCACACATTCGTCTCCCAATTGGCATTTTTGCAGATGAAAGGGTAGAGGGAGAGGGAAGGGGAGGGGGGGGGGGGGGAATGCTCTGTTAGTCAAAGTTCTTGGCTTCTTTTTTCTTTTCCTTCTTTCCTCACTGGTGACTCCAGTTAGTAAATGATAATGACTAGGAAATCTTAAGCTGTCTGTACATATTATACTATATCTATCTAAGCCATTGACGACGACGCTTAATTTTGCCTGGCGGCGCATTGCAAAGACGCGATATTGCGGAACATTTTCGTTGTTGTTTATTTTGTGGTTGTTTACGAGATACCTGAATCTTTTGTAAACATCTGTAAACATTACCTTGGACGCCGAGTCTACAGATCCCAACACCGCCGTAGACCATCTCGAACGCAAAAAATAGGAAAAAAACTAGATCTGGAAAAGATATGCTTCTCCAAAAGGTGTGGGCCACCGGCGGGCCATATCGTCGTCAGTGGGCTTTAGGAAACTCATAAAAACGCGTCAATTTTGTTCTTAACCTGTTATTACATCTGCTTGATCTTATCGTTGCCGTTCAAAATCACATGTAAAACAAATTCGAGCATGTCAAATATGCGTTTCCAGTTTGTTCTAGAGTATTAGATTCAGAATCGGTTGAGTATAGTAGACCTTGATGTGGTAGTCAGAATCAGTTGAGTATATGTAGATCTTAATGTGGTAGATAATTTGATAAATTATCGTTTTGATCATCTTTCATCGTTACGAATGATAATGTAAATAACTGAAAAATAATCCAATTGACTTTCCACCTTGATTTTATTCTAGAAAAAATGTAATCATCTTGGGCCTCCAAATTATGGGGACCTCATAATAATGGGTGGATAATCCAATAAATTAGCGTTCTCATTATCCACTAGTCTATACGAATGTTAGCATATGCAGATACATATGTGCGCGAATAAATAACTTTTTTTGTCTCATTTTTCCTGAAAAAAAAAACTTGTAACAACAGATTGCTTAGACCTATGCAGCATGTCTCCTCTTGCAACATCAGAAATTTTTTAAACTTTTTTTTGAATATTCTATTAAATAAAGCTCATATGCTAACCGAGGCGTTTGAAGGATTTTTCTATGAAGGTGTTTTTATTCTCATTTTTGGGGCTTTTTTGGATGTTATCCTTTGTTCTACTGCTAATAAAAAATAATATATAATAGTATCTACTGCAGTTTATATTTGTCAACGATAGAATTATCGAAGCTTTTTTTTAAGGGCCATTTCCATATCTACGAATGCGTCCAATTGCACAAAAATTCCAGAAAAGAGCTTCAAATTTTGACTTTTTAATTTAATTGTTGATCAGGATCGATTGCTGCATTTGACCTACATCTATAATGTTTCCAATGTTTTTATTTTATGCAATTATATATCCATTACCTGTACCAAGAAATAACAATAGTTAACATTCCATGTTTGAACATGTCATACTTCTACTGGACGATCTGGAATGTTCGACGGTATCTTGCTCTCCTGAGTGTTGTCGATCTGTGGGATCTGCTGAAAAAGCCTTTTCTATGCAACTTTTATTTTAAATAGTCATAAATCCATTCATACGAGTTTTTGTTCGCTTTCGTAAGTTTTCCTACAATAAAATTTTCAAAAGAGATACTGAGCTTCTAGGGAATTTGTGCTTATTGCCTATAACATTTTTTGTTCTTTATTTCCGAAGTCTATTCGATGAGTCTCTTTCGTTGTTTTCATAGCCAAATTTTATGCTTCCGTGTTAATATGTCATAAATAGACATAACGTGCAATAAGGTCATCGAAATAAATCCCCCTGTATTTTGTCATTCTATAATTGCAGAACTGAACGCATATGAAGTTTGCTGTCAAAAATTGAAAATATGTAGGCTTCACATTCGGCTTTTGTCCTTTTGATAGGCTTTCTCGTCTTCTAGGCGTAGCTTTACCAAAAACTGGCATCTTTTTTTGCTCTTTGTTTTTTCATCAATATTTTCTCATAGATCGAGTGTAACTTAATTCTCCAGTTGTAACATTGACAAAAGCTTTGTTTTTATATATTAGGTTGTTGCAAAAATAATGTCCGTTTTGGAAATTTTCACTTTGGAGGGCTACAACTTTCTTCATTTTTCATATTTTTGAATGCAGTCAAGACCATCAGAAACAGCAAACCATTCGTAATTTAGCGCGTGCCTGCTCATACTGATATCGCAGTTGGGAAGAAAACCACGCGTCAAAAAACTAAAAGTTTTTCTCTCAAAAACCTCTTCTTCAAGAGCTTACAACTCCCTTCAAGTTTTGTTCGTATAGCTGGCAATCAGCTTATTTTGTAGCAGCAGGCCAATATTTTATGAGAGTGTAGAAAAGACCCCGACGAAAGAGTTCTGCGAAATAAAAAACAAAAATTCGAAAAAGTTCACTTTTTAAAGCCTACCTGTTGTATGCTTGTAAGTGTCAAATTGTAAAGATTTGAAATTCTTCGCGGACTGAATAGTTGAGTTTCTCTTCAAATACTGTAGTTGAGGTGTGCTAATCTTAAGCTTGCAGAAATGGGCGAAACTTTGGCGATTGCCTTAATTCTGAGAAATTTCTGATCCATAGAATGCCAGCAGTGAGTATCTCTTTCGAGGCGTCCATTTCTCAGACCAGATATCTCCAAAAATCCACATAAGCACGCAGTAGGTAAACAATCTTCATCCAATAGAAATGCTATGTTTTCAGAAGAATTCGTCAATTTGCGCCTTAATTGTGGCTACGGAAACTCAAGCATCGAAATTTCGATTTTGAGTGCAGTTATGCGAGATGCTGGTGAAATTCTCACGGATGAGGATAGCAGCCTATTTCCACCATCGTTAGAAAGTACATGAAAAAAGCTTTCCGATGATATGCAAACTCTATATCGAAAAAGAAAGTTTGATGGAAAAAAGTTGTTTGAAATGTAGGCCTAGAAAAACGGACATTATTTTTGCAACAACCTAATAGTTTTTGCACTTTTTTATTTGGCACAAGAAGAAACGTCATTCCAAGATGTGGTTATCAAAGCTTACTTAAAACGTTTTCTTAGAGATAGAATGGGCAAACTTTTGTAGTTGAAAGTGTGAAGAAGGTTCCAAATAAGTAAAAACTAATTTTATTGATTGATTGAAAATTAAGTGATTCGCTAATTGCGCTACAGCTCCCATAATTTGCTCAAAAATATTAAAAAGGTTGAAAAATGTCAGTGATAACACCGTTTAACATCCTTCGACTCGGCAAAATTCATGTTCACCTAGACAAAATTTTCGAATGAGAAATTACCCTTGCCTTATTGCGGATTGAGACACCAAAACCGCTATCCTCGCATTGCTTACCTTTTAATTCAACTGGATAGGCGGCTGCAAGGCGGGGCTTCGTGACCTAACTGAGGCTAGAGAGTGATACACAAAAATGAAAAACGTAGGCAGCGTTGCGGAAGCCAGCGGATCGCCTTCCAGCCGCTAATCTCGTTGAATCAACGGATAGATTTCGTATTGGAGTCAATATCGGAAGAGGAGCTGCCAAGAATGAGAATCGACCCCTACCGTATGCCCACCGTATCCCCATAAATGTGCAAAGTTTTGACAAATTCGAGAATTTGCATTTTTTAGGTTTTGTGAAACGATGCCTGGGAAGACAGAAAATCGTTGTGTTTGTCAATACATTCGACTGTTTTGTTTTAGTTCTTCCTTTCTTTCATCGCTTCCTATCCTTTTCCGTCCTCTCTATCTCATGCTTTTTTTACCTTGACATGGTCGACATCATGAACTATGAGCTTTTCTCCCAGCCTGGCAACTACCGTAAAGAATGCGAAGGACATGAGAATAATCACGGCTCCTTGTAGTACTGAAATGAAAATTAAACTACACAGTCTAGTAGTTTCCGCTCGATATAGTGTGCTTGCGGTACCAAAATTCTGCGGCAAAACTTGAGCGTAAACAACCAGCTATGCCTAAAGTGCGGGCCACCTGCGCGCGCAGGATACCAATCACTGACGTAGATATTCGTTTACGCGCAGTATTACCGCCCAATCTCTGCATGTAGGCACTATACATCAAGCGCAAAATCTATCAGATTGTGGTTATAACTCACTAAGCAATGTGGAAGGTTTTGTTAATAGAAATCCGATCAAAGCGGCAGCTTCTAGGATGTAAATCGCTGCAGCCAGAACCTGGAAAGCATTGAGGATATTTTGCGCAGAGTAACTGAATTTTCTACCTGTCTATGCATATGTGAACCTAAAAAGCTTCCCAAGGGAGCCATTGTGACAGCAACTGGGACACTGACAGCAGCATATTCCCAAGCCACTGACGGTACGTCTCCTTCCCAAACTGCTCGCCAATACACGCCAACCACTGTGTTGATACCTAAAAAGGGCGTTTTTTTTAACTCAAAATTTTTTTGAATCCGTCGTTCCTCCGCCCCGTCCTCTCCATGAGTTGCGAAGTTTATGAAAAAGTACATGTATCAGAAAAATTGCGCAGGTCTCGATTTTATTTGGGAAAATCCATTACCGTAGAAATCTTACAAAATCCGGTTCGAGGACTTTTGGGGGGCCCCGGCTGTGGTCACGACTTTCTAAAAACAGTAAAAACGGTAGATTTTTTCTATATTCCTGCTATGATACGAATTTTTGGACTTGAAGTCACTAGGTAGCGATTTTTTTCCTGCTTTCTTAGCAAAAAATTGCTACCTAGTTGCTTCAAGTTCGAAAATTCGAAAAAAATTCAAGTTTGAAGATTCGAAAAAAAAAACATCTGTGGCTGGAAATTAGCCCATTTCTCTTGACAGTTGTCTTATCACATACATTGAAATTAGGTTAAGATCTTACCCATCAAAACCACGGAAGTAGGAGTCGCTGTCTTCTCTGATACTCGGAACAGCAATGTGATTACCGAAAATGTGCAAATATCCACACCAGAGCCGGCAAATGCAGTGAAAATGCCTAGATGTTTTTTTGCGTTTTTCATAATCACGGCGGTTGAATAATTACCTCCAACAAACCCGGTAACTACCAGTATGCCCATTTTCCAGAGATTAAATTCAGGAATGACATCGTATGTACGACGTTTGTGTTGCGAGTTGAGGATATATAAGGAGACAGCGAATGATGACCATATTGAGACAAAGAGCATCTTCTTTTCAGCCGATGTGAGGTATGGGTCTAGCTGGGTTGGAATAGAAATAGGCAAAAAATTACAGTTTGTGTCAAACACATGCTCCCTTTCGCGTAAGAACTACGCATCCGCAATGCGAGAGCTTCGCGTGCGGACCTCGAATCGATGTCAGTTTGAATGCTCAAGCCATACGCGCGCGGACGCGGCCCACCCCGGTATCAAAAGGAAGCACGCTATTGACACAGGCTGTAACTACTCTAGCAAAAAAATTTTCTAACTTACGAAAACTGATCCTACTATGAAACCGGGCACAGACCCGATAGTGCCAAAAAGTACGGCGCGTTTTTCTATCTGTATTTCCATTATTAGCACCACACACATGGCGCAAGTCATTCCTGAAAGCAGCATCTTTTTTGGACGAGAACTGGTCTTCAAAGTGTACCTGCTGATTGGATTATCAGCGAAAAGTCGCGAGCCACAGAAGGGTCTATCTGTAGGAGAAGTGTCATGACCGGAAATGCTACCGCTCCGCCACCTTCGGAGGTCATACCTGGAAATTTTTTTACGTTTTTGTATTTGTGGGAAACTCATCGCACGCATAGAACGAATGCCGTCGCGTCCGCTCAAGGCAGTTCATGTTTAAGAAGATAGCAGACGGCTAGAGGAGTCAAAGTGCGTTTGATTTGAGAGACGCAGACAGCGTACGCATTAGTGCCCTTTCTCTGGGCGCGATGAATCGCCTATAGGTGAAAACTTTTACCGGCAACTGTCGAGCCAAAAAACATCACAATAGGCATTTGCCATCTAGTTTCATATAGTGCAAACCAATTGTATCTATAAGCAGTGGTCCACCAAATTATCTAAAAAGCTTATTCTCACTTAATTTTTACTTCATGTTTCCCACCTGCATAATTCCGAATGGCAGCAGGAAAGCAACATATTTCCTATATTTTATGAAGATCTTATCCAAAAAATCCGCGTCAGGTGGCACACTCTTGGCCACGTTCTCACTCAGTTGTTGTCCTAAAAACGTTCATGTTCTAAGCTGAAAGAAAGATTAGAAATCTTACCTTCCCAAAAATACCGATGAAATGGTTTACAATTCTTTTTCTGCATTTGAGGAGTCGAAAAGCCGAGCTAGTGCTAACAGTTTGTTTTGAGCAGCTGATGAGTCTGCTGAGTCGGGTTAAATACGCAAGAAACGCCCTGTCTCTGAACAGTACGGAAAGCATCGCGTTTTGTGAACTGTTTATTTACTGTGCGACTAACACCCGTGCTAAGTGTCTAAATAATCCGAGCTCTTATCTGAGGTGCGAACGGTGGCGCTTTTCTTATGGCTGGCTGCCCAAGTTTTGGAGCAAAGATAGGAATGACCATTGCAGTCTGGAACACCTGAAAACCTGGAAGACTGAGAATTGCGTCGGGCAAAAAGCCTGGCCTTCACGGATAAAACAGATGTCAGTTTGATCGGAGTCAGTATAAGCAGAAGTAATAAAAAATGTAGTGTTCGTATGTGAATATACTCCTAACTCTTCTTTTTCTTTCTGCCCATCCTACCATTCCTCGCTTTCTCTCCTTTTCTTCCAGATTAGCTCACTCTCTTATGTTTTGCGTCGACTTATTGCCAGATGATTTTGCGATGGTAGCGATAAATTTCATGTAAGCGGACGAATGCATCTTTTTTGTATGGTCAAACTTATGAAGAAGAGCGGATGAAAATTTGAAATTCGAAAATCCTGTTGTTTTCTCTGAGTCAAGCATCCATTTCTGTATATCAATTTATTGAACTGGGGAAGCTTTCGAACAGCGCCTAATCTTATTCATATACAGATTGTATGTCCTTTTGTTTTTAATTGGCAGTATCCAAGCAAAATCTAAGCTACCTTTATTAGTGCTATACCTAGGCCTAATCAGGGCTCCAGGAGAGCGGCATCTGCTTTGATTCGGTTCTCCAGTAAGGCCTAAAATGGAGAAAATGGTCCTAGAACGCGCGGTGCTATCAAACTACGCCCTCCCTGTAAGGCTCCGCCGATCTAGGGACTGAAAGTTGCCTGCAACTTCAGGATGGGGTTCCCAGAAAGGGGGGGGGGGGAGGGGGGGCAGTTTCTGGAGGTTTCGCACATATTGTACTTTGGATCTGTAGCAGGACCGCAAAGGGGAGCCGAAGTGAAAAAAAATTATGGAAGCCGAAGATCTGAGTGGATGCTGCCTATAAAACTTACTGTTGTAGCTGAATGTATGCTTTTCGGTTTTCTTAATTATTTACTTCTATATATTATAGATTCTAATGTACACTATAAAAGGCAGAAAAGAGCAGAGGAAGGAATGCGTGTGAACATGTGATACATTTTGGAACTCTTACCTTTCATCTTTTCATCTTTTGTTGTTATTCTCTGCGCCATTCCCAGGACCCTTGTCAGAAATCTTGACATACCATATTTTCTTTAGGCCTTATATCTCTGTAACGCTCCCAGAGAATGCGGTCTCTTTTTCTTCCTGTTTGTCATCTTCCATGTTTTAGGATTTTTTCGTAGCACGGTTGCCTGCCTCGCTTTCGAATGTTTTCGCGGAATTATTTCAAGCCTCTCTATATCATCAGAAACCCTCAGTTCTTTGATAATAATTCCATAATTTTCGTTGATTTTCTTCCAAGCTTTAATTGTTACGACTCTTTTTCTCGCAGTAGTCCTTTGACGTTGTTCTTTCCGCTCGTTAAATGAAGATCTCGGAACTTATTTTTTTATTATAATGTTTCTAGGTGCTTTTCCACAATGGTCTCGTTCGTTTTGGTGGAAGCCGAAACTCAAGAAGTTCTCATGAATCTCATACAGCACTTGGTTAGCACTGTTTACTGGTGCTTCAACAGCTTTTTTGAAAAAGTATTTTGATTTTAGGCTGCTAACTCCCTAAAATTCACAGTGGCATCAGATTTGCGACGTTTATTCGCTCGAACTTATTTGGATGTCGAAGGAACTGGAGCTTCAGATGTCTCCTCGTCGAGTGAGAATGTGCCATCATCAAGGTTGAAATTGGCCTTGGGCCTCATAATGTTGGTGATTTTTCGAAAAGAAATATTTTAAGGCCTGATGCAGCCGCAGTGAACGCTGCTGTCAACACTTCACAGCAGTTCCATAATGCCATGTCGAATCTTTTTGGATTGGTCCCCAAGCCAGAACCATCAGAATCCACTTTTGCTCAGTGGGCGAATGTTTCGGGAAACGCAGCACCAGTTGAGGTTGGTACAAAAAACCATTCCTTTCAATAGTGTCTAAATTCGCCTACCGTCGATTTGTTGACCGCAGGGACTCCGTAGCTTGCGGAGCACGCGTCGCTCGGCCGAACGCTTGTAGTCTCGTGACATTCCAGTCGCGCGGCGCGTGCTCCGCAATCTACGGCCAGTCCATGCTGTCGATGTTCGACGGTAAGTAATTGTTGTTTTCTTATCCATTTCATCAAATTTTTTCATCGTTTTCGGCACCACTGGTGTATTTTACAATACAGTTGAAAACAAATAAATGAATGACATGTTATTTTTGCTCATTTTATCTTTTTTAGTCTATGCACACTGATTTGCTATGCGCCGCTAGTCCATATTTGGATAATTATCAAACAAACAACGCTTCCGCTTTGGAGTCACGTGCTCATCAGATGTTTGCCTCTGAAGGAACCTCCAGAGCTATGAAACGACCATGGAATCATCAGACTACGGTATGTAATTCTCATACTTACCTCTCATATTTACTACTTATCAACATCCTAGACTCCCTATTTCAGCCGGCGCAAGGTCCAATGATTCTCCCAAAGCAAGAGGAAGGTGTCGAGAAAAAGGAGAAATTACGTGAAGTCCCTTGCCAGGTAATTTCCAAAAGCTTTAATGATTGTGAACAGTCCTGTTCTCTTGCTAAATTACCGGTTGTGGGAAAGCTGACTCAATATACTGTTGTCGCAGTGTCCAGCAAATTTTGGGTACTTTGCTCATGCAGAGCCTGAAGAGAGTCTTAAGACATCGCGCAGGCGGCAGCGTATGTGAATCATTCGTAGGTGAGATCAAATCTAAACTTGCCCGCTATCGTACTCTTTCCGAGCGCGCTCTCTCTGGGTACGGTAGTGGGCGAGCGTTTATCGGTTTTTTATCTCCGCACGAATAATTTTATGAGCTGCCGCTTGCATAGTGGCTTACTTAAGGCCTTTTATCAGTATTTAAGAAAAGGATGTCTGTACCTACCTAAATCTATCTACGCCGTCACGCACACTCCAACTTTTGCGTCCTATAACCTTTTCTCACGCGCAATTCATGTAGAGACCGCAGGATCACGTATCTGTCGGTTTTTTTTCGGAATTATACATTGTCTGCTCCAATGAATACTCTCATAATCCATTACCTGAAGCGTCGCTTAGCTCAAAATAAGCGAAAATCAAAAAATCCTATTTTTGTTTCATAGACGCTTTACAGATCTGTGGAAAACATATAACCATGCGACGCTGTAATCTTCGACATCATGCTGCTGTTGTGCATTCAGGCATTGAGAGGTTTGCGCTTTTTTGTTCTTGAAAAATACCGATTTTATTGATTTTTTGCTTACAGATATGCATGCCCCTGTGGCTATGCTACTGTGCATCGAAACACAATTATTCGGCATATGTTGAAGCATGCAGCCATTGATGGAGAGAAACATTATGAATTTACCGACTTACTGTGAGTTTGAATTTTTCGCACAAATGCGAAGTGGGCGGCCTTCTGAACCGTTCGCTGTTGTGGTGGTCTCTGATTGGTCAACATCGGCTGAGTGGCTAGGCATTGAACAGGGCGAAGCAAGGACGACAAACCAAGCGAGTTGTGCGGCAGGCTTGCACCCTAGTATGTTCACCCCTGCCACGATTCTAGATTTGGCAGAGATAAATTACGCGCTTCGGATTATGATGCGTCCCCTTCCCCCTGTGCAAAACTCGTCCGCTTTGAGCGGCCCGCACGCGGCGAAAAAGTATCGCGCGCGAACGGTTTCGAGGGCCTTCACTTATGCGAGAGTGGATTTGCTCTGCCCTAAAAAATGTTCATTTCAGAACCCCAGCCGAAGCGGAACGAATTGAAAAACTGACTGAAGAATGTTTCCGAGAATACAAAACAATTCCACGTCATAATGAAGAACAAAACGATGAACTGACTAGAACTCTGGAATGTCTAGCCAATGGCGCCACTAATGTTGTGCAACCGGAGCAAGTTCGAACTGAAGAGCTGGAAAATTCACCGCAATGAGTGAATCATTATTTGATTTTTTGAGGTTATTCTGCTGTGATTCTGCTGTTATCGCGCTATTCTCCCAAATTGTAGTCATATATGTGTGCTATCTGTGTACAGTAAACATGAAACCTAGTCTGCTCGTTAACTAGTTTAAGCTAAATCTTTGAAATCGAGGAAATGAGCATCAAACTTACCGTTCACTAAAGGTCGAAACTGCAAACATATTCGTGCCAATGGCGGAGAAAACCTCAAAAAACTGTGTGTATGTGTTTGTATGTATCAAAACAAAAACAACACATTTGAGTATAGATAACTTTCAGCTTGCCTCATCTTATCCTACACCCGATTTTGTGCCTTTGATTACGTTTCGCTCAACACGTATAATCTGAAGTTGATTGCTGCACTGTTTGATAATTATCGCAATGTTGATGACTTGTATCTCAAATTCTGCCAAGTCGTCTATACTGGGATAGCATTGTTTGGTACTATGAAGATTAATTGCACCTCTGGCTTGATTTATCCTGCTCATATTCGTTCCCTTATTGAACAGAAGTGTCGCTTATTTTGTGTTTTAGATTCACCTCTGACTAGCCCCCTGTATAAGAAAGTCCCTGCTGATATTGATCTGCACCCTAAAAAATTTCTAGCCAATCATGAGCGACGCTTACCAAAGAAATCTTCTATCAGAAATTTATTTAGATAAATTCACCACAAGTTACAAAGTAAGGTTAGCCTCCCGGTGTTGAAAGACTCTTTGGGTTATACTTGCTGAATGATTCCAGTAAAGGAAGCCTTGGGTGGATACTTTGCCATTTTGCGAATCCTTCCACGCTTATTCCCCCCACCCTCCTTCTCAAAACAAACTGAATTCTGTTTATTTTCACCCCGTGGGAGTGAGAAGAGTTTCGAGGTCCCTAAAACCTTCGTGTTTGGAGCCGTACGATGCCATCCCTCAGATACTCTACAATATGTGTGCAAATACTCTCGCCAAACCACTTGCTGATATATTCAATCTTTCCTTCGGTGAGACTCCCTCTTTTTGGAAGGAAGCCATTGTTACAGTTGTGCCTAAAACTTCCGCAGCTGAAATTGTTATTTTCGCCCCATTAGCCATAATTCTGTGACCATCCAGATTATGGAAAGGATTATTAGAAGTAAACAACTTACTTTGGTTGGAGAGGTTCCATCTTGTTTCGTCCGAGCACCATGGGTTTGTGCCAGAAAAGGAACTGCAACTAATTTTACTGAGGCCGTTTTTGATTGGAAGTTAGCCTTGAGTTTCAGAAAATCTGTGGATATTGTATACTTCGACCTTACCAACGCATTTTATAGAATACCTCATCGTTTGCTTTTTTGCAAGCTAGAGAATATTGGAATTTCGGGAAACCTATTAACTTGGTTCGAGTCTTGAGCAATAGATGCATGACGGTAAAGATTGGTCATGAATATCCCAAAAAATTTCCCTGTCCCAATGGAGTTCCTCAGGGAGCTGTCCTATCTCCTTTGTTATTTTTGGTATGCACTTTGGACCTACCTAATACTTCAAAAACAATGAATGTACGCGTACAAATCTATGCAGACGATACAGAAATATATGCATCTTAGATGAAGACAATGATAAATTGTGTGGATGGGCTTCTCACATCAGAATGCTCTCTCTCTCTCAACCCAAGAAAATGTTCCTTCCTCCATCTTGGCAAACATTCCTCAACTTCGTATGAAATTGGTGGAGTCGAGATGACTGCTTGTCAAGATGTGAAAGATCATCGATTGTGATTTGAAATTCTCTAAGCATATTGATTCAATTGTCAATAGGGTATATGCCACTTTATTTACAATCTTTCGTAATATACAAACTCGTAATCCTATGATACTGTCCCGGTTATAAAAGCTCATGTTATTCCACATCTTGAATACTGTTCGCAAGTTTGGACTCCTTCCCAAAAAAAGATATAATGAAGATTGAAAGAGTTCAGCACACTTTTACCCGCCTGGTCTTCCGTCGTGCGAGTGGTAGAATACTAGTTGATATTCCAGACTGTCACTTACGCTCTAAAAAATTGAGCTTGACTTCTTTCAAAATTAGACGCATGATATCTGACCTGGTCTTTTGTTTTCGTATTCTTCGCATGGAAATAAAGTTGAAAGCAAGTAAATTTTGGATCTTCAAACCTGTTGGTACGTCTAGGTGGCTTTAATCTGCATTATAAACCTATCAAGCTACATCAGTCTGGAATATTTAACTACCTGTTCTTCCGCTGTGCAAGATGGCTTCAGCGCTTACCCGTTGATATAGGTCAGCGCGTTGCGGTAAAGCCTTCAAGAAAATTTGAAAAAAGCTGGTTTGTCCTAACTTTTGAGCAGTGATACTTCTTTTTGATTGCGTTGCGTTCCTAATGTTGTGTTCAAATTTTTTAGGGTTTAGGTCTTTGGGATTTGTGGTTGTTATGGTTCTCAGATTGATGCAGTACTTGTATCTCCCAGGTTACTGATACCATTTTATCGGCCCCGAGGGCGGAAGGCTTGATTGGCCTAAGGGCGGGATCGAACCTGGATCCGGCTATTCATAATGGAGCCTCATACCACTACGCCACTCGTCCCCCTCTTTCTAGGTTGCATAGTTTGCACAGGATGTTGTATCTATGGATGAATCTCCGAAAAATACTCTACAGTATGACGGTTGCTAAGCCTCAAATACTAGCGTGCACAAAACTATTATGTTTTCTAGTTGCTAGGTCACGGAAATAAAGACAGCGAAGAGCTGTAATTACGAAAACCTCATTTCTTCAAAGCAAAGTAAATTAGGTTTTTTGCAAATGCCTCCTTGCATCTTATACCTCCTACTTTCTGTTTCTAACTGACAACAGAGTGCACTCCTGAGTGTCAGACAAACGAATCATAACTATGCTTGATCTCTAAACCCGTCTTCTGCTTTTCTTTTCAACTGAAGCTTTCAAGACTGTAGAAAGCAAAATTAATCGTGATTTTGATCAAGAGGACAATTTTGCACTTTCGTAACAGACCCGCTTTCCATTTTCATGCCGTAAAGAGCTCATCCCTTTTTTCCCACCCCAGACCCTATAAAGTCAGAAATAAGTCAGTGCAGTGTCATGTGACTCATATATTGATTTATTACTGCTAATTATAAATTGACCGTAACTACTTACCAATATTTGGCAAAGCCTTGGAAAATATTAAGTACTGCATCGATTCGCCATTTTGCTTCAAATCAATGATCAATCACTATCATTTTACTAAGAATCCTTATCCTTGAGGGATAAGGGTCAAAATACCATTCGATAGGGCAAAGCAAGCTCTATAAGAAGACAATCTTGCTCTTACAACAGCTTTCATCCACCCCGAGTTCCAAGCCAAAAAACTAAAAAGATCCAACTGCCTGAAAAATTGAGAAAAATTGTAACTCCGTTCAAAACAATCCTACAAAAATTCTAACTTGCTCACGTAAACACTATCCATATAAGACGTCTATATGCGCCGTTGCTGTATTTTTTCCTTTGTTAGAATTCAAGAAAACGAAAATTTTCGTACCTTTGCCAAAGTGATGCTGTGCTGCCCCCACTCAAGTAGTTGTATACTACAAACCTGTAAAGTACAAGTGTAAATTTTCAGTTCTTTAAAAGCTTTAGTTTTCGAGAAATATCAAACAGAGCTTCTCTTAATCAGGTGGTCCAAGCTGAAATTCAAATTTCTCGAAAACTAAAGCTTTTGAAGAGGTAAAAATTTACGCTCGTACTTCTACAGGTTTGTAGTATACAACTACTTGCGTGGGGACAGCACAGCATCACTTTGGCAAAAATACGGAAATTTCCATTTTCTTGAATGCTAACAAAGGAAATAATAAAGCAACGGCGCATATAGACGTCTTATATGGATAGTGTTTACGTGAGCAAGTTAGAATTTTTGTAGGATTGTTTTGGGCGGAGTTACAATTTTTCTCAATTTTTCAGGCAGTTGGATCTTTTTAGTTTTTGGCTCGGAACTCGATGTGGATGAAAGCTGTTATAAAAGCAAGATCGCCTTCTTGTAGGGTTTGCTTTGCTCTATCGAAAGATATTTTGCAACCTATTTAGAAATGAGAAGCGTATGACTTATTGCGGTTGAAAATCAAGACGTGCATTGATTTCCGGACAACCTAATATATAAAAAAATGCGACCTTCAATGCTGGTTCGAATAATGTCTTCCATATCTGCGATACGATAACCCTGTATGGAGTTATGATTATTTCATCAATAAACTACGCTACTGCGGAGGATCAGAATCTACAATAAAAATTTTCTTTCCTTTTCGAATGCTGAATATGTTTTAGATAGGTATGATACAACAGTATTTTTCAAGATTCTCTTTAATAGCTTCAAACAGTAATCTGGAACAAATTTGGTGACTTTAACCACCTAAAAGTACGCAAATTCTTTACGAGAAAAGTTCATAACTTCCTTTAGAAGATCGTTTCGCAGATATCGAGCACAGATAGAATTAGCGTTTGAGGTACATCTTACTTTTTACATCGCATTCCCAATGGCCACGATCACCGAGTATCCTTTCCTTGTTTGGACTGTCTTTGAAACGTTTATCTGCTTTTATTCCATGAGTTTTCATAAGGTTGATAAAACGGAAAGAACTTGGGGGAGGACCAAATTTATATGTACACAATGCCAATTTTTGCCTGGATCACATCCTCTTGAATACACACTGCTTGCAATACTCAAGAAGTAGCGGCTAGTCTATTTAAATCCATTTCATTGGGCTGAAAAGTCGCTAGGTCGCTACTGATTCAAGAGCTTTCTTTATCCGTAGAACGTCATTGTGCTAGTACTAGTCGCTAAGTTGCATTCTGAGGCTCTATAGGGCAGTGAGAGGGGAGAAACCCTCTCCAAGATCAAAGGTTTTTTATACTGCGTGCACTTACTAAGACCACATCGCAATCACTGGCAAGATGTCGCTTACACTGAAAGTCATCATCACACTATGGTTGGCACAAATGGTGAGCATCGACGATATTATGAGTGAAAAGCAATACTCTAGACTTCAGGCTTCAAATTCTGGCGTCTTACGTTATAACGATGAAGCTCAGTGTGGAAGCCCAATCTATCACCTGTATCTGGAAGACAGAATTCAATGTTTTAGGGCATGCTATGATGAAAAGGAGTGCGCAGTCGTGAAGTACAATGAGGTTTGCACTACATTTTGAATCAACAAAATTGGCGGCTGGAAGGCGGGCTTCGAGGCCCAATCAAGGCTAGAGAACGATCAGAGAGCACGCTCGCGAGAGAGATGCAGACTGCGTCGCGGGCGCGAGCGGTCACCATCCAATCGCCAATCTCGT